TTATTATTGCAGATATACATACTTATATGTTTATTTAAATATACTTATCAAATATACTCCAGTCTGTAAAGTTTTAAAAGAGAGACCAAATTTCTAACTTCACTTTTCGGAACCTGGAATTTTTATCATTTGTTTTGTAGTAGATTATTGGTTGAATATTATTTGGAAAATTCATTCACTTTCGTGACATTGGTCGCATATGATTAGTCCTATGTAATTTGTCACAAGCTAATCTCAAGCCACTGAAGCTGGTTATTAATTGCATGGCATTGGTCTTAGGTCATAGCTTTACATGGTCTGTCATTTTTAACGCTTGTAACCACGTTAATTAGAGTTATTAAGACTCGTGAATTCTTAGACAACTTTTAGAGGTAACTGAAAAATTTCTCCAAGTGTTTAAAAAAAATTTAGATTGAACATATACTTAAAATACAAAGTTCATTAAAACATTCGTAAATTAACAAAAACTTATCTAAAGCAAATATAGAGTAGTTTAAATGACAAAACAACGCTTTTTATAAACCAGCTGACCCTTTATCTGACCTCTTGACCCTTGGCTCCTACCAAAATGTCGGACGCCAGACTAGATCGATATTTGGTCTGCGGTGCTCATTTGTGTCGTGTACGGAGTGATGTGTTGGTGGTGGATGTTGTGGTCTGTGGGTTATGTGCTGGCGTAGTAGGTAGACGTTCGTAGGTCGGGTTGGTGCTGTTTCAGTTCAAATCTATCTTGTGTTTCATCTATACGTTTTATGACGTTGAGAGCAGCTTACTTTCTATCCGTATTCGTCGAACTGATTTAGACCGTGTGTTGTAGTAGCGTGTTAAAGATACCGGAATATTGTGTGTTTTATTTACTGGCATGTCTCGTTATCATTGTCATCTTGAGTAAGCTGTACATTGATAACAGGCTAATGGTCAGTGCTATAGTTTTATCATGAGGTCGAGTCCAATTTTTTTTTAATGTCAGTACCTTTAGAAATATCGGTATATCTAAGTTGTGTTTTTCGGGCACTATAGTTCTATACTAACCATGTCATAGTCTCACACTGTTAGCCTGAGCATAACCCTTAGCCTAGTTACACAGCTAACCTAACCACAACCCTCGCCCAAGTCTCAACATCTAGCCTAACCATAACCCTTAGCCCAGTTACACCGCTAACCTAACCACAACCCTCGCACTAGCCTCAACATCTAGCCTAACCTTAACCCTTGCCCTAACTTCAAACCTAGCCTAACCCTTGCCCAAACTTCAAACCTAGCCTAACCATAACTTTTATGCATCATCTTAGTACTAACACTAATCCAACCCCAAATAGTTAAATCATCAATACCCCTAAAAACAAAGTAACCCCATCGTGGAAATATTAGCATGCTAGCTGACATATCCTGTACATCACGCTTTTATATAGCTTATCCCACAGGAAAGCTAAGTGTGAAATCATCCGTGTCTTACAATCGACCAAGAATGTTGTAGAGCACCTTACACGTCTTACATCTGGCCACACGCCTTACATCTGCCACACAGCTTACATCTGGCCACACGTCTTACATCTGGCCACACGCCTTACATCTGCCACACAGCTTACATCTGGCCACACGTCTTACATCTGGCCACACGCCTTACATCTGCCACACAGCTTACATCTGGCCACACGCCTTACATCTGGCCACACGCCTTACATCTGCCACACAGCTTACATCTGGCCACACGTCTTACATCTGCCACACGCCTTACATCTGCCACACCGCGTCAATATGATGTGTGTGTGTGCCCGTGTTTTTGCTTACGTCAGCTGGTCACATGATATAGACGTGCCGGCCACTGAGGGGGTGGGGATAGAGGTGGGGGAGTTAATTAATGTATAATTAACTCGTCGTGCTCGGCACCTAATGGCATGCAACACTAAGGGGTGATTACCGATGCTCAATATGTTTGCAGACTACAGAAGAAAAATGAGTGTTCATTCTGTCCTTGGCACCAGCATTAAGGGTCATCCATTTATAACGTCCACACGGGGGGGGGGGGGGTCCGAAAAAAAAATTAACTTTTGCGGACGCGTATGGACTTTTGTAAGGGAAATATGTGGATTTTTGTGGTGGGGGATTGGGGGGGGGGGGGGGGGGCAAAATAAAAAAAATAAATTGTGGACGTCATAAATGGATGACCCCTTATAGGTCAAATGACACTCTTAGCACCTCTCCCAAGTCTATCAATGCATATGCCAATAGGATCCTTTTAACTCCCCACCCCAATATGCCACTGTATAAACCAAGGGGTACTCTTAACTCCAGGGGACGGAGTGGTCTACCGGTAGATAGCAGGACTGCAAGTCTCGAGATCAAGTCAGTAGACCGTCCCTAAGTTCACCCAACTCTGATGGGTACCCTACTCACGTTAGGGAAAGTAAAGGCGGCTGGGCATAGTGCTGACCGCACTATCTCTTCATATGCCGAGGTCACAGAAACAAGTGAACTCTACTTCCCTTGCCCAGTAGACCGTCATGTTTGAAAAGGAACTTTACTTACTCTTAACACCCCCCTCCCCAAATGTAACTGTATAGGCCAATATGGCATTCTTAACCCCCCTCCACCCCCAAAGACGTCACAGTAGAGATCAAAGTACTTTGCCTCCCCCCCTCCCACCCCCCCCCCCCACCCCTCCAGCTTTATCTATGCATAGTTCTAGGTCACTTCAACGAGGCCCCAAGCAGTGACTGGGGAAAAATATAAATTATCACTATTCTAATTAACATTCTCAATTAAAAACGACTAATGAAATAAACAGTTAGTTGGTTGAATCATCTATTGAACAAGGTAAAACTAAATACCTTACGCAGTGATCTTCCCTTTAGACTCAATCGAAAGAATGTGCATTCGGAGTTTAAAAATCTATTATTAGAAGTTTTTGTTTGTGAACTTTTAGGTCGATTTATAATCAAACATTGTGTACGTATGTATGACCTAGTTTCTGATGTGTTATTGAAAACTGGTCAGCAACATTATAAGCAGGATATTGGCGGTTAAATGTTATGTTCTGTATGCGTGTGTCACACTACGATGTGTGTGTGTGTGTTGTTTGATTGTTTGACTTGGCTACACCGAGTCACTGCAAGTGTGACATTTTAAGCTCTGTAATACATCGTTATTTGTGAGTGATTTTTACAAGTGCTGAGCTAAGTGATACATAGCTATATCAGAGTGATCTACACAAACAGTGTTTTCTTCAAGGAGTAACATTTACTACATGTGTGATATTTTTTGTTTAGCTAAGTAATACGCTGCTTTACCAGAGTGTGAGATTCACAAATGTGATGTTTAGCTAAGTGACACGCAGCTATATCAGAGAGCGATATTTACAATTGTGATTTGTTTAACTAAGAGATACGCCATTTTACCAGAGTGTGATATTCACAAAAGTGATATGTTCAACTAGACTAGCGACTGTTACCTTGTTGTGTATCCGGTACCCATAGATTCAGATAGCACGTTGGGCCTGTAAGTTTGTACGTGAAACTTTGGATCTTTATAGATCCATTGTTGGTCTTACAGTAAGGCCATTACACGCGGCCATTACATAGGTGTTTGTGTAATTTGATTCAGAGGATGGGCTGTAATGAGGTGAGTTGTTTACAAGGACTGGACAGAAGACATTTATGTAGCGCTGATAACGCTAGTTTAGTCCTTGGTACTGATCTAATTTCTTTTGTTTTTCAGGTTTAAAAGTCATGATATGATAAATTGTTTATACTGATAGTTGGCTTTCTTTAGCAAGCTTGTATTTACTTTGAATCATCTCTCAGTCTCGGCGTTTTATTTGCATGATGTCACAATGAAATTCAATAAATCAGTTTCTTCATCCATTCATACACTGTGTGGTTGTTTCAAACAAGGGTTGATCTTAGCTAAAAAAATATGCATCTGAGCATCCCACCAACAAATTGTCTCACTTTTACAATCGATCACACCAACCATTTGTCTCACTTTTACAATCGATCCCACCAACCATTTGTCTCACTTTTACAATCGATCCAACCAACAATTTGTCTCACTTTTACAATCGATCCCACCAACCATTTGTCTCACTTTTACAATCGATCCCACCAACCATTTGTCTCACTTTTACAATCGATCCCACCAACCATTTGTCTCACTTTAAAAAAAACCACCAACCATTTGTCTCACTTTTACAATCGATCCAACTAACCATTTGTCTCACTTTTACAATCGATCCCACCAACCATTTGTCTCACTTTTACAATCGATCCAACTAACCATTTGTCTCACTTTTACAATCGATCCCACCAACCATTTGTCTCACTTGTACAATCGATCCCACCAACAATTTGTCTCACTTTTACAATCGATCCCACCAACCATTTGTCTCACTTTTACAATCGATCCAACTAACCATTTGTCTCACTTTTACAATCGATCCCACCAACCATTTGTCTCAATTGTACAATCGATCCCACCAACAATTTGTCTCACTTTTACAATCGATCCCACCAACCATTTGTCTCACTTTTACAATCGATCCCACCAACCATTTGTCTCACTTTTACAATCGATCCCACCAACCATTTGTCTCACTTTTACAATCGATCCACCAACCATTTGTCTCACTTTTACAATCGATCCCCTCCCCAGAGCCTGCCGGTAGTGGCAGCAGACGAGAGTGACATCACCAGATTCAGATCTGAAGCTTTAGCAGCACACAATGAATGCAGAGCGAAACACCATGCTCCCCCACTCACTCTAAGGTGAGTTGACACCTGAAGTTTTTTTTTTTTTTTTTTTTTTTTAATTATTTTTTTAGCGTAGTTTTCCGTTGCGCTGGGTCACCAGTATCTTCAGTGTGAGACCCATTCATTCATTATTTTATATCATCTATCCTCCGTTTCTCTTCGTCACTCTAATCCATGTAGAAACCTCACGATTAAAAACTAATGTTTCTTCCAGCGCTGACCTCAACGACTACGCCCAAAATTGGGCGAACCACCTGGCCAAGACGGGCAAGCTGGCCCACAGCGATTGTAAGATGAACGGGGAGGTCCTGGGGGAGAACGTGGCCTACAAGTGGGCGTCTGGTGGGCCAGGGGCGGACATGACAGGTGGGTGCTTGTCGGCTGTCATGCTCAGTCTTTGTTATATGTTGAACTCTGCGTTGCTTAAATTGTGCTCAGACTTTATTATATGTTGAACTCTGTTGCATGTAAGTATACGTATATATATATATATATATATATATATATATATATATATATATATATATATATATATATATATATATAATTGTATATAAGTATATGTATATGTATAAATGTATATGTACATATAGGCCTATATATATATATATATATATATATATATATATATATATATATATATATATATATATATATATATATAAAGTAAAGCGACATAACGCTAAAAAGCACAGTATAATAACGGCATAAATTACTTATATGTGGCCGAAAATGAATTACGTATGTGTATTAATGCGCTTTACTTTGTATTTGTAACTACGCGAGTACAACGAAAATACACATTTACTACAGTTTGTCTCTTATCTACAACAAATCTCATTAACTATGTGACACTTTTACTATTAATTCATTCAAATATTTGTCTGGTTTTTACAACAAACCTCATTCAATATTTCACTCACTTTTACAATTAAGTACACCTACACCTGGATGAGTAATGATTAGAACGAGTAATACAAGAGAATGAAGTAATGTAGGTCTATATAGGACAATAGAGTTCTCTACATCGGAAACGGAATAGGCAAACATTCAAGTATCTCTGAATAAGGAATAGGCAAACATTCAAGTATCTCTGAATGAGAAATAGGCAAACATTCAAGTCTCTCTGAATAAGAAATAGGCAAACGTTGATGTCATATGAGTTAAAAGTTTTATTTTATTTCCAGGCAAAGATGCAACACAGATGTGGTACGCCGAGATTAAAGATTACAAAAGTTATGCTGATGCATCAAGTGCATCTAGTAATACAGGTAGGTTCACATCTGATAGATGTAGTGGTATAGGTAGGTTCACATCTGATACATATAGTGGTACAGGTTGCTTCACATCTGATAGATTTAGTGGTACAGGTAGGTTCACATCTGATAGATTTAGTATTACAGGTAGGTTCACATCTGATAGATTTTAAGGTACAGGTAGGTTCACAACTTATATATATTGTGCTACAGGTAGGTTCACATCTGATAGATTTAATGGTAGAGATAGGTTCATATCTAATAGTACAAGGGAAGCTGGTAGAGTTGGTTTGTATTTATAGATTGTACATTGGGTGTGGGGTGCACATTTGCTAACATTTTTACAGTGGAATATATGTTTATATTAACGTGATAATAACTGTATTTTTATATCTCTATCATTTACATTTATCTCTAATATAATTTAATTAGTAATTTAACTAAGCTCGTCCTGTTAAGACTTTGATTCCGTGGCTTCTTCCTTTAGGTCACTTCACGCAAGTGGTGTGGAAGTCAACAAAACAGCTCGGCATGGGCAAGGCCAAGACCAGTGACGGCAAGGTGTTCGTGGTGGGGAGCTACAGACCCCCCGGGAACTACGTGGGGATGTACAAGGAGAATGTGCTACCCCCCAAGTAAATGCCGCCACCGCCGCCCCTGATGAATGTAGAAGAATTGACTCTATTTTGGCTCTTGTAAGATGGTCGGTCGGCTGGACGTATTGATGCTTCGTACCTTAATTATGTTTTCATGTCTGTAGTCCTTACCCTGGGTATAAACCTTTTCTATTTCTAACACTGACTTTAAACTGTGATACTAAAAAAAACGGATACTATACTGTGATACAATATTGCCCTATCAGTAATTATTAGAGAGCCAGTGTTCACAATATTTATTTAAATCTGTAAACTAACAAGAAATAAATTTGATGCTAAATTGTACATTCACCCCCCCCCCCTTTTCCTCCCGCATTGTGATTTTCTTTCAATAGATCTATCAGTTTATGTATATAGAGTGGGATAGTATAAACTGGGGTAGATTTTATTTTGCTACAACTCGCATCCATTGAATTTCATAATATATTATTCTTATATTGTTATTATTCCAAAAACTGTTCTTGTACGATATCCAACAATAAGCCCTGTAGTAACGACAATTGTAAGATTTAATTTATCATTTAGATTCCTGGTTTGACATTGAATAACAAGGCTTAAATTTGTTCATAATATACCATACTAAAATATCGAAAATATTTTTTGCATTTTTTAGAAGGGAGATAAGGATGTCAAATGATATCAGTGTAGTATTTTGGTTATTTCCCTTCTATTACCAATATGAGAATATTTTTTTTATATTTATTAAGGGCGTATTTTTCAAATTCTCTTTAAGGATTTCTTTAAACTTCTGGTGCTATACATATTGTAAGAATTTTTTGTTGACTTAAACATTCCGCTTCCCTACAGATATGTGATTAACATTTTGTTTTATAATTTGACTTTTTTTTTCCCTTCTGATGTGAAATTGTATGTTATTTTTATTGCGAACACCCTGAAGAAAATAAAAATAAAGTAAATATAATATCCATCTTGTTTCTAACAAAATGTGCTGGAAAAACATTCGTACCGAAAAAATGTTAAGTAGACCTTCTAAAACGTATGTGTCTGTGTATATGGTGTACAACTAAATGCTCAAAATAAAACAATGGTTATAACTTCACTCCCCTTTTCTTGTTGCCTGGATTATTTAATTATATAAATTGGTGGTTTTGTTACCACTTGTTTACAATTAACATTATATAATACTATGAGAAGCTTTGTATTTGTCAATTTCTGTTTTATATATATATATATATATATATATATATATATATATATATATATATATATATATATATATATATATATATATATATATATATATATTCTCTTTTGTGTGACAGTCCTTTTTATAATTTTGAATTGACCTTATCCACATCCTTGTACAATCGTAGACGATTGATCGTAAATTTAAACTCCATATGAAATGAAAGAAAAAAATATGACGAAGTATGATGTCCTTAACTTCATAATTGTTGTGAGGCCTGAAAACGATTAAAGACACTCAAGTTTTTGAAACAATCTGTTAGGGTAATATCCTAACGTTTCAAGACGTCCTTTGATTATTATTTTTTTTTAGATATCTTTTTAGAGAAAGCGAGCACATCTTTTGAGACATCGAGACCCAAAGCTCAACTAATCCAACATATTCAGGTAAGGGGGTCATCCATTTATAACGTCCACACGGAAGGTGGAGGAGGGTCCTTTCGAAAAAAAAATGACTTTTGTGGAATTCCACATGTTGAATTTAACATAGAAGTGCTTACAATTCAAAACGAACATAAATCATATCCTGCATGTAAAATTAAGACGGCAGTACTCGTGTTAAAAAAACAACAACAATGTGAAAATAGAGCACTGGATTTATACCTACACCTTGTCATTCATATCATAAGCGACGTCAAGATTTTTAACGCCTTAACAATTGTTACATCCCCTCCCTCTCCAACGTCACTAATCTTCACAATAAACCAGGACACAGCACCTAAATTGACGTCACGCTTCAGCCTACCACGCCGCTTATAACTGTAACTTGAAAACAATACTTTAAAGTAGGCCTCGATTGATTTTTATTTTCAAATTTTAAAAAAATATCTATTGAAGGATCCTAATGAAGAAAGCGGGGTTGGTCGCTAGCCTTTCTCGAATATTCTTTTATAACACTACGGGGGATAGCAACTCGGGATGTAGACATGATTTTTAATCCAGTTTTAGTTACTTAAACTTTTTAAAATGGAAAAGAATCGTGTAGAAAAAAGAATTGCGCACCAAGTGAACGACAAACAATAGGTGTATAATAGTGCGGAATATTATTACTTTATAAATTCACGTGACTTATTGGCCTATATACTATAGGCATTTTGATTTTATACTTGTTTAGAAAACAAAAACCGAGATACAGTGGCTAACTTTATTGGAGAACTGGACTAAACTGAGGCAATCACACACGTTCACACACACACACACACCTTATATACCAGTAGACGAAACAGGTACAAACCCGACTGACACAACTCATCACACGAGGGTTGAACAGGGACGAACGGGACAGGGTACAACGTATAAACAACATTCACCCCTATTAACCCCCTTCACTCATTCATTTATAACACGTTTATTGTTGTATCGTACTATATGTCGTGAAGACGGACACACTTTTACAGGTGATCCAGCGCTTCACGCAACATATAAGACGAAACTTCCTGAAATACCTTGGCCTTATCTAGGTTTATCGTGGCCCCGCTATTCTTCCCATAGTCAAGGAAGTTGTTCGGTATTAATTGCTTTATTGAATTTTCTGTCCATAATGTAAAGGCAGTGTCTTTCGCGTAATGTAAAAAAAATATTTTGTCAGGTTCCGTATGTTTAATCTTTTAATGTCGCTGTTTCGTCAGATACATTCCAGTAGGGGTTCTAGTGTCAGTATGTATAAATTGGGGGAAAGGGAGCATCTTTGTCTGAATGACTTCTCTAACGCGAATGGTTTGGTTATGGTATTGTTTATTGTTTATTATTAGCTGACTGCGGGCATCAGTGTGAATGATATATATCCTTGTTGTGAAGTTTGCGTGTGGTTGTCTGGGATGTTTGATTTCAAAAAATTTATTTTTTTCCACACAATGGCGCTTGTTAGTGTTACTGTAGACTGTAGAACACTTACTGCTATAGTATAGTAGACCTGTTTGTTTTTTACAAAACCACTATCAAGGTGCACGAAACTTATTTTTTATGAAAAAGAGTTAATTGCTTCCACTCCCCCCCCCCCCCCGCTCTTCGCATAGTTCCGCTCCTGATATGAAGGTGCAAAGATTTTGTTTTAGACAAATGTATCGAAATTGTGTGTGGTTTTGTAGAGAGACACATTGGTGCAATCTTTGGAAAACCGCTACCTGATGTATCTGCTATGGGGTACTTTTAACACCCCTCCCCCTCGCCAAATATATAACTGTATAGGCGAATGGCATCTTTAACACACCCCCAGATACGTCACAGTATAGACTTAGAGCGTTCTAGCCTTGCGGATACTTTAACTCGGCTCTTATTACCAAGGGGTGACTGAGGAAAATATAAAATTATCACTGTTATAATTAACATTCTCAATTAAAAATAACTAATGAAACAAACAGTTAATTGATTGCATCATCTATTGATCAAGGTAAAACTAAATACCTAACGGAGTGATCTGCCCTTTAGACTAAATCGATAGTATATATGCGTTCAGAATTTAGTAATCTATTATTAGAAGTTTTTATTTGTGAACTTTTAGGTCGATATATAATCGAACCATGTGTACGTATGTATGCCCTAGATTCTTACAAGGTATTGGAAAGGGGTCAGCCAGCTTATAAACAGGAATAACTGTATAGCCGTGCTCCGCCACGGTGATTCTTTTTTCAATGTACCAACTTGAGAACAGAACAAAACTAAACACAAACACAAAAGAACACAAACTCAACTCAAAGACAAATACAAACACAACACAAACACAAACATAAACACAAACGCAAACACTAAAGCAAACGCAAACGCTAACACGGACACTAACATGACATTTAAGAGCGAATTCTATACTAATTATTGATTAAAAATAATAATTAGTAAACAGTACGTTCAGTGTATAAAATATACATAAAAGTCAGAATTTAAAATATCCTTGTTTTACCTACCATATCAAGTCATGCTAATTATATTATTCCAACAATAATGCCCTCACTGACTATCGGGGAATTTGCATTCACATTTTTACTTTCTCGTATATACGTAGTATAGAGAAAGTATTGTAATCGTGCAAAAAAAAAAATCGAGATTTTTACAAATCTCGACGTTTTACACCTCACTGATACGGAAAAAATTAATTTTGCAATCTTGTCCGTATGTCTGTGTGTGTGTCTGTGTGTCTGTGTGTGTGTCCGTGTGTAAACACGTTAACTTGAGTACCGTTACAACTAGGTTGATGAAATTTCATATATAAGTATTATATCAAAATCGTAGATCCGTATCAACTTTTGAGCGATTTCCGACAACCGGAAGTGGTACTTTTTCTACTTTGAATTTTTCAAAAGCCTATAACTTGAGTACTATTTCAGATAGATAAATGAAATTTCACATGTAAGTAAAAGATCTAATTCTCTACCTTCTGTTAAATTATGAGTAATTTCCGTTGACCGGAAGTAGTAATTTACGCTACTTCCGATTTCTCAAAAAACTAATGTAAATTTTAAAAGTACTAATAATATTGCGCACTATTATGCGCTTTTTTATTTCGCGTTCACTTGGTGTGCAATTAATTTGTCTACGAGATTTTATTCTATTTTTAAAACTTTAAGTATTTAAAATGGATTAAAAATCATGTCTATAGCCCGAGTTCCCATCCCCTGTTATTTTATATAAAAATATTCGAGAAAGTTTAGGGGAGATCACTCCCGGTTTATTTTTTATTAGCGTTAGTTTAATTTCTTTTTAAATACCCTCCTTGTGATCATTATTGAACATTTTAAGTAATTACAATTTTTGACCCTACTGTTATTAAAATGATCCATTTTTTCTAGGAATCTAAGCGAAAATATTATTTGACAATGATCCGTTTAATACATTTTTAGAAATGTGCGTGCATTTAATATTTTCTTCGCGATATGCAAAAGAGTAAAAACTGTGCTATAAAAAAAACCTATAGAAAATGTAAGTCGTTACATAAATAGACTTTGAAGACTTATAATAAGACACTGCGATGCAAGTAAAAAGCACGGCATAAGTTGTTCACTTTTATGGTTCCAAAATCTATAGCGATGACTGAATGACGGACGGACTGACTGACACACTACCACCAGCCATATATCATAGATATTGGCATTAATATGTTTATCTTAGTGACACACAGCTATACTAGATAGTGATATTCACAAATGTGATATGTTCAACTAGAGTACTGACTGTTACTTTGTTGTGTATCCGGTACCCATAGATTCAGACAGCACGTTGGGCCTGTAAGTTTGTACGTGAAACTTTGGATCTTTATAGATCCATTGTTGGTCTTACACTCAGGCCATTACACGCGATCATTACATAGGTGTGTGTGTAATTTGATTCAGGATTTTGAAAAGGTTAATTCTACGGGAGAATGGGCTGTAATACGGTGAGTTATTCACAATGGCTAGACAGAAGACATTTTTGTGGCATTGATATTGCTAGTAAAATCTTCGTTGCTTATTCGATTTATATTTTTTTCAGGTTAAAATATCTTGACGGAATAAATTGTTCAGCCTTCTTTCTTTAAAACGTTTGTTTTTAACTTGAATCATCAGTCAATCTCGGCCATTTTTTGCATTAGGGATCGTCCATAAATGATGTCACTCTCGTAGGGGGGAGGGGGGATCCGTAATTTTGTCACGGTGTGTGATGAGGGGGAGGGGGGGGGGGTTCAGATCGTGCGACGTCACACTGTTAGAAAACGAATTTTAGACGTTATTTCGCGTTTTAGAAAACTGTTTTAATAGGAATTGATTAAAATACTCTATTTTGACAGAGTTCAGATAAGATTTTGGAAAAATATCGATATTTTAAGAAAAATTCAACTGCAATTTTGAGGGGGGTTGTAGGCCGAGGTGTGACGTCATTTTAGGGGTGGGTCTGGCTTTTTGTGACGATGTGTGATGGAGGGGAGGTGGGAGGTAAAAATCGTCAAAAAAAGCGTGACGTTATTTATGGATGACCCCTTACGTCGAAAATGAAATCCAGCAATCAATTTTTCACCCATTTTCACAATGCGTGATTGTTTCAAGCTTAACATATAGGTTGATCTCTCTAACAAATCATGTAGGTTTATCTAAATGGTGACAAAATACGATGTTTTTAAAAAAAAGTATTTACATAATGATGTTTGGGAAGCAAACTACAGATCATAGCTCAACAAGTCGATGGTCAATTCTTTTACTTCTAGGCTAGAACCAATTATTTTCAATTCAAGAGCGTTTAAAATATTATTACTTCTGTTCGAACGTTTCATTCTACATTATAACATTAAGGTTGTGTTGTAAAATCATTATCGTAACCAAACATTATGGTCCTCAGTTTTACGCTTAACCTCATCAAATTTTTATTTTACTTTTAATTCTGATCACACCAATTTTTTTTCTCACATTTAAAACCGATCAAATAAAACATTTGTCTCACTTTTACAATCGATCACACCAACCATTTGTCTCACTTTTACAATCTATCCCACCAAACAAATGTCTCACTTTTACAATCGATCACACCAACCATTTGTCTCACTTTTACAATCGATCCAACCAACCATTTGTGTCACTTTTACAAAAAAAAACACCAACCATTTGTCTCACTTTTACAATCGATCCCACCCACCATTTGTCTCACTTTTACAATCGATCACTTCACCAGAGCCGGTCAGTGGTGCCAGCAGACGACAGTGACGTCACCAAATCCAGGTCAGAAGCTTTAGAAGCACACAATGAGAACAGGGCGAAACACCAGGCTCCCCCACGTTCTATAAGGTGAGATGTCACCTAACACCTTTTTTTACACCTTTAATTGACAACTTTAGTTGACACCTTTAGTTCACACCATTAATTGACACCTTTAGTTCACACCTTTAGTTCACACTTTTAGTTCACACCATTAGTTCACACCATTAGTCACTCCTTTAGTTGACACCTCTAGTTCACACCTTTAGTTCACACCTTTAATTCACAATTTTAATTCACACCTTTAGTTCAGATGTGCCAGCAGACGATAGTGACATCACCAGATTCAGGACTGAAGCTTTAGCAGCACACAATGAATTCAGGGCGAAACACCAGGCTCCACCACTTACTCTAAGGTGAGTTGACACCTTTAATTGACACCTTTAGTTGACACCTTTAGTTCACACCATTAATTGACACCTTTAGTTCACACCTTTAGTTCACACTTTTAGTTCACACCTTTAGTTCACCCTTTTAGTTCACACCTTTAGTCGACACCTTTAGTTCACACCTTTAGTTCACACCTTTAGTTCACACCATTAGTTCACACCATTAGTCACTCCTTTAGTTGACACCTCTAGTTCACACCTTTAGTTCACACCTTTAATTCACAATTTTAATTCACACCTTTAGTTCAGATGTGCCAGCAGACGATAGTGACATCACCAGATTCAGGACTGAAGCTTTAGCAGCACACAATGAATTCAGGGCGAAACACCAGGCTCCACCACTTACTCTAAGGTGAGTTGACACCTTTAATTGACACCTTTAGTTGACACCTTTAGTTCACACCTTTAGTTCACACATTTAAGTTACACTTATAGTTCACAGACTTATTACACACCTTTCATGGAATCGCTACAACAATCGTTCCTTTTACATCACGTGATATTTTTATCGTCGATTACATCGATTTTTTTCTAAAACGTGTCGGCATGTGGTCTCAACTACTTAAACACTATTGAAACGTTGTTAAACCTAGGGGTTGTCATTCAATTACGTCAAACACTGGGGGAAGGGGAGGGGGTGGAGAAATGAAACATGTGACTAGGCTAGTGTAGGGGTGTCAAAGAAATGTAAGTAGCAGTAATATTTTATACGAGCCGACCCCCGGCGAATCATACGCGTATCATAGTTGTTTTATTTTCTACTTTTCAGTACTTCATAGTTAGTGAATTCGACACTACCCTCCCTTCCATACCTCCCGCCCCCCCCCCCCCCCCCCCCGCCACCGTATAAGCAGCCGTCCGTGACGACAGTTTACGGTTGACACTGAAAAGATCAAGCAGAACTTCTTACCTGTCCTTGGTTTCAAATCGTTTAAATGCTAAATTATCTGCCCCTAAAAGCCGTCACTAATTCGACCCGGCGCTACGATTGTAAACATTCGGGGTGAACCTTATCTCACCAGAATGGTGGGGGTGGGGGTGGTAGCTATATGCCTAGAGAGCGGGGGAGTAACGGCGTGCATTTACGTGGTGTCTCGCATGGTCCCCATGTAGAGAATTATATATATAGATAAGTCAAATAGACAAAAGTACTTAGAAACTTGTCTGTTCTTGATTTAAAAAAGTTAGTTGTAGGTCCGAACTTTTTGAGGTCGTATTTTTGTGGCGACATTGAGGGTTAGGGGATTGTAAGCTTATCAAAAAACTGTGTGGCAGGGTTCTCAGAAGTGCCTACATGGTTCTTGGAATTGAAATGCTGAGCGTAACACTAGCACCCACAGAAGGGAGAGAGAAATCGGGTCAAGGGTTTCAAAATCTGGGTTAAACAGTCTAATGTTGTTGGTTTTTGCCTCTGTCTATACACCAATATCTGAAGTCTACGCGAGGGTTATGAGCTCTAGAGTTTCAATTGACCTGTTGACCAGCTGCTTCATTTCAACCCTGCTCCAGAAACTACCTCCCCCCCACCCCTAATTCCATTTATAATTATTTGATCCGGTCACTAGCTCTATTGTTGTTAAAGAATGAATAAAGATAATAGTTAATGAATATAAAGCTATTAAGCACTATATTTTCTGAATCTAGGTAAAATTCAGTGATGGATCTCAAAATGAGCTTTTTTAAAGAAATAATCCCTGCTGGCGCCCCCAAAGGTTTGGCGGGCCACCAGCGTCCACCCCACACGACATCCTCTTGTTACGCGTCATGCTTTGTCTCCCCCCCCCCCCCCTCTATATTCAGTAAATATCTTTTGCTACACCCTTCCGTTCTTTGATGTTGACTTCCCACCTTATCTCTGCCTCTAAGCCTGTAGAAAACTCACGATTAAAACAAATGCTTCTTCCAGCGATGACCTCAACGAGTACGCCCAGAATTATGCGAACCACCTGGCCAAGATAGGCAAGATGGTTCACAGCGATTGTGATATGAACGGGGAGAGGCTGGGAGAAAACCTTGCCTACAAGTGGACGTCTGCTCCAGGGGGAGCGGACATGACAGGTGAGAGGTGTCAGGGACGTAAAGGGGTACTCAAGGGAGCCCCAGGTTACACTTCCTGTGCGGTCGCTGAAGCGTGTTCTACCTCACTTTTACGTAGAGAAATTATCGTACACTCAAGGCTTTCATACACCACGCTCTGGTGCGTGCTGGGCGGTAGTGTAGACAAACCCCTGTCTCGACAAATATGATCCAAGAAATGAAGCGTAGGCATTGTTTACATTTAAAGAACTCAGTTTTAGAAAACAAGTTCACACTTCTAAAAATATAGGATTGGTACGCATTGATGAAACCCTCTTGAAATTTTTCGTCAGACTTTATTCTATCCCCGCTGCAACGCGCTGGGACGGGCACGCTAGTAGGTCTATAAAAGGCATTAGCGTTGTCTACAGTCCAAACTAAATAGGCATCATTCAAATCTCTCTGAATGAAAAAAAAACTAAATCTTCATGACGGATGAGTTTAATTTTTTTTTTAATTACAGGCGCGGAACCAACGGAGATGTGGTACTCAGAGATTGAAGATTTTAAAAGATATGGAGATGCCTCAAATATATTCAGTGGTACAGGTAGGTTCACATCTAAGAGATCTAATATTAGAGGTGGGTTCGCCTTATAGATGTAATGGTACAGGTACGTTCACATCTAATAGATTTAATATTATAGGTAAGTTCACATCTATCAGTTGTAACGGTAGAGGTAGACTTTCCAAATAGGTATGTTGGCACAATTACCAATCGCACCAATTACGAACCGTATCTGTCAAGTAGAAGTGACTGCAATTTCGCTCCGGCGTTTCGATCTAGACATACTGACGACTGGCAACTGACGACTGACGACTGACGACAGACTGACGAGGAAGTGAGTTAAACAAAAGCTTGTAAAAAAGTAGATGTTTTTAAAAAGACAGAAACATGTAAGCTGAAGTGTGACTTCTTTTAGATGTGAATGATAAAGTTGCCTTCCGCGACTTGGCGGGACACGGGGCAGGTGGACGAGAGTTCATCTGTTTCTTTGATCTCAGCAAATGAAAGGATAGTTTGGTCAGACCCGTACTCAGCAGATATTGGTGTTTTCAAAAGATAATATGTTGTCTGAGGTGTGACATCTTTTGAAATGTGAGGTCTGGGTTTTTGTGACGATGTGTGACAGTGGGGAGAGGGATGGGAAAGATAAAAATCGTCAAACAAACGTGACGTCATTTATGCAGTGATGCGGGGGAGAGGAAAGATAAAAAAAAGTTTTTAAAAAAAAACTTATGTCATATAATGATGACCCCCGAAATCCACAGTTATCCAAAGGATAACGGGTAGTGTAGGGGCTTACATAATTTAATTCATTATTTAACTAATATCGTCCTGTTAAGATTTGAATTCTGTGACTTGTACCTGTAGGTCACTTCACACAAGTCGTGTGGAAGTCAAGTAAACAGCTCGGCATGGGCAAGGCCAAGACTAGCGACGGCAAGGTGTTCGCGGTGGGGAGCTACAGACCCCCCGGGAACTACGTGGGGAATTACAAGGAGAATGTGCTACCCCCCAAGTAAATGCCGCCACCGCCGCTCCTGATGAATGTAGAAAAATTGAATCTATTTGAATCTTGTAATATCGACATGGTATATCAAAGCTTGCTACCCTAATTATGTCTTTATGTCTATAGTCCTTACCCTGGGTAAAAGCCTGTTGCTTTTTACTTTCTCGGATACAATTTTGTCCTTATGTCTGTGTGTTTGTATGTGTGTATGTATGTGTATTTGTGTATGTGTGTGTGTGTGTCTGTGAACACGATAACTAGAGTACTGTTACAGTTAGGTTGATGAGATTTCATTTGTAAGAGTTATATCAAATTTGTAGTCCAGTATCAACTTTTCAGCAATTTCCGGTAACCGGAAGTAGAACTTATTCTACTTTTTGGTTTTTCAAAGCCTATAATGTGAGTACTGTTTCACATAGATAAAGGAATATTCACAAATAAGTAAATGATCTAATTCTCTGCCTTCTATCAAATTTTGAGTAATTTCCGTTGAGCGGAAGTAGTACTTCACGTTATTTCCGATTTCTAAAAAAATAAAAAAATAAACGCATATGAATTTATAAAATACTAATAATATTCCGTACTATTATACATATATTGTTTGCCGTTCAGTTGGTGCGAAATTTTGTTTACGAGATTCAATTCTATTTTAAAAACGTTGAGGTAATTAAAAATTGATTAAAAATCATGTCTATATCCCTAGGTTCCATCCCCGTAGTGGTATATAAGAATATTCGAGAAAGTTTAGGAGAGCTTACTCCCGCTTTATTCTATTTCTAGCACTGACTTTAACTGTGATATCTGGAGCAACAAACACGAGATACTATACTGTGATACGATATTTTCCTGTCCGCAATCAAAAGAGAGCCAGTGTTTACGTTATTTAAAATAAAACTATAAACTACCAGATATAATTGTGGTTCTAAAATTATATCCATTTGTACATGTTTTTTTTTTTTTTGCTTCCTCCCCATTTTTCCCCTCCCGCCTACAGAAGTAAACGCATTGTGATTTTCTTTAAATAGATCTATCGGTTTATTTATATAGAATGGGATAGTATGGACAGGGATAGTGTTTATTTTGCTACAACTCGCATCCATTGAATTTCATATTTTATTATTCATTACGAGCTGACCCGCTGCGTATCATACGCCGCTATTTAGTTTTTTTTTTTTCTACTTTTCAGTAATTTATAATTTGTGAATTCGACAGTACCAATGCTGCCATTGAAAATATTTGCTTAAAAACACTAAACCCCCCTTCCCCCCCCCCCCCCCCACGTGAAAGCAGCCTCCTCTTAGTTACCTCCTCTAAGTTTAAAATCTTTTCAAACTAAATTATCTGCCCCTAATAGCCGTCACCAAACCCGTCTCTATGATTGTAAAATGTAAACCGAGTGAACACCGCTCACCATATCATGTGGGGGTGGGGTGGGGGTGGTAGTGATAGTGATAGAGAGGAAGAGAGAGGACTGCAAAGGCTCGCTTGCAGCTTGTTTTCTAACTGATCCCAGAAGAGAATTATATATATAGATATTGTTTTTATTCAGAATACTGTTCATGTCTCTTATCCATCAATTAGCCCGATTGTTACGAAATTTGTAAGATTCAATTTAGCGATTAGATGTTATGTTTGACAAAGAATGAAAAGGCCCTAATTTGCTCGTACTTGTTTAAATATCGTAAAACACTTTTGCATTTTTTTTTTGAGAAGGGAGGTAAGGATGTCAAATGATATTCGTGTTTTATTTTGGCTACCTCCCTTCTATTACCAACATAAGAATTTTTTTAAATTTATCTAGGGAGTATTTTCAAATTCTGGTTAAGGATATCTTTAAACTTCTGGCGTTATTCATATTGTAATTACTTTTTTTGAATTAAACATTCCGCTTCCCTACAGATACGTAGTGTTGTAAAAAAAATATTTTATAATTTGACTTTTTAATCTGATGATAATGTATGATATCCATTTTCTTCTAATTATGTTCTGTGATATTGAAAAGTTTTCGTAAGAAACATTTTTAAGTAGACCTACTAAAACTTGAGTGTCTGTGTACACTTAAATGCTCAAAATAAACTAAAATAACATAATTCTCCTGATCTTGTAGCCCAGTTTATTCATTATATAAATTAGTTGTTTGTTACCACAAACATGTTACCACATGTTTATAATTACCATTATGTAATACTATAAGAAGCTTTGTATTTGTCAATGTCTAAACACAACTGAAGGTCTAAACAAAACAAAAAGTGTATGTTAAAGATACTTGAATTAGGAAACAAAAACAGCACAATCTATACGTATGAAATCGAGTGTGCAGCTGTGATTAATTAAAACAGATATTTCTCCTAACTTAAGTGCGACAGTTTATCTACTTCAGTACAATGGCTAGACATAGTTTACGCATCCGGAGTGTGAGAGATTATTAATTACCATAGAAACAGAATTGTTTTGTTCACGTTATCAGTACAATAAAAAAATAGAAACTTTCTAAAGTGAATTCACTGAAGGTCTTCACCAACCGGAACTAACTTAACACACGGAAGTATGTTGCAGTTTTGTTATTTTAAATAAAAACAACTCGAGTCGTTAGTGGCCTGAGGCAATGTGTGACCCGAACACAAGGCAGATGACACACGTTCAAGAGGCGCACGTTCAGTCAGTCAGGGAACACGGTAAATCTTGATACGGAACGTGACCGCGTCAATACGATCACGTGACACACGTAACATGTAAACATTGTTGTATTGGGAGTGAACAAACAACTTCACGCGTCGTCACTACACGTGAGTTTGTATACATATATCTATATCTATCGATATATATATATATTATATATATATATATATATATATATATATATATATATATATATATATATATATATATATATACATATATATATATATATGTATATATTCAATATATATATATATAATATCTTTATATATATATATATATATATATATATATATATATATATATATATATATATATATATATATATATATATATATATCACATATATTTATCATATATTTATCTACAGTATAGGCATATATATATATATATATATATATATATATATATATATATATATATATATATATATATATATATATATATATATATATATATATATATATATATATATATACAGGCCTATATATATGTTTATTTATTTAATTTTTCTTTTTATGCGACTGTCTTTTTTTTGTGTTGGCCGTACCCACCTGTTGTACAATGTTTGAGAATATGATTAATTAATTGTTAAGTTAACTGTTGCTGATAAGGTTATGATTACGTTCATGGTAATAGTACTAATGACGTCCTCGCCCCGTGTACTCGTTTTGTTGTACGGGCAGTCGGTGAGTAGCTTAATGTCTATCTGTCTACAGTAAGTAGTTGAACGAGGATATGTAAACCGAGCTAATGATGACAAAATGATGTGGCGTCTTAGTGAAGCTTCGAACAGTCGAAATAAATGAAAAATATGTATAATTTCGAACGTAACGGTCCATGGGCTGGTGAAGCAGAGTTCACCTTTTTTTATCACCTCGGTAAATGAATGAATAGCATGATCAGCACTATGCACTCCCGCCTTTACTTTCCATTACGTTGGCTTTGGGTTGACTCAAGGCGTCCTACGGACTCAAGCACGGGATCCAAACTCGAGATGTGTTTAACAAGACGTCCACAACATAAACAGGGCAACTTTTTTAAAAAATTCGGTCAAGTATCCTGACTGAAATCAGTGTGACAAATTTATTAGCCTGCTATTTTATCTTCAGGTTAAAAAAATAGAAAAGTCGAAAAAATGAAGTCATTTTTCCAGAAGTAAGTTTTAAAATTTTAATTCTATGTTTCAAATATTTTTTTCCTGAAATCAAAATACCTTTTGTTTTCCATTTTAATTGCAAGCTTGAATTTGTTTGTTATATCTTTTCATAATCAAATGAGCGTGTATATAACAAGTCCCGTAGCTCTCAGTAGCAATGATTCAATACACATAACTAATACGGCCGATAACTTCAGATGATGTATACACAAGAACGATAACCACGATTTAAAATTCCACCAGAAACAAGGCCGAGACTGTAAGGTCCTACAGGAGTGAAGAAACTCACGGCACCCAGCGGGTTGTCAGAACAACCACGACAACCACCACCACCAGCGCTGGGAAGACAACCACGTACAAGACAGAGACAACCGTGAAAGAGGTGGTGCCACAGTCCACGGGTGTAAGTGAAGCCGCTGTAAGGGGGAGGGGGGGGGGGTGATCAACTGTGGGCGAGGAAGGGGAGGGCTTTTTGTGTAGAGGGGTGATCAAGAGTGGGAGAGGTACGGGGGGGGGGGCTGTGTGTAGAGGGGTGATCAAGAGTGGGAGAGGTACGGGGGGGGGCTGTGTGTAGAGGGGTGATCAAGAGTGGGAGAGGTACGGGGGGGGGGGCTGTGTGTAGAGGGGTGATCAAGAGTGGGAGAGGTACGGGGGGGGGGGGGCTGTGTGTAGAGGGGGTGATCAAGAGTGGGAGAGGTACGGGGGGGGGGGGGGGGCTGTGTGTAGAGGGGTGATCAAGAGTGGGAGAGGTACGGGGGGGGGGCTGTGTGTAGAGGGGTGATCAAGAGTGGGAGAGGTACGGGGGGGGGGCTGTGTGTAGAGGGGTGATCAAGAGTGGGAGAGGTACGGGGGGGGGGCTGTGTGTAGAGGGGTGATCAAGAGTGGGAGAGGTACGGGGGGGGGGGGCTGTGTGTAGAGGGGGTGATCAAGAGTGGGAGAGGTACGGGGGGGGCTGTGTGTAGAGGGGTGATCAAGAGTGGGAGAGGTACGGGGGGGGGATTGGCCTGTGTGTAGATGGGGTGATCAAGAGTGGGAGAGGTACGGGGGGGGCTGTGTGTAGAGGGGTGATCAAGAGTGGGAGAGGTACGGGGGGGGGGGGCTGTGTGTAGAGGGGTGATCAAGAGTGGGAGAGGTACGGGGGGGGCTGTGTGTAGAGGGGCGATCAAGAGTGGGAGAGGTACGGGGGGGGGCTGTGTGTAGAGGGGGTGATCAAGAGTGGGATAGGTATGGGGGGGGGGGATTGGCCTGTGTGTAGATGGGGTGATCAAGAGTAACTGATGTTGGTGCTACCCAATGATATATAACAACATAATTTAAAACTATCCTTAACACTTTCTTATGGACGATCGATTAGAGTTAGAGTTATTAATTGATATCTAAATGATTACGATCAATGTTTATCATCTTATTACGACCACATTCTAAAGTTTGGTATTTTAATTTGCTGTTATCTATATTGAAGTATTTAATCATTAAGCTGGGGATCAGCATTAATCCTTTCCTGGTTCGCCTGTCTTAATAGCCTTACTAAGCTCGTGATTAAATATCTGAAGATTAGTTAAATCCTTGTTATGAGCCTGCATTATTTGAATACACAAACAACGATTGTTGTTGACATGTTCATAATGAAATGGGCGGAGTTATTTTGTGACAATAACTAAAAAGAAAGCTTAGTGATTAAAAAATATTTTAAAATAAATTCACATCTATGTGAAAATCAAACAAAGTAATCTCATTACTCCTCTGGTTTAATTTTAACTGATTTAGAAGTTTATTAATTAATGCTGAAGTAATAATCGAAGTCCTTCTTAATTAAAACTTCAAATAAAATCAATGAAAATAATATGACAAAGTATGATATCAGGAGGTCTGAAAATGTTTTCAGAATACAATATATTTTGAAATTCGTCTTCTTCCTTCTTAATGTTCAATGAGGGAAGGGATCCCCTCCAACACAATTAAGTGGTACTTGTCATCGTGTTATGAGTCATGTAGGCCGCTGACTCTCATGTCAGCTGCTTCTCTTTTTGGATTTGCTGCCATTGCCTTTGTCCAACCAAGAACAGACTACAAGGCAGCAGTTCTTTGATTTTGGAGTTGTCTCTCCTAGAAGAGTGGCTGTCCCCAGCTATCGAGCCGCCACGGTCTAGGTTTTTTTAAACACTCTGTTATGGTGAAATCCTAACCTTTCAAGGTGTGTTTTTTTTTCCAGATATTTTTGGAGAAAGAGAAAAAATCTTTTGAGATATCCAACCCAAGAGCTCAATCAAGCAAATTTATTCAGGTAAACACAAATGAACTTTTGAAGCTTGTTACTGACCCGGCGTATGTTGGTATAATGTTGATTTAACCTTTTCTTTCATATGAAGTGTTTCTTTCAAACGTTTTTCTTCGTGGGGGGCACTTGATATTTTTTGGGGGACTACATTTTCAGGGGGGGGGGGGGTAATTTTCAGGGGGGCGGACACTGGTAAAAGTTTATATTTATATAGAAATTCCAGTTCGTTCCAAAGGGGGGGGGGCGGTAGAGCGCCCCCGCCCGAAGAGATGCCTAGAAGAAACTCTGTTCATATGTGCTGTCGGATTCGACCGTGCAGGCCTTTAACATGGAGTAATCTAAAATCTATTACATTGAGAGCCGTAGGATTCTTAGACGTGACTTCTCGTAAAGTCTATTGTAGCGACCATAAATAGATAAACTGACTTTGGGGACCAATTCAAATTTGTGAAAAAGAAGTTGACTTTTTTGTTAAATAAAGAAAAACTTTTCCAACAAAATCCAATGAAATAGGTGGTATTCTATTCCCACTTCCTACACCCCTCTATAATTGCCTTTGTGTGCTTTTAACAGAAAAAAAAACACTTTCCAACAATGCAATGTAAACAATTCTTTTCCTCCAGATTTCTAAAGGAAGTGATTCAAGATCGACGCAAGCATCGGAGCCACGACCACAAACATTCAAAGAAACTTTCAAAGTACTTTTTATTTTCGTTGTAAATTTACGGTTTCTTAAGTTTACAATAAATACCACGTCACATCCTGTGCTATATTTAGAATGAAATAACGATTAGGTGTCCAGATAAAAATATGTTTTTCTAACTAACCATGTGTAAACGTTATTAGCCCAGCCAAAACGCTGACAAGATCTTCTCAAGTTTATTTTTTCTTACATTAGTTTGTTTTCAACATTCACTTCGTGGGGAAGCCCTCGTCATTAAATTAGGTTTGATTTGATTTCATTTTGATGGTTAGCTTCGTGGATTGACTGCTGTTCAAAAATTAGGTTCACATGAAATGAGATGAAATCTTAGTTACATAAATCATATATATATATATATATATATATATATATATATATATATATATATATATATATATATATATATATATATATATATATATATATATATATATATATATATATATATATGGGGGGGGGGGCGCCAAACGGAAAGTTCGCCCCGAGCGCCGGGAAGGTTCGCTACGCCTCAACTTTGAGGGTCGCTCTTCGACAGGCGCCAAAACGGTAACAGAATATAATGCAAAAAAAAAAACATTTATATAATTGTAATTTAAATTTTTTAATAATTAATATTCTAATTCTACACAACAGTGGCGTAGCGAGGTGCGGCACTTAATGTTGTCACCCCCCCCCCCATACGGCGTAGCGACCCTTCCGGGGGACAAACTTTCAATTTTCAATTTGCATCCCCCCTTCCTCCTCAAACTATCGATTTGCACCTCTTAAAAGACTATGAGGTCGTCCATAAATGACGTCATACTCGTAGCGGGAAGGGGGGTCCGTAATTTTGTGACGGTGTGTGATGAGGGGGAGGGGGTTCAGATGGTGCGACGTCACACTTTTGCATTATAAAAAAGCAATGTTAAAAAACGAATTTTAGACGTTATTTTGCGTTTTAGAAAACTGTTTTAATAAATTCTAATAACAATTGATTAAAGGACTCGATTTTGACAGAGTTCAGAGAAGATTTTGGAAAAACATAGCTGTTTTAAAAAATTTCAACTGCAATTTTGAGGGGGGTTGTAGGCTGAGGTGTGACGTCATTTTACCGGGGGGGGGGGTCTGGCTTTTTGTGACAACGTGTGACGGAGGGGAGGGGGGAGGTAAAAATCATCAAAAAAAGCGTGACGGCATATATGGATGACCCCTATTTAACACGCGAATTAATCACTTAATTAGGTGGAATTGTCATTTTTCTATAGATTTTTTGCTATTTTTTGCCTTGGTGTCACCCCTCTAAATGGTGTCACCCAGTGCGGTCCGCATCCCCACCCGCCCCCCCCCCCCCCCCCCCCCACTATCGCTACGCCTCTGCTACACAACAACATTATTCATTTTAGACCTAATTACATATTTTAAAATATTATTACAAATGTTCAATTTTAGATTGTGATTGTTAGTTCCCTTTATTACAAAAATCGAAATAGATAAGGGGAGTAACATGCAAATATCTTCACAAAAGCTGTTTTTTTTTAAATTCAAAGGAAATTAATATAAACAGAAAAAATAAAAAAAGGTTATATTTTTTCAGATAAATATACCTATCAAACAATGATATTAATTATTATGTTTAATCTATATGTTAATTAATTATAAAATCATTCTTTATTTATATTTTAATTTTTAAAAGTTTAGCTTTATTAAAAAAAACTTAACGTGTAGACCTATGTCAATATATTAAAGTGTATTCGGTACGTATTTTCTAAAGCGGCTTTAATACTCCAGCATCATCTATAAATTATATTATGTGTACACTAGTCGAGCCATGTGTCGGTTTGAAAGCACTGTAAGAATCAACAAATACATATCCTACGCTTATTTGCGCAACATTTTAGAAAGCTTGTATTGTATTCCTAAACAATCAGATTCTTATTAATTCAGCTTTATTTATTGCATTTTTTTGCCTTAGTGTTATGTAGTATGGGCTATAAAATCAGATATCTAACACAAGTGGTTTTTTTTGGGGAGGCGCCAAGGTTTTGGGGGCAATTATATGAAGGTGCCGAGATTTTGTTTCATACAAATGTGCCAATATTTTGTGGGGTTTTATGGAGTTGATAAATGTTTGGAAACCGCTACATTATGTTTCTTCTAGTCCTTTGTTACTCTCAGCCTAACAAAAATACGTTTTTCGTATTAGTTTTCATGCTTTAATCGTCCTGCGTGCAGAGGCGCAGCGATGGGGAGGGGGGGGGGGGCAGGGGACGACGACATATGTCCCCGGGCGCCGACCTTAAAATGTCATTTTAGCTGAATTTTTGCAGTTTGAGGGGGGGGGGGGGGATGCAAGTCGAAAGTTTGAGGGGGGGGGGGTGCAAATCAAAAAGTTAAGGGGGGGGTGCAAATTGAAAGTTTGAGGGAGAAGGTGCAAATTGAAAATTTGCTCCCGAGGGGGGCGCCAAATTGAAAGTTTGTCCCCGGGCGCCGGGAAGGGTCGCTACGCCTCTGTCTGCGTGTTACGAAATATGTTTTAATCAATGGAGTATTTTAATATATTGTCTAAAAAATATTTTTTGTTAGCCGACAGTCATTTTAACTCCAATAAAAATATATTATTTTAAATATTGAAAATGTACTTTAGATTTTTGCAGAGAAAGACAAAAAGTCAACACCCCAGCCTTCAACAACATTGCAGGCGAGTTAATTATTAATTACTTAATATTTTTTTTTTCTAACTAAACCTGCCTTTTGTTTTACTCGTATATCGCCTGAACAGAATGCACACAACTTAATGATAGACTGCAACATAAATTGTTATTAGAATTTCTACTTTTGTACAACTATTTAGGCAGAATTTTGTTTAAAAATACCAGTGAATATAGATAATTAATTATGTTAAAATATGCAGGTTCTTCTGGATAAAGACAGTAAAACAAAGTTTCAACAGAGCCCTACATTCTCTCCACTCAGGGTAGGCCCTTCATTTTTATCTTAACACATGGCAACTGAATTTAACAATTTTACAAATAGTTTTTCTATATTTATCTTAACATATGGCTACTGAATTTTACAATTTTACTAATAGATTTTTTATTTTTATCTTAACACATGGCAACTGAATTTTATAATTTTAAAACTAGTTTTTCTATATTTATCTTAATTCATTGCAACTGAATTTTACAATTTTACACATATTTTTTTTTATATTTATCCACAATGCAATTGAATTTTTTGTAATTTTACAAATATTTTTTTCTATATTTATTAAATATCAAGATTACTGTAGTTTAAAAAGAATGTGACTACCGAATATTTCACTATCTGCATGATTGAGTTCCATGTGTTTTGTTGATAGACTACAGCTTCAGCGATCGTACAACCGAAAGTTCGAAGTTTGGAGCAGTTCAGACAAGATGCTTTGAGGGCTCATAATGTGCGGCGGGCTAGGCATGGTGTGCCCCCGCTTGTACTTAAGTAAGTTGTCACACGTCTTACATTAAGGTAACTTGACACACCTGTTATATGTAGGTAACTTGACGTACATGTCATATGTAGGTAACTTGGCACACCTGTCACATGTAGGTACTTGAAACACTTGTCACATTTAGGTAACTTGATACACGTCTCACATTTAGGTAACTTGAGACACCTGTCACATTTAGGTGACACACCTGTCACAGTTAGGTAACTTGACACACCTCTCACATTTAGGTAACTTGACACACCTCTCACATTTAGGTAACTTGACACACCTGTCACATTTAGGTAACTTGAGACACCTGTCACATTTAGGTAACTTGACACACCTGTCACATTTAGGTAACTTGACACACGTCTCACATTTAGGTAACTTGACACACGTCTCACATTTAGGTAACTTGACACACCTGTCACATTTAGGTAACTTGAAACACCTGTCACATTTAGGTAACTTGACACACCTGTCACATTTAGGTAACTTGAAACACCTGTCACATTTAGGTAACTTGACACACCTGTCACATTTAGGTAACTTGACACACCTGTCACATTTAGGTAACTTGACACACCTGTCACATTTAGGTAACTTGACACACCTGTCACATTTAGGTAACTTGAAACACCTGTCACATTTAGGTAACTTGACACACCTGTCACATTTAGGTAACTTGACACACCTGTCACATTTAGGTAACTTGACACACCTGTCACATTTAGGTAACTTGACACACCTGTCACATTTAGGTAACTTGACACACCTCTCACATTTAGGTAACTTGACACACCTCTCACATTTAGGTAACTTGACACACCTCTCACATTTAGGTAACTTGACACACCTGTCACATTTAGGTAACTTGACACACCTGTCACATTTAGGTGACACACCTGTCACATTTAGGTGACACACCTGTCACATGTAGGTTACTTAATGCACCCGTCACTTTACTTAATAACTTGATTTACGTGTTAAATCTAGTTACTCCAACTCAAATGATACATTTAGGAACGTTAAATTCCTTAACATCTAAATAAGTTTACACCTCTTATAATCCAATAACTAGACGCACATCGTATATTTAGGTAAGTTGACACAACTCTTATATTAATGTAACTTGGCCCACCTTATATTAAGGTAGCTTGACTTATACTAAGGTGACTTGGCTCGACTTATATGAAGGTAACGTGAATCGATTTATATTAAGGTAACTTGGCCCGACTTATATTAAATGTATATATCTCTCATGTTTAACTGAGATAAATTCTGACAACCCATACCTATTCCACTGAAGTAACTCTCTGTCCCTCAAGTAAAGTAACTCACCAGGTCATGTATACAGTAAACCACACCTTGCTTAATCTGCCGGAAGTTGGACGCAGCGACCTGCGTCTTCATTGTAACATTTAACACATATTATCTTACTGATCGGGAAGTTGAACTCAACAATTCTAATCTAAAACCCTCGAGCCTACTCAGCTGTAATGGATACCGGTCTATAGTAGAGAATAGAAAAGGCCGGTGGTTACTGTGTCCTGATTACCCATGATACCATAGACTAACATCACAGACAGACTCTGCTTCACCTGTACTTTTTTCTATGTCGCTCCGCTTCAGACCAGACCTCAATGACTACGCCCAAAACTACGCCTCCCAGATGGCCAGAACCAACAGCTTCCAACACAGCGACTGCCGTCTGGGTGGGGCTAGGATCGGCGAGAACATCGCCTACAAGTACTCCAGTGCCGGCCTGGACTACACAGGTACCACCTCAGCTAGTGCTAGACACGTACAGCATCATTGCATGTTAGACCCAGCTGCCTCATCACGTTTTATCAGCAACTCATTATCTACTGCGGCCCAATTTCCAATCACCTACTGACAGACCAATCCCAAATCACCTACCGCTATGTAGTTCTACAATCACCTACAGCTACCTAGTTCCACAAACACCTACCGCGATCTAGTACTACAATCACCTACATCTATCTAGTTCTACAATCACCTATCGCTACCTAGTTCCACAATCACCTACATCTATCTAGTTCCACAATCACCTACAGCTATCTAGTACTACAATCACCTACAGCTATCTAGTTCCACAATCACCTACAGCTATCTAGTACTACAATCACCTACATCTATCTAGTTCCACAATCACCTACAGCTATCTAGTACTACAATCACCTACAGCTATCTAGTACTACAATCACCTACATCTATCTAGTTCCACAATCACCTACAGCTATCTAGTACTACAATCACCTACATCTATCTAGTTCCACAATCACCTACAGCTATCTAGTACTACAATCACCTACAGCTATCTAGTACTACAATCACCTACAGCTATCTAGTTCCACAATCACCTACAGCTATCTAGTACTACAATCACCTACATCTATCTAGTTCTACAATCACCTACAGCTATCTAGTACTACAATCACCTACAGCTATCTAGTTCCACAATCACCTACAGCTATCTAGTACTACAATCACCTACATCTATCTAGTTCCACAATCACCTACAGCTATCTAGTACTACAATCACCTACATCTATCTAGTTCTACAATCACCTACAGCTATCTAGTACTACAATCACCTACATCTATCTAGTTCTACAATCACCTATCGCTACCTAGTTCCACAATCACCTACATCTATCTAGTTCTACAATCACCTACAGCTATCTAGTACTACAATCACCTACATCTATCTAGTTCTACAATCACCTATCGCTACCTAGTTCCACAATCACCTACAGCTATCTAGTACTACAATCACCTACATCTATCTAGTTCTACAATCACCTATCGCTACCTAGTTCCACAATCACCTACAGCTATCTAGTTCCACAATCACCTACAGCTATCTAGTTCCACAATCACCTACAGCTATCTAGTTCCACAATCACCTACAGCTATCTAGTTCCACAATCACCTACAGCTAACCAGTTCCATTATCTCTTTCTGACATCGGTTTACTTAATCAACTACTGCTACTTAGGTCACCTATCCCCTACTCTTACCCAGTTCCACAATCACTTAATGCCACACATTTCCACAATCACTTAATGCCAAAGCGTTCCACAATCACCTACTTCCATTCAGTTCCTTAATCAACTACTGCTACTTAGGTCACCTATCCCACACTCTTACCCAGTTCCACAATCACTTAATGCCACTCAGTTCCACAATCACTTAATGCCACACATATACCCAATCACTTAATGCCACACATATACCCAATCACTTAATGCCACACATATACACAATCACTTAATGCCACTCAGTTCCACAATCACTTAATGCCACACATATACCCAATCACTTAATGCCACTCAGTTCCACAATCACTTAATGCCACACATATACCTAATCACTTAATGCCACTCAGTTCCACAATCACTTAATGCCACACATATACCCAATCACTTAATGCCACACATATACCCAATCACTTAATGCCACACATATACCTAATCACTTAATGCCACACATATACCCAATCCCTTAATGCCACACATATACCTAATCACTTAATGCCACACATATACCCAATCCCTTAATGCCACACATATACCCAATCCCTTAATGCCACACATATACCAAATCACTTAATGCCACACATATACCCAATCACTTAATGCCACACATATACCCAATCACTTAATGCCACACATATACCCAATCACTTAATGCCACACAGATACCCAATCACTTAATGCCACACAGTTTCACAATCACTTATTGCCACACCGATACTTAATTACTTAATGCTACAGTTCCACACTCACTTAATAACACACCGTTCCACTATCACCTACAGCTATCTAGTTCTACAATCACCTACTTCCATTCAGTTCCTTAATAAACTACTGCTACTTAGGTCACCTATCCCCCCACTGTTACCCAGTTCCACCCAGCTCCACAATCACATACAGATACCCAATCACTAACCCTAACCCAGTTTCACAATAACAGCTACCCAAGTAGGCCTACCCACTCACCTACTGTTCCTCAATCACTCACAAAAAAGTCAGAAATTCTCTACTTCCCCAACCCAGCGAGAATCTGATGGCTACATCGTGTTACACTAAAACAAGCCAATCATTTCATTTCATCCTTGGATTAGACGCTTTCACTGTGACTTAACATTTGTAGGTGAAGAGGTGACAGAAGGGTGGTACAGCGAGGTCAAAGATCACAGCTATATGTCCGAGGGTTCAACGTATCAGCGCACAGGTAAAGTGCATCATCATGCATGCACATCGTAATCACATCTTTGCACAATCAGCTCTGATTGCCAACATGCAGGATAAAATCTATTGCATATACTGAGATCCATGTCCATTTCTTGGCGAATGACTATGCATTAACGATAACCCTGTGACCAGAAGTAGCCTGGACCCCGACACTAAAATAGAAATTAATGGTGGAACAAATAGAAGACTAGCTAGAAACCAGTGATAAAGAGCACTTTTTTTTCTTTAAAAGGAGAGGAAACTTCATTGACTATATCAACTGATTTGTGTTACGCATGGCTAATAAAATGCACGGTTATTGACCAATTAGCTTTATCGTATTAAATGCTCTTTTAGTATTTAAGTTTGAGAATTGGGGTGGGGGGGGGGTGCTAGAGACAGAAAATTAACCGAAGCCGTTCTTTTGATGATCCTTGTGTAAATTATTGCAGGCCTCCATTCCAGAGGCGTAGCAAGGGGGGGGGTACATATGTCCCCGGGCGCCGACCTTAGGGGGCGCCAAAATGGGTTGGAAAAACAAATTAAAATCACATTTTAGCATTATAAATATAAAATAATATATGGGGAGGAGGGTACAAATGGAAAGTTTGAGAGGGTGGGGTGCAAATTGAAAATTGAAAGGTTCTTCCCGAGGGGGGCGCCAAATTGAAAGTTTGTCCCCGGGCGCCGGGAAGGGTCGCTACGCCTCTGCTCCGTCCTTATCAACGACGACTTCCATTCGGCGGAGATAGGCATTTTTTATCTTTAATACCATGCCAAGTGAATTAATTCGAAGTCTATATCTTAATATCTTAATTTTCATAGCAAGAACACCCAATCATATTTTAGTCACCGAGTCTATACTTTTGTGTTCATGACCGACTAAAACCTCAAATAGAAACATTTCTATTTTTCCAAAATATATGTTCAATTTTCTGACTTCGTTTTGTTTCAAAACAGGTCATTTCACTCAGGTCGTTTGGAAAGACACGAAGGAGCTCGGGATTGGTCGAGCTACAAGCCCAGACGGCAAGGTCTTTGTTGTTGGGAGTTACAGACCCGCCGGAAATGTCATAGGTTCCTTCCGGTTCAACGTTTTCCCGCCAAAACGTTAACATACAAACCAAATGTTGAAAAATTTACGATTGTTGCATTTATTTTAAATCCATGCTTGGTTTTAATCATATAATTTTCATTATTATTTTTTAAATTTCAAAATAAAACTAAAAATTAACATTTCATAACATTCCCAAATATTAGTGTTGTTAATGTTGTTTATTATCTCGTATCAGTAAATTAACGAAATATCTTCTCTTTTTTTTTTTCAAAAAATGTATCTTAAAATGATTAATTCAAAAACGAATTAAGTCAAATTTAATGTCACATTGCATTGTTATCGGTTCTCGACCTCTTGGAAACAATCGGTTCAGTAGAAGCGGTTAACATTTTTCGAACTATGACAGAAAAAAGACAAAAGCTTTACATTACGTACGTACGTGAGAAGTAATTAAATACAAGCTTGTAGAAAATGTTTTATTTCTGGCCATACGGAAACTTCGAAGTTATAGTTTTGTTCAGACAGCTACACACCGATAATAATTCAGACAGCTACTCATAGACAACAACTCAGCTACACACCGACAACTCGTACAACTACAACAGCTCACACAGCTACTCACCAACAATATCTCAGACAGAGACTCATAGACAACAACTCAGACAGTTACTCACAGAGTTTCTTCCAGGCATCTCTTCAGGGGGGGGGGGGGTCCTCCGAAGAAAGTTTACCGCCCCCCCCCCCCCCCACCCCCGAACGAAATAGAATTTGTATAGAAAATATACACTTTTAGTGTAGAAATTTTAGTCTCCCCCACCTCCCGAAAATTTCAGGTCCCCCCCCCCCCCCTCCGGAGAAAAAAATCTGGAAGAAACACTGGTTACTCACCAACAATATCTCAGACAACTACTCATAGACAACAACTCAGACAACTTCTCATAGACAACAACTCAGACAGCTACTCATAGACAACAACTCAGACAGCTACTCATAGACAACAACTCAGACAGCTACTCATAGACAACAACTCAGACAGCTACTCATAGACAACAACTCAGACAGCTACTCATAGACAACAACTCAGACAGCTACTCATAGACAACAACTCAGACAGCTACTCATAGACAACAACTCAGACAGCTACTCATAGACAACAACTCAGACAGCTACTCATAGACAACAACCCAGACAGCTACTCATAGACAACAACTCAGACAGTTTCTCATAGACAATACCTCAGACAGTTACTCAACAAAAATACCCCAGACAGTTACTCATAGACAACAACTTAGACAGCTACTCATAGACAACAACTCAGACAGCTACTCATAGACAACAACTCAGACAACTTCTCATAGACAACAACTCAGACAGCTACTCATAGACAACAACTCAGACAGCTACTCATAGACAACAACTCAGACAGCTACTCATAGACAACAACTCAGACAGCTACTCATAGACAACAACTCAGACAGCTACTCATAGACAACAACTCAGACAGCTACTCATAGACAACAACTCAGACAGCTACTCATAGACAACAACTCAGACAGCTACTCATAGACAACAACTCAGACAGCTACTCATAGACAACAACCCAGACAGCTACTCATAGACAACAACTCAGACAGTTTCTCATAGACAATACCTCAGACAGTTACTCAACAAAAATACCCCAGACAGTTACTCATAGACAACAACTCAGACAGCTACTCATAGACAACAACTTAGACAGTTACTCACAGAGTTTCTTCCAGGCATCTCTTCAGGGGGGGGGGTCCTCCGAAGACAACAACTTAGACAGCTAGTCATAGACAACAACTCAGACAGCTACTCATAGACAACAACTCAGACAGCTACTCATAGACAACAACCCAGACAACTACTAATAGACAACAACTCAGACAGCTACTCATAGACAACAACCCAGACAGCTACTCATAGACAACAACCCAGACAGCTACTCATAGACAACAACTCAGACAGCTACTCATAGACAACAACCCAGACAGCTACTCATAGACAACAACCCAGACAGCTACTCATAGACAACAACTCAGACAGCTACTCATAGACAACAACCCAGACAGATACTCATAGACAACAACTCAGACAGTTTCTCATAGACAATACCTCAGACAGTTACTCAACAAAAATACCCCAGACAGTTACTCATAGACAACAACTCAGACAGCTACTCATAGACAACAACTTAGACAGTTACTCACAGAGTTTCTTCCAGGCATCTCTTCAGGGGGGGGGGTCCTCCGAAGACAACAACTTAGACAGCTAGTCATAGACAACAACTCAGACAGCTACTCATAGACAACAACTCAGACAGCTACTCATAGACAACAACCCAGACAACTACTAATAGACAACAACTCAGACAGCTACTCATAGACAACAACCCAGACAGCTACTCATAGACAACAACCCAGACAGCTACTCATAGACAACAACTCAGACAGCTACTCATAGACAACAACCCAGACAGCTACTCATAGACAACAACCCAGACAGCTACTCATAGACAACAACTCAGACAGCTACTCATAGACAACAACCCAGACAGCTACTCATAGACAACAACTCAGACAGCTACTCATAGACAACAACTCAGACAGCTACTCATAGACAACAACCCAGACAGCTACTCATAGACAACAACTCAGACAGTTTCTCATAGACAATACCTCAGACAGTTACTCAACAAAAATACCCCAGACAGTTACTCATAGACAACAACTCAGACAGCTACTCATAGACAACAACTTAGACAGCTACTCATAGACAACAACTTAGACAGCTACTCATAGACAACGACTCAGACAGCTACTCATAGATAACAACTCAGACAGTTATCAGCAGTAAACAAACACGTCAAACATATCAATCAACATCAAATTATTCCTATTCATCCCACAAACAGTCCTACAGACTGAAGTATATTGCAAGCGTTGATTTATTTTTCAAGTGTCGTAATTTCGTAAAGTGATGCATCGTAAGTTAATTTATTTTAGAAAACCATTTTACCATCTGTCAGAGTGATGCAGTAATTTTTTAGATAAAGTTACTAATGTTATAATGGGGAGGGTAGTAATGATAGGTTAATATTTCGTGACGTAATCATGTAAGGACAGATTCCTAACCTAATCATGTTATATAATATCTGCACTATCTTTACGTAATGGTTCATTGTGTGATTTATGTCTTGTCACCATTTTACTAATTATCAGAAATAAAATATCATGTAATGACGTCATTACCTTATGTTATATACAGACACAGTATGGTGTAAGCTTCACCAATTATTATAATTTTATTCCGAGTAAGATTCAAACAAGTCGCACTAAACCAAAGTACCGTTTATTAAAATAATATTTTTTTTATATTTTAAATGATCACTGTATAGGAGTTCATCTGCTGATCTTTACATTTTAGCTGCATTTGTTGTTCAGTTGTAATACGTTTTTAAAAACAATTATTAAAGAGCTATCAGAAATTTCTGTTAAAGAACCTCTCGCCCTCACATTTCCGTACCAAATAAAAACTTAATAACAATGTTTTTTTGTTGTTGTTGTTTTATTGATCTTATTAAACATGTTTTGCCTTCATAAAATTTTGAATATTTTTTAATGAACGAAATAACTGAGACAAGATCAATGTTTTTTTAAAGTTAAATAACACCGTACTTGTAATATTGTTGATTTGCTCTAGTCAAACTTATATCTTGTCAAAACTTTAGATAAATGTTTTTGTGTAATGAATAAAAAAAACTGAAAGAACTAAAATCTGATCATTTGCTTTATTTCAGTCAAATAACATTGGTTTTGTTATAAGTTATTTCATCTAATCAAACATAGTGTTTTATTGGGTTTTTATTTTTGTAATGTAATGAATAAAAGAATTATGATCAGATAATTGGCTTCGTTTCAGTTACATAACGCTGTTTTTATGTTATTTTATTTGATCTAATCAAACATATATCGTGTAATTACACTTCAATTTATTTATTTTTGTTGACGTAATAAATCAAGATCTAAGATCGGACCAGTGGCTTTATTTCAGTCGTTTATCTCTTTCTGATGCAACCTTGCCGGATAAACAAATTCATCATTTGATAAACTCTAGCAGACTGATCATGGCCCGCCGAATGGCCACCGCCTTTAATGACAACCTGGCAGAGGTTCCCAACCCGGGAATAGAACCCAGACAGCGCGCCATCACCGCCCCACCAAACAGAACGCTTCGAGTCCTGGTATTCCTGCTGCCTCGACCACTCCATAGACAGCAGGCCCGCGTCAACCATTGCAGGGCTGATCAGAGCGTCTTGATCACCGGTGTAGATCAAAACTTTGTACTCCTCCAAGAGTTGAGCCAGTTTGGGTTTTGTGCTGGTTAAGAAATCTTGAACCATTCGATTTCGGAAATTTGTGTTCATGTTAGACAAAAACACAAACTCCCTATTTCCAACGTGAACTAGAGATTTCAAATACTTAGAGTCCATTACTGCTTGCAGTTCGTCATACCGTGGATTTACACCAGAGTAATAATTGTTTAAGAAGAAACTGATTTTCATGATAAAAAACCTATCGAATAAGTCGTCGAAACTATAGTTTAATTTACCGCGTTTTAATTCTTTGAAAAGCTCAAGGATTGATTGCTTATGCTGCTGCGCTTCTTTTGTTGAAATGGCCCCGACGGCAAGCAGATAGTCAGGTACGGCAAGACCTTGCTCGTACGGGTCAAAGAGTGGTCCTTCAAGATAAATACCTGCTAAAGGAAGATTTGATCTTCCTTCTTTGATTTTTAAGTGCAAATAGTAAGCAAAAGCCGGGACGTACTTTCCGCCATAAGACTTTCCACCTATGTATAGCTCTCGTTTCTGGTATTCGGGAAATAACAGATAGAATTGTTCAATGAACTCGTATAGATCTTTAGAATAGCCATCTTGATCTGTTCTGTATCCAGCGCTCCCACTGTCGGAATAGCTGTAGCCGACGCTGACGGGGTTGTCTATGTACAACATTGACATAGTCTCTGTCCACGAAATGTTGCTACGCTCGTACCACGCATCCGTAAGTCGCATCGGTCCGTTCTCATAAAACAACCCCAGTGAAGAAGGAGATCCCGGTCCCCCATTTAGCCAAACCACGAGTGGAGATTCAGATCCGGATATTGAAGGAAAGAGCCAGAAAAACAAATGGTTTCCGAGCTTCTCGTCCACAGTAATGAACCCAGCGTGGCTTGTCGGTATGATAGAATTTTTATCTTCAACAAGGCTGAGTTCCTGCGCCTGTTTGATATGACCCTTGCAAATTAAAGGTGATAACATCAGTTTCTCATTCGGTAGACCGTAAGATGGTAACAGGAGATCAAGCAAGTAAATCAAAATCAGCCGGATTATCTCCATATCAGAAAGCTGAAAACAAGGTGGAAAATTTTAACTAATTACATAATGACACTGCTTTTAAAATTCAAAACTGCCCATTAATGAAATATATAATAATAAGTGTACGGCTTGACTATATAGGATTATTACCAATAAATATTTGAAAAAATAATTTTTGTCAAGTATATTTTCACGTAACACTGAAAATTCTAATACGGCAGTCGGGAGCGACCCCTACATGCCTTGCAAACCAATATCTTCATAAGCCAGTTCGTTGGAGTTTGTTGAGGCCTGCCTGGCTAATAGAAGACGCCTCCTGAGCCAGTTATTTCCATAAAGAAAGAAGAAGATACAGCAGTCTAAGGAAAATACATCAAATAATGTTATCATTTAATTTTAAAATATGTAGTAAAATTAGATCGTTTACATGTTCCGTTCAGAAGTCCGTTCCCTCGTTGGAGCAGTGTGAAAAAAAAAGTTTCTGCTAATGTTTAAATAGATTTACTGCTGGTAAAATGTCTGGGTAATTCGCTTGGAATTAAATACTAATTGGCTGCACGTGGGTATACAACGGGCATAAACTGAAGGGAGATACAGCAAGTGAGGCTAGTAAGTGTAACACTTGATACTAAAATGGGCGCATCATGCAATTTTAGAGTTATTAACTGGTAATAGGGAATGGCGGTTGTTTTATTCTCTCTTATTAACACTTTCATGGACCACGTAATATCCAAGTGTAAACTATATGACATGCTATAATCGAGATTATTGGTGGTACCGAACCGCAGACGTAGCGGAGTGGGGCGGGGGGGGGGGGCGGGGCCACCGGGTGACACTATTTAGGAGGGAGAGGGTGACACCATGGCAAAAAGTAGCAAAATATATAGAGTAAAAAATGATCTTTCCAGTTAAATGGATGATTAATTAGAGTTAAATAGTCTTTTAAAAGCAAAGTAGACAAATCCCGACAAGAGTGGGACGGGGAAGGGTGTGTTGGGGATTGACAACATAACGTGACGATAGAGAAAACAATGCCACATATAGCTGTATTAATAGACGACTATAGATGAACATCGTTAGTATTATCAATTCCCAGTTTAAAGCTGTTACGGGGGTGGGGGTTGAAGACACCAGCAATTCGTTGTAACATTTGCCCAAGGAAAAAGGTTATGTTTAATATGTCAATCGACTTCTAGGGTGGGAGGGGGTGACACCCCATTTAATAATCTACTACAACAGCAATTATTTTATACTTGAATTAATAACTGTTAGAATTAGGCCCATATATGTTGGATTAATATAAATTGACGCAATTAAAAAAAACGTTAGCGGGGAGGGGGGGGGGGGAAGAGGTGACACCAAATACATCGTTTACCGAAGTGGATTGGGATGAAACTACATTGGAAATCTACATATCAATACACAATAAAAAGCGAGCAACAAATAAATAGAACTAGTTGGCTTGCCACATAGACATACTTCGACGTTTTTCGTCATTCGTGAAAAGATTTGCCGAACGGTTTTGAAACAATTAATTCACAACTTAAATCAGTTTGATTTTTACATTTTGTATATTTTGCAATGGAACGTGTAAAATATTAGTAATTTGATTACAAATATAATTAGTATACCCTTAATATGACATTGTAATGAGCCTCTAGCGGATTTGTAAAAATAACTACCCGTTCACTATAATATGTTACTCATTAAAAAAAGAGGATGAAGTTCAGCCCAAAAGTGCGTAGCTTAAAAAAAATAAAAATACATAAAAAAGATATAATAAAATACATATACATACGTATACACACACATGCACACACACACACACATATATATATATATATATATATATATATATATATATATATATATATATATATATATATATATATATATATATATATATACACTTTTTTCGAGGGGGGGGGTGAGACCATTAGATGCCGCACCGGGTGACACCCGACCTAGCGACGTGGATAACATTAGGAGTCAAAACAAAAATTTGACTTCAAAGTTGATGTGTGGCTAGTTAAAAGCGAATTCGCTGGCCTAAAACCATCAGAAATGCTGTTTGTGATGACGCAAGGTTGCGTCGAGCTCAGGTAGATAGCAGAAGCAGGCTATATCAAGTTGGTTAGACTAGTCAGAGAGAGAGACCAATAAAAATACGTGAACTGACCGGACACGTGGGACGGTCAGCTGACCACTGAGGCGTGGGTCAGTAGTAGAGAGATAGGACAGCAGTTGATAGGTAGCTAGCGAGGAGTAGAGAAGGTGTTAGGAAGCGGTTAGAGACGGTTGTAATATGTAGAGCTAGGGAACAGAAAGTTAGTGTTAGGATTGGTCATGGGAGTGCGTAGTTAGTAGTATAGTAACAGTTAGTAGTAGTAGGTAGCATGTGGTATGGACAGTCAGATAGAAGTAGTACAGTGTAGATTAGTTAGGTTGAAAATTGATTATATACATTTGAATAAAGAACTTTGTATTTGGAACTTGAACTGTGTGTTATTGGATTCATTCGTTACGCATCTTAAAAATCCCCACCCTCACAACTGGTGCAACAAGAAGAACCACAAACAAGATCCTTTCGTACCATCACAACTGGTGTAACCATCGTCAAAACACCTGTACACTAACAACTGGTGGAGTGCGGGACGAACCGCGGATCGAGTACGGGAAAGAAATTATATCGGTTTACTCATGACGGAGTAAGACTTATGTATTGCTTTCTCTAACTCATCACAAAGCGGACTTCTTCAGTCGGAACGAGTTTGGAACACAAGGAAACTGTCACCATATTCAAAAAGATAAGTACCTTCCAAATTTTTTTTTAAACGTTTGGGTTTATACCCGTGCTGGACAGTTTGTACCAGTGTTTTTTCTGCCTTACACATTCTTATGTTACGCCCTGTTGCCTTAGTTTTGTTTACTTTCCTCAACACACACACACACACATACACAACCATGGAGGCAGAGTTTCAATGCTATAAACGGGGCATACCATTAGACAAAACAGGAGAAGAAGTTGAAACATTTGTAGAGAATAGGTTAGAAAACAAGATAGTCAAGATAGTAAGAAATGTCAAGAACAAAAGCAGAGTTAGCGTTACAATTAGTGAATCGGAGAAACAAATAGATAACACGCAACTGCCCTAGAACATCAACCCCATGACCAGGAGTTTGACCCGGACCGCCCCCATGAATGATTTTGAACACCGGACAAAAGTGAAGTCAAGTCGAGTGTTTTTTGTTAATCTAAGTAGTCGAGAAAATCGGCGTTAAGTCGTACAGTCAGAAGTCAGTGTAGTCAAATCTGAAGTCAATAGTGTTATTGAAGTCAGTGAAGTATAAGTCAGAACTGAAGTCAAAGAGGTCATTTGAAGTCAGTCAAGTCAGTCAATAAGTTGTTGAAGTCGTAGTTGAGGTCATAGTGACGTAGTTGAAGTCATGTTGCAGTCAAAGAAATATCTTTGAAGTTATATTAAAGTCGTTGAGGTCATAGTGAAGAAGTGAAATCGTCGAAGTTATAGTGAAGTCTTTGAAATCAAAGTGATGTCGTTGAAATCTTTGAAGTCAAAGTTAAAGTATTTGAAGTCGAAGTAAGGTTAATCTAAGTCAGTCGTTGAAGTCTTTGAAGTCATATTGAAGTCGTTGAAGTCATATTGAAGTCGTTGAAGTCAAAGTGAAGTCTTTGAAGTCATATTGAAGTAGTTGAAGTCAAGGAAAAGTCTTTGAAGTCAAAGTGAAGACGTTTAAGTCGTCGAAGTTTAGTCAGTCAGTGAAGTCTATTAAGTTAAAGAGAAGTCGAAGCCAGTCAGAGGTCTATGAAGTCGGTCGATTTAGTTGTCGCAGTGAAGTTAGTCGTCAAAGAAATTAGTCGTCAAGTTGAAGTAGTTGAAGTCGTCAAAGTGGAATCAGTCGTTAATTTGAAGTCAGTCAAGTTACTGAAGTCAAAGTGAAATAAGTGAAGTTACTGAAGTCAGTTAAAGTGAAATAAGTCGTAAATTGAAGTCAGTGAAGTTACTGAAGCCAAAAGTGAAGTCAGTTGTTAAATTGAAGTCAGTCAGGTTACTGAAGTCAAATTGAAGTCAGCCAAAGTTGAATAAGTCAAGTTACTGAAGTCAAAAGTGAAGTCAGTCTATTAAGTCAAGCCAGCCAGTTTTTTGTCAGAAGTCAGATAGTGAGAGCTGCTCCACTATATGATTACGTGTTCAAATGTTATTTGAAACGGCACGATTACTTATATACACTTACATGTCTATTCTTTTGTGAAGCTATTTCTAAGCTCTAGATCTAGTAGTGTTTACGTCTATTGAGTTTATTAGGCTTTACATATTGTTGTTAGATTATAGTGTACTGATTTTTTATTTGGTTAATTTTGTAATGTTATATTTGTATGCTGTATGTACCGCCAGACAAATGTTCAGCACGTTTAGATTTGGGATTGAGATTTTTTTTTAATGGAAGGTACCTCTGTCTGAATACTTGTCTGCGCGGGCACTAAATTGGTCACATAAAGCCATTGCTCATCGTCTCGTAATACAATTTTCAGACCCACTACGCTTATTCAGAATGTGACGAGATAAAGCAGACACTTCAAAGAGTGCCGCCACCTGAAGCCCTGATTACGTTGAATTACCTGGACAGCGGACAGCCCTGCTGAACAGAGAATTGCCCTGGTCAAGACAGCGGACACATCGCCACCGCTTAGCCCCCGCACTGAGGTTGAATAACAGACCGCCAGCTACGTACACCTACGTCGGCACATACAAAGGGTAGACGACCCATCGTCCAAGTTCCCAGCGTCGGAACGTTACGTCATTGTTCGCCACCGCATCAGACAGCTCCAGTTCATCGTATAACCACTCTACGTGGACATCTCAACCAGCGTTGAGTTTGTTGCGTCATCACATTGACCAACGAAAGTTACGCCTACACCCGCCTCACGGGAATTTACATCAAAACTCGCCACAACCCACCCACCACAGAGGAACGCCAGCAATTACATAACACATACACATACACATACACTGCTCGCAGAGCCCGTTCAACCAGTTACACATTCTACTAAGATTAGCTCAAGGCCAGTACACGACAACCTAGCCAGAACTGAGTTACACATGATTGAATTCACACATACCATAACATAGACATACATTAGCAAGCAGAGACACCAGTCACACCACAAGATTTCAGGAACTAGAACAATGACATTTCTTTCAAGAACACAGACACAAGAGTTTATGTTTTTGTAAACTGTGCTGTCCCATTTTTTATTTGATTTATATGATTGATGTTAGGGATAGAATAGAGTAGTAAGATAGATAGTTGTTGATGTATAAGATTAGTAGCAGACGCTGAAAAATATAATTTGTCAGCTACAGAAAGGGAGGGAGATATGTGATGACGCAAGGTTGCGTCGAGCTCAGGTAGATAGCAGAAGCAGGCTATATCAAGTTGGTTAGACCAATAAAAATACGTGAACTGACCGGTCACGTGGGACGGTCAGCTGACCACTGAGGCGTGGGTCAGTAGTAGAGAGATAGGACAGCAGTTGATAGGTAGCTAGCGAGGAGTAGAGAAGGTGTTAGGAAGCGGTTAGAGACGGTTGTAATATGTAGAGCTAGGGAACAGAAAGTTAGTGTTAGGATTGGTCATGGGAGTGCATAGTTAGTAGTATAGTAACAGTTAGTAGTAGTAGGTAGCATGTGGTATGGACAGTCAGATAGAAGTAGTACAGTGTAGATTAGTTAGGTTGAAAATTGATTATATACATTTGAATAAAGAACTTTGTATTTGGAACTTGAACTGTGTGTTATTGGATTCATTCGTTACGCATCTTAAAAATCCCCACCCTCACAACTGGTGCAACAAGAAGAACCACCAACAAGATCCTTTCGTACCATCACAACTGGTGTAACCATCGTCAAAACACCTGTACACTCACACTGTTCTATGGCAACGGACAAATCAACTGAAAGCTAAAGCAGGGATCCTCCGGAGAAAATGGAAATGGATTGGCCACACACTCAGGAAGCCTCTATCCAGCATAACAACACATGCCCTCACCTGGAATCCATAGGGCAGGAGGAGGAGAGGCAGACCAAGAAAGACCTGGAGACGTGACCTGGAAGAAGAAACCAAGAAGATTGGATACACCTGGGGACATTTGGAGAGACCAGAGAGAAAGCTTTTGTTAGCGGCCTATGTCCCAGGAGTGCGACATGTAAACCTAACCTAACCTAGTTAAAAAAAAAAACTCAGCAAGATAATCCAGCCTCCCGATTATGGCTTCTGACCACAGTACAAACCGATGACTGCTACTGTTTTTTAACATGGTTCTTTAAAACGTATAATCCAGCTGTATACAAAATTGTCCTAAAGACACAACTTAAAAATTGGACCATAGTGATTTTCATCTGCCATAAACCAATCTCTAAATTTAGTTTACGTGAGTTAGGGGTCATCCATAAATGACGTCACGCTTTTTTGACGATTTTTACCCCCCCCCTCCCCTCCGTCACACGTCGTCACAAAAAGCCAGACCCCCCCGCCCCCTTAAAATGACATCACACCTCAACCTACAGCCCCCCCCCCCTCAAAATTGCAGTTGAATTTTTTTAAAACATCGATATTTTTCCAAAATCTTGTCTAAACTATTACAATTTATTAAAACAGTTATCTAAAACGCGAAATAACGTCTAAAATTCGTTTTCTAACATTGCTTTTTTATAATGCAAAAATGTGACTTCGCAACATCTGAACCCCCCCCCTCCCCTCATCACACATCGTCACAAAATTACGGACCCCCCTCCCCCCTACGAGTGTGACGTCATTTATGGATGACCCCTTACACTACTTTCAGACGCAAACCTATAGGCCTATAGTATTATATTATTATTTATAGACGGCACAACATTAATGGTTCGCTCCGGGAGACTGAATAGATCGCTACGCATCTGTCCTCAATAAACTAGTTTTAGTGGAAAGAGTTTAGAAATCATCTCTTTACACGAAATGTTACCTAGATTAGTTCTATGTTGATACAAAAAAAAAAGAACATCTATAATAATAGTTTCGCTGTCTGTCTATCTATCTATCTATCTATCTATCTATCTATCTATCTGTCTGACAAGAACGCTCTAGAGAAAACACAAGGAAAATAAAAACATGCATAGTATTTCGAAAAACGAAGTATGACGTCGACACATTTAGCGCACAGAGTAGAAAATAATCTCAAGCCGGATAGTGCACACATTGATATGACGTCATTGATTATCGATATTCAATACAAAGGCAATTTGGTCTAATCTAAGTGGTTTGCGTGAAGAGTTTCTTTCATACAATTCTTCGGGTAGGGGCGAAGCCCCACCCCCGCGTAAGAACGTCTGAGCCCCCCCCCCCCCCTCCCCTACTCAAAAGAAATTTCCTCATCGATACTCTATAATAAAATTACCGCCTAATTAATGTGTCTAATCTTAAAAGTGGTTTTCTTGCAATGGGACGGTAGACATGTTGTTTTTTTTGGGGGGGGGGGGGGGGGGTGGAGGGGTGGGGGGGTGGTGTGTGTGTGTGTGGGGGGGGGGTGGAGGGGCGGGGGGGGGGTGGTGTGTGTGTGGGGGGGGGGGTGGGGGGGGGTTGGTTTCAGTGTTTCTTTCAGACTTTTTCCTCCCCGGAGAGGGGTGGGGGTACTTGAAATTTTCGGGGGCGGGGGTAGAATTTTCTGGGAGGGGGCGGACACTGGAAAAAGTATATAATTATATTTCGTTGAATGGGACGGTAGACATGTTTTTTTTTTGGGGGGGGGGGGGTGTGGAGGGGTGGGGGGGGGGGGTGGTGGTGTGTGTGTGGGGGGTGGGGGGTGTGGGGGTGGGGGGTGGGGGTGGGTTGGTTTCAGTGTTTCTTTCAGAGTTTTTCCTCCCCGGAGAGGGGTGGGGGTAATTGAAATTTTCGGGGGCGGGGGTAGAATTTTCTGGGAGGGGGCGGACACTGGAAAAAGTATATAATTATATTTCGTTGAATTGGACGGTAGACATGCTTTTTTTGGGGGGTGGGGGTGGAGAGGGGGGGGGGGTGGAGGGGTGGGGGGGGGGCGGTGTGTGGAGGGGGTGGTGTGTGTGGGGGGTGGGGGTGGGGGGTGGTGTGTGGGGTGGGGGGGTGGGGGTGGTGTGTGGGGGGTGGGTTGGTTTTAGTTTAGAGAAAAGAGACAGCACTATCAACCTAGCGCCCGGTGTATCCTTCCTCAACGGGCCATTTTTCTCGTTAATACTAATAGTTTCGCTGTCTCTCTATCTATCTATCTGTCTGACAAGAACGCTCTAGAGAAAACACAAGGAATTTAAAAACCTGCACAGTAATTCGAAAAACGAAATATGACGTCGACACATTTAGCGTAGAGTAGAACATAATCTCAAACCAGAGAGTGCACACAGTAATGTAATGACGTCATTGAAACATTGAAAAAAAGGAAATGTTGTCTAATCTAAATGGTTTGCGTGAAGAGTTTCTTGCATACAATTCTTCGGGTAGGGGCGAAGCCCCACCCCCGCGTAAGAACGTCTGAGGGGGGTGGGGGTGGGGGGGGGGGGGGTTGAGTGGGGGGGTGGTTTTAATTTAGACTTTTTCCTCCCCGGAGAGGGGTGGGGGTACTTGAAATTTTCGGGGGCGGGGGTAGAATTATCGGGGAGGGGCGGACACTGGAAAAAGTATATAATTATATTTCGTTGAATGGGACGGTAGACATGTTTTTTTAGGGGGGGGGGGGTTGTGGGTGGGGGGTGGGGGGAGGGGGGGGTGTGTGGGGGGGATGGGGGGTGAGTGGGGGGGGGGGTGGTTTTAATTTAGACTTTTTCCTCCCCGGAGAGGGGTGGGGGGTACTTGAAATTTTCGGGGGCGGGGGTAGAATTTTCGGGGAGGGGGCGGACACTGGAAAAAGTATATAATTATATTTTGTTGAATGGGACGGTAGACATGCTTTTTTTTTGGGGGGGGGGGGGGGTGGGGGGGGTGGGGTGGGGGGGGGGGTGGTGTGTGTGTGTGGGGGGGGGGGGGTGGGGGTGAGTGGGGGGTGGTTTTAATTTAGACTTTTTCCTCCCCGGAGAGGGGTGAGGGTACTTGAAATTTTCGGGGGCGGGTGTAGAATTTTCGGGGAGGGGGCGGACACTGGAAAAAGTATATAATTATATTTCGTTGAATGGGACGGTAGACATGTTTTTTTTTGGGGGGGGGTGGGGGTGGGGGGTGGTGTGTGTGTGGGGTGGTGTGTGTAGGGGTGGGGGTGGGGGGGGGGGGGTGGTGTGTGGGGGGTGGTGTGTGGGGGGGGGGGGTGGGGGGTTGGGGTGGTGTGGGTGGGGGTGTGGGTGGGGGTGGGGGTGGGGGTGGTGTGTGTGGGGGGGGGTGGTTTTTGTTTAGAGAAAAGAGACAGCACTATCAACCTAGCGCCCGGTGTATCCTTCCTCAACGGGCCATTTTTCTCGTAATAAAATGTTTTCCAACATTCTATAAAAAATATTTTAAACATAAATTGTCTAGATATGATTATATCAACTACTTTGACCAAAATTATTTTAATTTTTCTGGCATTTAGCCTACAGGAAGTATTTTATTTACACTCATTTTCAGAAGAGTTGTGCAAATTCAAAGAGAAGCACCGATATATAAATTTTTAGTTTTTAGATTTTAAATAATATCGATCTAGACTAGACTAGTATAAGATCTAGGTCTAGATCTAGATCTACAGAAAATTTTCAGCACATGATTAGATCTATTTAACAGCATTAAAAAAATAAAAAAATGGATAATCCTCCTGAGAAAGACATGAAGGTAAATCTGGATAATCTCTGCTTCTCAAGTCAACCAAGTTTTTTTTAGGCCTAAATCTAGATTCTAGATAGATCTAGATCTATCTCTAGAATCTAGATCTAGCTAGATCAATCTATATTAATTTAAAGCAGAGCACTATGAGTATGAGCCTGGGGCCTTGAGGGGTAATCTATCGTTTTAGTTTTAGGTACGTAAAATCGCCAGCGACTAGTAAATGTGAAAGACAGGTGACTCCTTGAATTTTAATAATTATTTCACATTTTGAGTAGGACTTATGTTTTGAAAAATACAAAAATGATTCCTTGTGTCATTTATGTAGCTGTTTTTAAACAATTGAATTAAAACTTTTCAGTAATAAATGAAGACTAGCGATGTTTCCAACAGATGCAACCATGCTCATTTACTATTCATAGCAGCCATCTTGTTTAAGTTCTTTTTTTGCAAACTTATAGCGTGAGATTCAATGAAAGGCAACTCTATTTAACAAATGGCTGCTTTTTATATAGGAAATCTTGCTCGCAAACACTACTGTTTAAAGTTAATTTCTGGCCTAAATATTGATATATTTAGCCATTGATTTAGGTTTATTATTCATTTATCTATAATATTTGACACAAATATATCACAATATACTTCTATTAAAGCCTTGACAGTGAGGTAACTTTTTCGCACATTTCTAGCCTCGGGCGATTTTACGTAGGCCCTACCCAAAAACGATAGATTACCCCTTGAGGTATATACCCAGTCAACACCCCACCCCCACAAAACCCTCAATAAAAATATTATTTGGCCCAATCTAGATCTACTTCTGTGTTCTGAAGTAACAACCACTCCTGTACGAACTAACTAAATTGTACTTTGATTCTGATCCCTGATGAATGTATTTTAAATATATGATGGCCCACTTGGCTTAGCAGGGAAACAATGAAAAAGGACTTGCTCTTTCTTGAAAAATTCTCACCTCCATAAAACCATTGTGTGATTTTATGACCTTTTTTTCCAAATAGACATAACTTAGGAAACTTCACTTTGTAATAAACCACATGACTTTTTCAAGTCTTCAAGTCTTTAATAGGCCCCCTAACTCCTAGTTGACTTACTTACTTGACTTAATCCTCTTTGTTCCTTATGGAGCATAGATCTCCACCATTTCCTTCCATTTCTTCCGATCCCCGGCTATTAATTTTGCCATCTCCCAAGACATCCCTGTTGGCTTCAGTTCTTCTAGAAGACTCCACCTCCAGGTCTGTCTTGGGCGCGTTCTCTTCTGCTTTCCCTGGGGGTTCCACTCAAGCACTTGGCGTGTAACATTTGGGTTAGCCTTTTGCAGTGTGTGACCCACCCAGCGCCACTTCCTCCTTATTTGTACACCCATAGGCTCCTGCCTAGCTTTCCTCCATAATTCCATGTTCGGCACTCTGTCCTGCCATCTTAATTTCAATATCTGTCTAAGGCATCTGTTCATGAAGGTCTGTATCTTTGCTGTGCTTGCTTTGGAGACTCTCCATGTCTCTGCTCCATACAGCAGAACTGCCTTGACATTTGAGTTAAATATCTTAATTTTTGTGGTAATGGAGATAGCAGAACTTTTCCTTATGGGTGGCAGAACTGTGAAAGCACAGCGGGCTCTAATAATTCTAGCACGTATGTCCTCCTCTGTGCCTCCCGTTTTGCTGATCTTGCTGCCAAGGTAGACAAACTCTTCCACATCCTTTACCCGTCTTCCATCTATTGTCACTGGGTAACTCCTAGTTAGAATAGTTTTATTTTGGTGAATTTTTTATGCACATTGATTGTTGATGCCAAAACAAAATGGCCTACTTTACATTGTCCAGTTTTACCATGCTATAAAGTTTTGATCAATCTCAGAGTAAAGTTGACTGATCAATATCATAGTTGATGATGGCTTCAAAATCATTGATTTTCCCTCTACCACTTAATGAAAACAAATAATTTTGCCATCCTAGTAATTGGCTTCTAGCTCTTAGGCTGTGAGATAATATAAACAAACAAACCCTGAAGTTGTGAACCGAACAGCCTAGACTGGCCTAATAAAAATTAAATAAATTGCAGTTTTGAGTAGCCTATAATAATTTAATTAAAAGCCTATAACACTATAGGCCTAACTATTTGTTAAGTGATTTTGAGACTATAAAAACTGGCTGCTGGTCCTTCTGTGATGTTCATTCCCATGAAATCCAATGATTAAGCTAATACTTTAATCTTTAAATTACTAGGCCTAGATCTATATTCTATATAGGCATACCATATAGTTACTACAAGTAGCCCTAAATCACCAACCCCAATAGGAGTTTTACTAGCTTTGCCATAATCCAAAAATGCATGTTAGACAAATTAAACATAGTTCTACCTTCTCCAACCACATATAAACCTTGATGAATGTTTACGTGTTACAGGACTTTGAATTTATTCAGTTATGTAAGTTTCGAGTTTCATCTCCTGCTCAAAATGTGCCATCACAGCGGTGCAAGTGGCTTGCTTGTTCATCAACCTATGGGCTTCTTATTTATGGAACTTTTGATGGTAGGTTGAAATTGTGCGCAGTATCAGAAATTTAAAAAAAAAATCTTTTTTAAACAGTTACTGTACATGTAGGAACAGAGCTTATTAAAGCTATTTTGATGCTACTCTTTTAGCATCAGTGAAACTAAAATAAAATCTTAACAGTTTACAGCATTGTATTATCAGCGTTTCTCCAGTGAATTGCATATACATATTTTAGAATTTAGAATTCAACTGGCCTTTTTGCTTTGTAGGATTCAGTGCTGTAAAGACAGAGCATTTAATGGCGATCGATGAACAACTTGGCAAGGAAAGGAATAAAAAGGTTATAGATGATCTTCCAGTGGAAGTGAAAGTTAGCCTCAGCGCAAGAGTTGTCAGTTTGGACATCAGTGGGGATGGACTGTACCTGGCCGTTGTGACAGGTGACCAGGGGCAACCTGGTATACTTTACTATGATGTGCGCTCATTTGCTGATAAGGTAAACTAATTCACCTTTTTAATGAGATAACAATTTACTAAATCTGTATAACAGTTCATTATATTAATTATAACTTCGTTTTCTGTAATTTTTCTATTTACTCATAATGCTTTTTAAGTAAAAAAAAATTATAGCCTAGTAGTACTGTTACTAATTAAATAGAAGTAATAATATCTCATTTAGTTATTTTAACATTGTTCTTTAAAATAAATGTATTTTTTAAAAATTCTTAAGTTCAATAAAATTTAGTAGTTATCAATAAAATGTACGTTTGCTCTATTGGAAACTATTCACATAAAAATGTTGCCAGATTATACTTGTGTTCAATGCAGAAATTGTTATGATAATAACTAAACATTAAATGATACTTTTAAAAAGTGTGTTATGGTCCAATTAAAAAAGACTAAATAAATAAGATCCAGAATTGTATGAAAGAATTGAACAAATGCGCATGAACACTATTTATAACTGCTTAAATGTTGGTACTTGATCATTGTTTTTGTGTTTTGAAGACATCAAGCCCTTCTCAATTTGCTGTCAGCCAAGTGGGCTGAAAACCATTTATAACTGCTTAAATTTTGGTACTTGATCATTGTTTTTGTGTTTTGAAGACATCAAGCCCTTCTCCATTTGCTGTCAGCCAAGTGGGCGGAGCTGTAGTGGACATCTCATGGAACCCTTCAGTGTCCACGATGCTGGCCGTGTGTACATCAGACGGGGCCGTGGAGTTGATTGATGTCTCTGACAAACCAAAGATCATGGCCAGCCTCCCTGCATCCACTGGGGCTTCATGCTGTAAGTAAAAAAAAGTAAAGTTCCCTTTTTAAACCTGACGGTCTATAGGGCAAGTGAAGTAGAGTTCACTTGTTTCTTTGACCTTGGCATATGAAGAGATAGTGTGGTCAGCACTATGCCCAGCCACCTTTACTTTCCCTAATGTGAGTTAGGTGCCCATCAGAGTTGGGTGGACTCAGGGACTGTCTACTGACTTGAACCCGGGTTCGAACTCGAGAGACTTACGGGTTAGCAGTCCAGCTCTCCACCGCTAGACCACTCCGTCCCACCATGCTGTTACTAAACAATTCCTTATACATCAATCACTACTCGTTCATGTCAGCTGTAACAATATTTATTTTATATGGGAATATTAAAGAAGGTCCTTCCTGATTCTATTTATTTACTAGTTTGATTTTTTTTTTCTAACGTTTTAATAAAGACATTTCTTTGATAGTTAAATCATGATTTTTTACTTGTAGTGGTTGCATTATTTTATATTCTAGTCATTTTTGCCATTTATATACTTTTGTTGTTTCAGTTTCCTGGAGCCCAAAAGGGAAGCAACTCCTTGTAGGCAGAAAAGATGGCAGCTTGTCCCAGTATGACCATGCACTGGTTGAGAAAAAACGTTGGCCTTGTCCTAATGTCCTCAGCTCCCCTCATGGTGGTATGTCCTCATGCTTATGTCCCTTTTTGCTTTAGCAGTCGTAGTTACGTTTTACGTCAATGTGGAGATCAGTGTGCAGTGAAGGGCTGATGTGCTGGAGTGATTGATCTTAAATGACTCAATAAGAAAAATACAAATTCACGCACATGTTTTATAGTTATTGGGGTAGGATGCTGATAAAATGAAAATATCTATAAGCTGTTAGTCCTGCTGTAGTGCACAAAAACAAATATATCCAATACTGGCGTACATCACTTGACATTACCCACCTAACGCCACCTTATCTGAATTACCTGAGGAGGATAGTGATTCCTAATGTATGAATATATCCCCCCCCCCCCCCCCAGCCTATACTACTTGGACTATGCTATCCTGTTAGATAATTAATAATTTACTAATTAGGGGACTTAAATTCAACAATTTTACTATCATCTAGTTAACAACTACAGAAACATTTTAATTAACAAAGCTCTGTATAAGGCCAAATGAGCATTGCTATTTCTAAAATGAAATAGTTAAACTAGACTTCTAAGACCTGTTACATTTATGTAGATTACAAATAACAATGGTCTTATACATCTGTGAACTTTGCCATTACTAGAGAGCAGGGGTTCTTAACCTCCAGGGGTTTGGTGAGTCAGTCTCAGGGGTTCAGCAAGGTCAACACACACCTAACTCATATGTTTCTAAATCGGTTTTTTGTTAGTGCAGACCTTAGAACTATTAAGAAGAGTTCGGTAAATGCGCATATGAAACTGGTGGGGTTTGGTACCAGCAAAAAGGTTCAGAAACACTGCTATAGAAATTGCTTAGACCACACCACAAACTGGTTAATTATCACCTGGAATATTGATTTCAGTCTTGTAATTTTGTTTTTTAATTTTCTCCCCAGTGGTGGACGTCCTGTGGCAGTCGACCCATGTTTTTATTGCCGCATACCTCCCACAAGGATCAACTGACCAACCAACTGTGGTTCTCACCTCTGCTTCTGTAAGTCTGATTGCTTTTTTTTTTCTTGTGCTTCAACCTTCTTGTGTTTCAACCTTCTTGTGTTTCAACCTTCTTGTGTGCTGATGAAGACCTGTGGTTGAAGCATCAGTAATCATCCTTACAATGTGACATTATAAACATTATGTGCATGACAATATTAATTATTTTAACAATAACTCCAGGTTTACTAGAATACATTTACTCATTTTAAATTTTATTGTAAGCATCCAAATCATTTGCGTGTTTCTCTTTCTTATTTGCAGAAAGATGCAACAGCCCATATAAACTTTGAAGACATTTGTTTTGGTAATGGGAATGAAAGACAGCATCAGTATTTCTTTCACCAAGTCTTGAAATGGTCAGTTAATGTTTGTTTAGCACATGTTCTGCGCTGAACAGTTTCTACCTCCAACTATTAAATGTTGTATTGCAACACTTGTAGCGACACTAAGTAATACACAGACTAAAATTTAGAAAATATAGAAGTTTTTTACTTTTTGTTTTGATTTTTAGGGAAATGATTTTGATGGCATCTAGCAATGCTACAGAGACAACTGTTGTTGGGAAAAATTTGGATGACAAGGTAGGCAACAATTTTACATTACATTATTGTGTAAACAGCTTGTACATAGGCCTAAATACCAAAACAGCTGTTTTTTTTTAAATGTATAACTCTAACCTCCTTACTACAAGTAGTTATAAGACAGTAACATTTGGATGATAAGTGAGTTATAATGCTATACAATCGAAACTGATCTAAATTAAGTATAAGCTTTATCTATTACAGATCAGTTGGGAGCATTGGAATCTGGAGGAGACATCCAGAGCACAGATGCCATTGACAGACCAATCTAGTGATTCATTCCCCATTGGGCTGGCTGTTGATTATTCCCCGTTCAAGCCAATTACAATAAGTAAGTCATTGGGTAATATGGCTGTTCTGAAGAACTATGGCTATTAGTATATAAACTGTTGTAATAGTTACTCGGTACTGATTTGATGTATGGGTCATATTGCTAGTTTAACAAATGCGGTTTATATATATTTTGAAGTAATCGTTGGTTGCCCGGTATTTGTAAGAGTAATTTTGCTAGTCTACTGAACAGCGGCCCATGAAACAAGGTTGTACATAGTCTTTTACCTAGTACTAATGTTGGTTTTTATGGATTATATTCACTAAATTAATAAATGTGATTTAAAAAAAGAAATATTCTTTTACCAGTATTTTTAAAATACTGAAATTTACAATATTGAAGATATGGGATAGCCATGGGGGTAGCTAGCAAAAAGTTTGTTAGTGTTTAAATTTGAATTGTTTCATGATTAAAAAATTTGTTTCTCTGTATGCAAGTCAACTTTTTAATTCTGTGTCTGCAGGTGTGAGCAAGCAATTGCCTGCTTGTCCAGTGATGTATCTGTTGTCCACCGATGGCATGCTCATTGGGTATTACCTGTCATACACGCACAAGGATGCCACACCCACCACAATCCCCCCACAGGTTTTAACTGCTGCTGGTGCTAGGAAAGGCGGTAAGGATAAAAGTTTAAAGCATTTGTAAATAAACTTCTACTGTTGTCAAACACAGCTGCTAACGTTTTCCCCATGTGGGCTAATCCCATTTTTTATTATATTGATCAACTTAATAACAAATACTGCCTCAGCTCTAGTTCATAACATTAGGATGAAATAAGCATGCAGTGATCTAGCCATTTTATTGGTAAGAAAAGAAGGGGGCTGTAACGTAGCAGTCAACCACTCCCATCACTGTTTGGGAAACCACTGCGGTTGGGCATAGTGCTGACCACTATAGTATTCCTTCATATGCAGAGATCATTGAAACATATGAACTCTATTTCATCTTCTGCCATGCGTCTTGGGCACATATACAAAAAAGATGATGATTTAATTAAAGAATGTAATATATTTTGAGGCTGTTATGAACAAACTTACCTCGTATTTGTTTGTAGTACCATTGCCAACTGTTAACTGTACAGGTATTTTTTATGTCTGTCCCAGTACCAGGCCTAGTGAAACCAGCACTTCTTCAGACACCTCAGACAACACCTGCAGTTGTCGCGCCACAGGCAACACCTGCGCAGGTGACCCCACAGGCACCACCAGTGCAAGCCACAGCCACCCCCTCCATTCCTGCTGCTGTCACCCCCCAGATGACATCCATCTTTGGCCTGTCGCAAAATTCTGGGCTATTCGGTAAACAAGGATCACCTGCTGCACCAACTTCCACACCTACAGCCGTACCTGGGTTTTCTACCCTCAACACCAACAACTCGTCCTTTCAGTTTGCTGGGTTGGGCAATAAGATCAGTGCTCAGGCAGGTAAGGTTCACTTTAAATTGTACCTTGTTATTCTAATACTCAACAATTTTTGTTTTACGTTTTATGGAATTTTAAAATTAAAAGTTGTTCACAAATAGGTTTAACTGAGCACACAAATACCTAACGTACACAAAATTACAAATGACCACAAATATACTGACAATTTACTCTAATGCTTGACTTGCCCCAAAAACTTAACATTTAAAATTACTTAACATACTGACCTCTTATAATTGCATAATAGATACACACAAGTACTCTGAAATACTGTGCTTGCACTAAAACACTACTGACTCTTCAGATATACACTTAATTTTATATTTGTTTACACCAGGGGTCTCCAAACTTTTCAGTCTGAGGGCCGCATTAACTATCAAATTTCAGTTCGGGGGCCAGTTAGTTCCAAGCATGTCTTTCATTTTTCTGAGCAAAGCTCCTCAGCCACCTCCAACAAACGTTTTTTCCATGGACAAAAAGATCTCCGCCGGATGAGAGGACCTAGCGGGCCGTAGTTTGGAGACCCTTGGTTTACACAATACACATTGCCAATCTACAGCTAATTCTTTATAATTGTAAACAGAATACACACATTCCCCATGTTCAGCTAACTCTTGTTTACAGTGCCTCAAGCGTCCAGCTTTGGCAGTGTACCATTTTCACTTCCCTTTACCACCAGCACCCCTAGCTCAGACCCAGCCAAACCAGTGCCCCAGGTAATTATACACACCTTTACTTTTAATTATGGGACGGCATGGCCTAGCGGTAGAGTGCTAGAATGCTAACCTGAAAGTTTTGAGTTTGAAACTGTGTTCAAGTCAGTAGTACATCCCTGAGTCCAGCCAGCTCTGATAGGCACTTTACTTAAGGAAAGTAAAGGCAGTTGGGTATAGCGCTGACCACATCCTTTCATATGCTGAGGTCAAGAAACATGAACTCTTCTTCATCTTCCCAATATATCACTAAAGAGGAATCTTTACTTTACTTTTAATTAGTCAATTAATTCATTAGTAAATAATCTTTGACATTCTCCTTGTTTTAGACATATTTCCTGCCATGCTATTTCATAAAACTGGTTTTGATTGTGATTTCCAGCAGGGAATATTTGGATCAGGATTTCAAGCGGCTGCTCCTGCTGCAGGTGTGGGGGTTGCAGGGTTGACACCCAAGACAACCACCACGCTGTTTGGTGTTATTCAGACACCTTCAAGTAGTGAAGGTAATGGATGATTGTAAAAATGTTTAAATTAGGGCCACAACACTATGTTGTTCAAACACCTTCAAGTAGTGAAGGTAACAGATGATCGTAAAAATGTTTGAATTAAGGCTACAACACTATGTTGTTCAGACACCTTCAAGTAGTGAAGGTAACAAATGATTGTGAAAATGTTTGAATTAGGGCTACAACACTATGTTATTCAGACTCTGTCAAGTGACGTTAAAAGAAAATTGTCACAATTTATCAGTAGTATTTTGATATTAATCTTAATTTTGTTTGGTTAAATTTCCTCATGATTTTTTCCTGTTCATACCTTTGACTCTTAGCGCAAATGAAATAGAGCTTATCTGTTTCAATGACCTCAGCAGATGAAGAAATAGTTTGGTCAGCACTATGCCCACCTGCCTTTGTTTTACTAATGTGAGTCAGGTACCCATCAGAGCTGGGTGGACTCAGGGACGTCCTGCTGTCATAAGTCTGAACCAAGATCCGAACTCGAGAGACATTTGGACGAGCAGTCAAATGCTCTAACATTTAACCTTGTCATCCCCCATTGATTAAATTTAATTCATTATGAATCTCTTACAACTTCTGGAACAATTTTTATAAAATCTATAATCAAATACCCACTGTCAGGAGTCCCGCAACAAAATGTTTTTAAAACAAGTTCCATCAAATTTGGCAGTATATCTCCTGCAACATTTAGAACATTTTCATTATATTTAAAATCAGCTAACCCACTGTCAGGGGTCCCGCAACAAAATGTTTTTAAAACAAGTTCCATCATATTTGGCAGTATATCTCCTGCAACATCTAGAACATTTTTATTAAATTTAAAATCAGCTAACCCACTGTCAGGAGTCCCGCAACAAAGTGTTTTTGGAACAAGTTCCTCCACTCCATCTACTGGATTGTCTGCCTTCACTACCAGGACGACCCCACTAGGTCAAGGACAGACGGGGCCCTCTCTATTTACTCCTGCAAGTGGGGCAACACCAACAGTGGTACCTGCTACCAAACCCACTAGCACAGGTAGTTATTACATTCTTTTGTAAGAAAAGAAAATGTATCTTGTAATGTTTTCCATGTACGAGGTATTGAAAGTGGGCAAACAACTTTGTCTAATAAATACTTTGTTTAAATCAACAGCTGTGTCGACACCTTTAAGTCTACCTAAACCAACATTAGCACAGGCAGGCAAAACTTTATTTACTGGTAAGTTGTTTTTGTAAGGGTGTACAGTTTTTAAAAAGCTGGTGTGAATTCTCAGGGTTTATGTACGGTATGGCATTCATAAGATGGCTGAGCATTTACTCAAAACTAAATCAGTTAAATTAGAGCTAAATTTGTGATTCAGCTATGATTGAAATTTTTTTGCATTTCAATGTTTTTGTTAGATGTGTCAAATAATTAGTATTAGCAAGGTTAAGAAATATGGTTTTTATGTGTTTTAAAGTTAGGGATGGAATATTTAGGTTTGGAGTTTGTTTTATAAAGTTAATATGTGTGTGCTAGGGAGTTATAATTAGATGTGTTACAAAGCTATGGTTTAATTTGTTACAGATCTGTTTGATGTGTTACAAAAATAGGTTTTAATTTAATGTATTAAAATTATGAATAGGCGTATTGAAAAGCTAGTGATACAAGTTAGGGTTAGACGAGTGAAAAAAAAAGTTAGTGTCATTGAAAACTAAACTGGTGTGTAGCTTATTTTACATGCTCACTGAATGTTACCTGATCTGTAGGTGGGCCAGCAGCTACTGCAAGTCAACCACAACCACAGGCACCTTCATCATCCATTGAGTCCACTGTAGACAGCGCTTTCACTCAGAATATTTTTGAAGAGGTAACTTAGGATCCGCATTGATTAACTTTTTAGACTGGAACAACTCTCATAAAGTTGTCAGTTTCATATCAAGGACATATCACTAAATGGCCAGTTAGGGTTACTTCTTGCGTCAGTGATTGTGGTATTACTACAGATTAATGACTTTATCACACTAAATAAATGACTCTATATTGTAATTGTAATATCACAATAGATCAATGACTCTAATATCACAATAGATCAATGACTTTATCATACTAGATCAGTGACTCTAATATTGTAATAGATCAATGACTCAAATATTGCAGTAGTTCAATGACTTTGATATAACAATCGATCAATGAATTTATTGTTACAGTAGATCAATTATTTCTAATATCACAATAGATCAATGACTAATATCACACTAGATGAATGACTCTTATATCACAATTGATCAATGTCTCTAATATCACAATAGATCCAAGACTCTAATAGCACAATAGATCAATGACACTCACAATAGATCAATGACGCTATTATAACTATAGATCAATGACTGATATCACATTTAATCCACAAATCTAATAGCACAAAAGATCAATGACTCTAACATCACAATAGATCCATGACTCTGATATCACAATAGATCAATGACTCTAATAGCACAATAGATCCAAGACTCTAATAGCACAATAGATCAATGACTCACAATAGATCAATGACGCTAATATAACTATAGATCAATGACTGATATCACAATTAATCCACGACTCTAATAGCACAATAGATCAATGACTCTAATATTACAATAGATCAATGACTCTAATATCACAATAGATAAATGGCTCTAATATCATAATAGATCAATGACTCTAATATCACAATAAATCAATGACTCTAATATCACAATAGATAAATGACTTTGATATCCCAATAGATCAATGACTCTAATATCGCAATAGATCAATTACTTTAATATCACAATAGATCAAGGACTCTAATATCACAATAGATCAATGACTCTAATATCACAATAGATCAATGCCTCTAATATCACAATAGATCAATTACTCTAATATCACAATAGATCAATGACTCTAATATCAAAATAGATCATTGACTTTGATATCCCAATAGATCAATGACTCTAATATCACAATAAATCAATGACTCTAATATCAAAATAGATCAATGACTCTAATATGACAATAGATCAATGACTCTAATATCACAATAGATCAATTACTCTAATATCACAATAGATCAATGACTCTAATATCACAATAGATCAATGACTCTAATATCACAATAGATAAATGACTCTAATATCACAATAGATAAATGACTTTGATATCCCAATAGATCAGTGAGTTTGAGAAAGAGTTGAAAGAACTAAAGACTCGCTGCAGGAAGAACTTTAGCCAAGTTGGGACAGATAAGGAAAAAGAAAGCCTCAGCAAAGAAACAGAAAAATTGTACCACTTCTGTCAGGAAATACAAGAAACCACTAAGGTTAACATCCTGTTATTCTACTTCACCCTAGGTTTTATTTTGTTTTGATTTCCTGGTTTTTTGTTTACCTAAATAGGGTATAGCCCCCATCAGAGTTCTACTTAGGGACATCCTATAGACTTGAGCCTGGAACCTAAATGTGACCAGGGTTTGCAGGTTTGCTGTATGACTTGACCACTCTATCACAGTAGTCTGTGTGCGGCAAGTCTGTAACATTGTGTTAACTCTTTCTATGCATGAAGCACATGAACAGAAGATAATGTGCTTTCATGCAAGTCTGTAACATTGGTAACAATTTATTTGACAGGAGCATTGGCATGAAGCACAGGACCAGAAGATAACATGTTTTCCTGCAATTCTGTAACATTGTGTTAACCCTTTCTTTAACAGGAGCAGTTGCGTGAGGCCCAGGACCAGAAGAGTATGTGCTTTCATCTCTTCGCCATGGTTGAGGAGTGCAAGATGAAGCATGAGCGAGACGCAGACCCTCATTACCACTCGTTATTACAGGTAACTGCATCATAATTACAGATGCCAGTGAAATAATGTCATGCTGCTTTACATGCAGTTTTGTAGGTTAAGCTTACATATAGGTTAAAAATTTTAAAATATGCTTTTCCCTTCAGAAATAACTGCAATTGCTTCATTAATTTAAAGAGTATGTTTTAATCAGATATTCAAAACCTCTACCTAATCAACTTCTTAGTTAGCATAGAGAGTTTGTTTGAATTGGACTTTCTAAGAGAGGATTAGGATTTACCTAATCCACAACTTCCTAATTAGCTTAGAGAGTATGTTTTCACTCTGTTTATGTTTGTGCTGTAGAGTCGTGTGTTGGACCCTGCCAGTGCCACAAAAATGAAGAGCTTACAGCAAATGGTCCAGACTATAGAGCACAGCATTGTTGAGGTGGACAGAGTCCTTGATGCCAAGTGGCAGGAGCATGTTGAGAAGATGAAGAAAGAAGAGAGGTTTGTTTGTGTCTTTATTTTAGAGTTAATATTCACAGTTGGTACTAGCAAATAGTTCCAAATGGGGCTGGTAAGTAGGTCACCAACCAGTTCTACGGCTCAATAAAACCTGCATGAGCCATAGAACTGGTTGGTGACCTACTTACCAGGCCTATTTATCATTATTAAATTAATAAAAACACTTGAAATAGAGATAATTCCGTTCTCTAAATTTTAACAGGTATTGCTGTTATTAATTTAGAATGTTGTTTTTTTTGTAAAGAAAAGTTGAAATAATTTAGTTTTGTCAGCTGATTATCAATTTAAGTGTTAACTTTTTTTCTGCAATGCTGAACTGTTTTGTGTTTATTTTTGTGTTTTATTTTTTTATCTGAAATATTGGCTCGCTATTTACTTGTTAAGTATTTTTATACTATTAGCCTATCTGAAATACTGATAAGTTTAATTGCGTTGTTGCAGGCTTCACACCCCCACTGGTGACACCATCTACAAGTCCATCAGGAACAACAACATCCTGATTGCCAGCCAGAAGCAGCAGCTGAAGAAGGTAGAGGACCAGCTCAGGAGCCTCAAGCTCAATGCCAAGATCTCCAATAGAGATCTGGAGTCTGTCAGGCTTTTTAATGGGTAATTGTTGTATGGTTCTTTTTTGGATTTGTAATGGGGGATTTTGTTGTAGAGTTTTAATAGGTAATTGTGTTGTGTGGTTTTATTGCGTTGGGATTTTTAATTGATCAATTTGTTTCTCTTCATTAGACAATCTTTTTAATTGTGTTTTATGGATCTTTTTATTGGGAATTTTTCGTGGGTAATTTTTTAAGCCTTTTTAATGAGTAATTGTATTGTTTGGATTTTTTTGCGTTGCGATTTTTAATGGTTGATTTGTGTTTCTGTTCATTTGTCAGGATTTTTAATGGGTAATTGTGTTATGTTGATTTTGGTTCTTATTTTTAGTTGGTTTATTTTTGTGTTAAATTGTTAGACTTTTTGATTAACACTTTTTTGTTATGTTTTTAAAAAGATTTTTCAATCATTAACCTTTTTGTGTTTCTTGTTTGAAATTTATTGGTTAATTTTGTTAATTTGAATTTCTAATTCGTTAATTTTGTTATGTGATTATTTGTAAGACTTTTATTTCTTGAAATATTTTATTTTGTTTTATGTTTGGTATAATTTAAGGCTTTTTTATTGATAATTTTGTCATGTGGATTTTAGTTAAGACATTATATGATTAATTTATTTTGTAAGAAATTTGGTCCTTGTTATACCCACTGAATTTTACTAGCCCCTGTGAATACATATGGCTCAGGTTTGATAGACATTGATGGGCCCACTAAGCTCAGTGGGTATCAACTGAATGATCAGGGCATATGTACTTACTTGAGCAGGTTGTCTCTCCATTTTGATGAACACCTACCCCTTTTAATTTGATGTAAATAACTTCCTTGCCAAAGCAATTTTCACATCTACTAAAACTATGCCACTTTGTATCATAAAGCTTTTTTAAACTGTTTCTTATTATGCAGAGACAAGCTGTCCCCTGGAAAGCCAGAAGTGACCCTGACCTCTAGGGTGGCAGAGGGCATGACCCCTGAAAAAATTTCTAAGTTGCGGGATATTTTATCCCAAAGAAAAGTGCCAAGAGTCAAGTCTACACCCGCAGGTTGATCAGCCTTATTTTTGTTTTCACTTTTACACTTGCATTTCTTTTACTCATGTATAGGTCACTGTTATTACAGATATCACAAAAAAATGAATTTAAACATTCTGAATTTAAATATTTCTAGGTATTTTTTTATTCTTACATTTTAGCTTTCATGTATTTAAAAAACTTTGTTTAATTTGATTAATAAAATTTAGAACAATTTATGAGGTAGTCAGCTCTGATGAATACCTAACACATGTTAGGGAAAGGAAATGCAGTAGGGCATAGTGCTGATCACGCTATCCTTTATATGCTGAGGTCACTGAAACAGGTGAACTCTACTTCACTTGCCCCTTAGACCATCAGGTTTGAAAGGGAAACTTTACTACTTCACTTCCCAAATTGACCATCACGTTCAAAAAGGGAACTTAACTTTCTTTCCTGTGAGGTAGTGTTTAAGGTAACTAACCTGAAATTACTAAAACTTGAAATCCATTGTTATCAAATTAACACAAGTTATCTCTTTACCTGAAACAGGGAACCTGTCGATGTCAAGAATTGTGTACCAAACACCAGGCAGAAGCCCAGGCACAACCAGCACCCCAGAGCGGGTGGAGCAGAGGAAACACCCCCTGCAGACGCCAACTGGGCCTCCTGCATCCCAGCTTACTGCTCCCACAGGAGCCCTCAAGTTTGTAAACAGTAAGTTAACATAGTCCCACAGGAGCCCTCAAGTTTGTAAACAGTAAGTTAACATAGTCCCACAGGAGCACTAAAGTTTGTAAACAGTAAGTCAACATAGTCCCACAGGAGCCCTAAAGTTTGTAAACAGTAAGTGAACGTAGTCCCACAGGAGCCCTAAAGTTTGTAAATGGTAAGTCAACATAGCCCCACAGGAGCCCTAAAGTTTGTAAACAGTAAGTCAACATAGTCTCACAGGAGCCCTAAAGTTTGTAAACAGTAAGTCAACATAATCTCACAGGAGCCCTAAAGTTTGTAAACAGTAAGTCAACATAGCCCCACAGAAGCCCCTTAAGTTTGTAGAGCATGTTCCCACAGGGTCCCCTAAAGTTTATAAACTGAGCATGGTCTCACAGATTATCAGTGAATCAGTATAGGAAGTTCAGCCTATCTGATTTAGAATACAATGAGTAACCATTAGAGCTTTAGCAATCTTGACACCCATTCCCCAGCCGACAATTTACAGCATAATTGGGATTTAAATCATTTTTTTTTGTGGCATTTCTTTTGCTTAGATTTTATTTAAAATGTGGTTTTCTTAACTTATTCTTTTACTGACACATTTTAATATTTTAGGCCAGCAGAAAACTGAAACTCCCAAACAGGAGACTCACTACAACAAAGGGAGAGCAGCCATTATTCCAGGAAGTTCTGCTCAGCAACCGTTCCCATCTGGCCAGCAACCATTCCCCTCTGGCCAGCAACCATTCCCCTCTGGCCAGCAACCATTCACCACTGGACAGCATCCTATAACCTCTTCAAAGCCGCCAATCAGCTCTGTACCTCAGCCTGGTGCCCCAACTGCCTTCTCTGGAGTCCCCCATGTTCAGCCAACCAAGACTGTGGTGCCCTCCCCTCTCGCTGCCAGAATCACACCTGCATCACCTGCATCTTCCGTCACATCTGTAAGTCAATAGACTTGATAAGGTTAAGTGTAGCCATTGTAGTCTTCTTTCTTCTTCTTCGTTCTTAATTTTTAGTGTTGGGAGGGATCGAGCCTTATCTGCCACAGGGTTTGAACTCGAGACTTTTTTAAAAATTTATCAACCATGAGCTTTGCCGACTCGACCATGCTTCCATCACAATTAAGGATTACGTGTCAACTGGTTATGCACATTGAGGCCATTGACTCCAATTTCAGCCTGCTTTTCTTTTTGGATTTGCTTCCATAGCCTTTGTCCAACCAAGAACAAACTACAAGGCAGCAGTTGTTTGATTTCGGAGTTGTCTCTCCTAGAAGAGTGGCTGTCCCCAGCTAACGAGCCTCATCTGCCCGAGGGTTCGAACTCGAGACTTTTCGGTTTAGCAACCATGAGCTTTACCGTCTCAACCACGCCGACCCCATTGTAGTAAAACCTACTCCATTGGCTCCAATTATTTAAAGCCAAGATAAATAAGAACATAATATACATATAAAAATCAACATTGTGGTAATGGTAAATAGGGTGTTGGGGGTTATGATTAGCTATAGATATAAGGTTATGTTCAGGGTTCTTCCGCATGGATGGAGGGGGGCAGAGGGGGGGGGGTGATGTCCTAGACCCTTGCAAACCTGGGTCTGTAAGAATTAGTTCACACAGCTCAAATGGTGTGCTGACTTGCCTCAGGGAAAGCACAGGTGCTGTGCACAATTCTGACCACACATCCTATGATCAATTCTATGCCTAACTGTATTTTTATTTTCGTAACGTGATTTGGGTGCCTATTAAAACTGGGTAGAGTCAAGGACAACCTATGAATTTATAGGGGAACGAAACAAGACTTTTATGATATCAGTTGTATGCTTTTCCTCTTGACCTTCCTGTACCTTGGGTAGTAAATTCTTTATGTTTATGGTTTAAGGAAACAATCAAAATGAAATCAACTCAGTAGTACTTTGGTCATCGCTATTACAATATAATCAACTCAGTTGTATTTTGAACATCACGTATACACTATACAATATAATCAACTCAGTAGTACTTTGACCATCACATACGCACTATCACAATATAATCAACTCATTTGTATTTTGGTCATCACTATCACAATATAATCAACTCATTTGTATTTTGGTCATCACTATCACGATATAATCAACTCAGTTGTATTTTGGTCATCACTATCACAATATAATCAACTCAGTTGTACTTTGACCATCACTATAACATAAAATCAACTCAGCTGTATTTTGGTCATCACTATCACAATAGAATCAACTCATTTTTATTTTGGTCATCACTATCACAATATAATCAACTCAGTTGTACTTTGACCATCACTATCACAATATAATGAACTCAGTTGTACTTTGACCATCACTATCACAATAAAATCAACTCAGCTATATTTTGGTCATCCCCTACACACTAAAAATCCCCCTATAGTTGACTCTACCTAGTTGATCCCACCCACCCAAAGACATTGTACCTACTGTCTTCCTCCCTCACAGAGCAGCCAGTACACCCCAGGCTCCACGGCCTCCTACGGCCTCAAGCAGCAGCCAGATGACAAGACCAAAACACCTGCGGCCGCCAACCTGCAGAGTCAGTTGTACGAGGAGGTGACAGATGAAGACACCAATGATGAGGATGATTATGATGAAGAGGATAATGGATATGAGGATGAGGATGAAGACGAGCCAGGGGGAGCCAGTGACGGTCAGTGTTTATCTTAGAGTAGATTGAAACGTTGGAAAGAATGCCGGTTATCATTATGGTTTAAGAATAAATGCCCCTGTTATCATTGCAATGTTGGAATTAATTGATATGTTATCATTGCCTGACACCATTATTTTGCCATTGTCTTGTATTTCTCATGTGCTACTAAATATGTAATTTAACATGTATTATGTAATTAGGTAAGTTACTTATTATATATTCTAAAATTAGCTCACTTTTACATTACTATATTTAAAAAAAATAGCTGACTTTTACATTATTATATTAAAAAAAAAATTCTGCTTTTATCTCTGAAGAATATTTTTTCATCTTTTGTAGAGGAGTCTGTTGACTTTCTTCAAAAAACAGCCCCTGAACAAAACAAACGTAAGTTTCATTTGCAAAGAGTTGGCATATTAGAACATTGAGCTTATTTATTTCTTTGTAAAGTATTGTGTGTTATTGTTGAAAAATGATATTGAAATGAATTCAATACATATAGATGTGAGAGATTAGAACTTAATAAATCTCCTAAAAAATAGCTAGTTGTCACAAGTGTTTTTAAATAAAGTTTGAGGCCTTTGATACTTTTAGGTGCCAAGACTTCTCTTAAATCTTAACCCTAGAGCCCTGGCCTCCCTGGCCTAATTTCTCCCATTTATCGAGGTCCCAGGGCCAAACCAATTTTCACTTATCTGCTTCTAACTTTGCCTATAACTTTTGAACCGTTTGAGATAATCAAGCCAAATTTGGTATCCAGACTCAGGATCAAACAACAATCCAGCAAGATTCTGAAAAAAAATCAACCGACCTGGAGTCAGCTGATATTGAATCTGGAATATTTTTTACACCAACATTTTCAACTGGTTTGAATGTTGAATCTTTAGCCGAAAAAGAATTATTATCAACACGCCAAGGAGACTGAAGTTTTACAGCACCACGTGCATCAGAACGTACTTGAACAGTTTCATTTGTCATTGTCAATTTCAATGTCACTATCATCACAATATAGACCAGGAATATTATCTTCATCAGAATCAATAAGTAGTTGTAATGCCTGAGATGCAGTCATTCTACTTCTTTTGTTGATATTTCGGTCTTTTGCTTCATCTTTTGCACCAACTTTATGTGTTGAATTCGAGGGCTGTGGCTCAGCTTTTTGTTTCGGCGGCATTGCTACGAAATGTAAACACTGTCACTTTCACTTTTCCTAAAATCTATTTTTAGAATCATAATCCCGCACTAAAAAAACATGTGCAGTTTTAGTCAGTCTTCCGCTAGGAATATGACGCCAGGTCATCGGGCCAGAAAACCGGCATTTTGGACATATATGACTAATGTTGAAGCCAGTTTACTGGCCTGGCGGGCTCAAAGGGTTAAAGTGCTCGCCACTTGACCTATAAGTTATATAACAGCAAAGCCACAATTGTGGCTTGGCGGGCTTTAAAGGTTAAAGTTAACATTTAGGGCTTGATATGAATATTTATTACAGCCCTTCTTTGATTTCTATTTTTACTTGTTGCTAAATTTACAAACTTTTTTTTTTTTGCAGCTGCGGTCCTGGGGTCCACAGGAAGTTCAGCTTTTGGCCGGCTGGGTGCTGGTGCTGGGGGTTTCAACTTTAGCACATCCTCCACCCCTAAAGTAGCCCAGACCACTCAATGTAAGGGGAAACATGTCTGTAATATGTTGTGCTTGGTAGTGTTAGCTCAGACCACTCAATGTAAGGGGAAACATTTATCTCTGTAATATGTTGTGCTTGGTAGTGTTAGCCTAGACCACTCAATGTAAGGGGAAACATGTCTGTAATGTGTTGTGCTTGGTAGTGTTAGCCCAGACCACTCAATGTAAGGGGAAACATTTATCTCTGTAATATGTTGTGCTTGGTAGTGTTAGCCTAGACCACTCAATGTAAGGGGAAATATGTCTGTAATATTGTTGTGCTAGGTAGTGTTAGCCCAGACCACTCAATGTAAGGGGAAACATTTATCTCTGTAATATGTTGTGCTTGGTAGTGTTAGCCTAGACCACTCAATGTAAGGGGAAACATGTCTGTAATGTGTTGTGCTTGGTAGTGTTAGCCCAGACCACTCAGTGTAAGGGGAAACATGTCTGTAATATGTTGTGCTTGGTAGTGTTAGCCCAGGCCACTCAATGTAATGGGAAACATTTATGTCTGTAATATGTTGTGCTTGGTAGTGTTAGCCCAGACCACTCAGTGTAAGGGGAAACATGTCTGTAATGTGTTGTGCTTGGTAGTGTGACAGTCACTCCATCATTTACTCGTTGTCTATGTGGGTTTTTTTAATGTCTGTGTTACCATACCACAATCATTTTGCTAGTTGTTTTTGTCAGGCTTTTGCAGTTTTCAGCATAGGTCAAATAAAATATTATTTTTACGTTAAATATGAGTTTCTATAGGATGTATCCACACTATGATCCTCCATTTATAACATCGAAATTGAGTGGGGGGAGTGTCTAAAACAATGTGTTGCCTGCAGGTTTGGATCCATATTGATATTTGCATGTAAATTTAAGTCCACTTGAAATACTTGAATGTTACAACAAAACAAAAAAACAGTTACACTTCGTTTACACTTGCGCATGTATACTATACATGTCGAGGAAAAAACTCACATTAATGTTATATGAAAAGATTTTTCCCATGGAACAAGTATGCTTACTTGTCGCGAGTTTTTTTTTTCTAGATGTTTAGTAAACATGTTGCAAGTCCAAATACTGTGTTAGCCTGTATATAAAATGTATAAATAAAAATCTATTAATCTTATTCTTTATTTTTTTAGCATTTGCCCCAGTGAAAAGCAACACTGTTGTGTCTGGAGCCTCTAAAGATTTGTTTGGTGCTAAATCTTCTCTTGGAGATAATGGTGAGTCTGGTGCAAGAATAGCAGTTTTTGTGTACTGAGTTGATTTGTTTTCTTTTAAACAGTTTCTTAATATTTACGATATTCTTTTTTTTTTCTTCTACGATCTTAATTTTAATATTGGAAGGCAGTCCCTCTAAAACAATTGATTATTACATGTCAACTAGTTATGCGCCATGTTGGCCGTTGACTCTGATTTCAGCCTGCTTTACTTTTTAAAAATCACTGATATATTTCTGAAATATTTTTTTGGCACTGCTGGAAAGTTTTGTTGTTGTTGAAAAGTGATTACAAAATTCTTGCCTTTTCAGCCAACCCCTTAGAAAAATCAAACTTAGTTCGTACATCTAGTAATGGTTTCACCATAGACAAATCAAACATAGCAGCAAGGAAGGTACTTGTTGAAGAACCAAAAGCTGCTGAATCTGGGGCAACTGTATTTGGTCAGAAATTTGATAAAAATCTGGCTTCAGGTACACAATATCTGCATGCCCAGTCTTTTTTGTTACATTTTAATGCTCAACGCATTCATTAATGCCTGAATGTCCAGTTATGGTGAAAAAGTGCTTGACTTGTAGAAATAAATGATTATTTTTGTTCATCAGGTTTTAAGTTTGGCGATGCAGCCCAGTTCCCTGCTCCACCGCAACAGCCAGTGAATGTCAAGGTGCCGACTTCAAATCTGTTTGGGTCAATGGCCACTCCCTCCAGGAATGTTGGATTCTCTGACCTATCTTCCAAATCAGGGCCTGATCAAGCTGATCCTGATTCAGGTTAGTGGATTTATTCAGCTCTGTGTGTTAGCTTCCCTCCAGCTTAAGGGTTAGATTTAAACAGGCTGTATAAAAAGATTAACATACATTAAGGCTAGCTTTAAAATTGCCAATAGGAAAAAAAATTAACTGACAAAGGGCGTAGGGTAAGTTGACTTTCATCCTTTTGTCTAGATCCTAGTTCATTATTAGTTTTGTCCAATCAATCTACCTTCTGTTAAAATATTTTCAGGCACAACAACTAAAGCTCCCAGCATCTTTGGTGGGAAATCTGTCTCAGGAGGAGGTGGGAAGTTCACATTTGGCATGGCTCCGTCTAGTACATCAGGTTTGTCAAAGAATAATCTTGACTCCATCTAGTACATCAAGCTAGTCAAACATTAGTTGACTTTTTGTAGTATATCAGGCTTGTCTAAGATTAGTTTGACTCTATCTAGTATGTGAGGCTAGTCAAATATTACCTTGACTCCATCTTTGACACACCCCCCCCCCGCCACCTACAGATTTCAGCTTTGCATCATCAGCTACAACACCTCCAGTCTCTGGACAAGCAACAACTCCTACAGAAAGTAAGGCAACACCAGAAGGCCAGAGCCAAGCAAGGGCAGGCAGTAGTGAGGCTTCATCAGCCCAGACTAGCCAGGTGGGTGTGGCACATCTGTTATAGCTCTGATATTTCTATACATTTTTGTTTCTTTTGTTATGTTCACAGCATTTTTAGGTTTATTCTGCTAATTTATTCTAATTACCCATACTCTATAAAAAAAAATAATTAAATTAGCTTTTTTGTGTTATACTTAGTGAAAAACCTCTATGGAATTAAATGTGCTGCCCCTTTCCATGGTTAGTAGTGTTTTTCTAACCAAACACTAAAACAGTGTGTAATACATTTTATAAGAAGTTTACAAATAGGGTCAGCACGGTTGAATGGTAGAGGCTACAACTGCTCATCCAAAAGTCTCAAGTTCTGATCTAGGGATCAAGTTGCTATGATATCCCAGAGTAACCTAGCCCTGATGGGTACCTGACTTAGGGAAACCAAAGTTGCTCGGCATAGTGCTGACTACACTGTCCCCCTGAATGCCGTGGTTGTTTGAACACATAACTCTACTTCTTCTGCCCCATGTGCATTGGGTACAAATGGGAAAAGGAAGCCTACAAGTAGGCCGATTGTTTAGTATGTTTTATTATAATTGTGAAGATTATTTCAACACGCTTACTATCTCTCTCAGGTGAGCAGCCCCAGTGTAATGACCACATCAGCGGTACCACTCACCACCACCACAACAACATCGGCAGACAGCTCTACCACCCAGACCACAGACAGCCAGAAAGTCTCAATCTTTGGGCACAAAAAACATGATGCCAGCACAACATCAGCGCCACAGTTGGTTCAGTCTCCAGATGATTCATCTACTGCAGTGTCAACAGGTACACACACAATAACTTATTGTTTTACAACTACGTTAGGTTAGTCTCCAGGTGATTCATCTACTGCAGTGTCAACAGGTACACACAATTACTTGTTATTTTACAACTATGTTAGGTCAGTCTCCAGGTGATTCATCTACTGCAGTGTCAACAGGTACACACAATTACTTGTTGTTTTACAACTACGTTAGGTTAGTCTCCAGGTGATTCATCTACTGCAGTGTCAACAGGTACACACAATTACTTGTTATTTTACAACTATGTTAGGTTAGTCTCCAGGAGATTCATCTACTGCAGTGTCAACAGGTACACACAATTACTTGTTTTACAACTACAATGTGAATTCCATTTTTTGTAAGGTCATAAAATTGTCCTTACTGTGAGAGCTTTCGATCACTTTCTGTTGCTTGATATTTTTGTAATATTCTTATTAGCTCATTTTAATAGGAGCTGAGGATATTTTTTCAGCAGAGGTATAGTGCCATTATAATGGCAAATATTTAATTTATTTTCTCTGGCCTTCATTGAAATCTTCTCTGGGTTTAATTAAGAAACAACAAGTGCTTGAAAATCGGGAGAATTTTTCCCTTAAAATCAAAAGTGAATCTCCTAAACAGATCATTCTCCTGCACTGTAGACATCTATTCCGTTAAGTAACTAACATACTACTCTGTAAATTATGTTATAAAATAAAATCAGCTCCTCTGAGTCAATAGATGCGCCAAGAAAAAAAATCTCCATGGCACATTCCTGGTCATCAAAAAAAAACAATCATTCTTTGAGTTTGGAGTTTTTTCTCATTGATGCACTGCTGTCCTCAGCTCACAAGCCTCATCTCCCCCAGGGCGCTCTCTCACATGACATAGAAAGTAGTGTTTGTTTTTTCCACTGTTGCATAGAATAGTGTGACCACCTCCATTTTCCCTAAAAAAAAGTCAGGTACCCATTAGACCTGGGTGGACTCAGGCACAGGTTCCACTCCAGATGTTAAGGCTATCAGTCAAGCGTTCTACTCTCCAACCATGCCGTCCCCTGTGTAATCTGTGTAATTAGTGACCAGTATTAAAAGTCATTTAAGCCAATTGACCACCAAGTCATTTAACACTTGTCCTTATCTTGTCCAGGTGTCTCACCAAGTCATTTAACACCTGTCCTTATCTTGTCCAGGTGTTTCACCAAGTCATTTAACACCTGTCCTTATCTTGTCCAGGTGTCTCACCAAGCAGCAGTACATCAGCTGGAGTGGGGAGCCAGAAACCCTCAACTGCTGGACCCACGCAAACATCTAGCACTAATGTATTTGGCACTCCCCAAACAGGTACTAATACTAGTACTGTGTTTGGTACTCCACAAACAACGACCACCAGTGCTGTGTTTGGTACACCATTAACAACGACCACCAGTACTGTGTTTGGTACTCCACAAACAACGACCACCGGTACTTTGTTTGGCACTCCCCAAACAGGTACTAATACAAGTACTGTGTTTGGTACTTCCCAAACCACCAGTAGTACTTTATTTGGCACACCCCAAACAAGTACCACCGGTTCTGTGTTTGGTACTCCCCAAACAACAACCACCAGTACTTTGTTTGGCACTCCCCAAACAAGCAGTGCTATGGGTACTGTATTTGGTACTTCTCAAAGTACTGCCAGTACTGTGTTTGGTGCTTCCCAAACAAGCAGTACCACTAGTACTGTGTTTGGTAATTCCCAAAGCACCGGCAGTACTTTGTTTGGTACTCCCCAAACAAGTACTACCAGTACTGTGTTTGGTACTTCACAAAGCACAGGCAGTACTTTATTTGGCACACCCCAAACTAGTACCAGCAGTACTTTATTTGGCACTCCCCAAACAAGTACTAGTGCTCCCTCTGATGGCAGTAGTTCTGGTATATTTGGCACCACCACCTCAAGTACTGGACTCTTTGGTAAAGAATCTGAAAGTACCTCAGCTTTTGGCACAGGGACCTCTACAGGTATGTCATTTACCTTTATTCTTTTATGAGTTCTGGTGAAAATTATAGTGAAATGCTTGCTATTTGTTTGATAATTAATTAACGAAGCCAAACATTACCTAGATCTAGAAAAAAAGTTAAGTACCCTTTTAGGCCTAAGTGGTAGAGCGCTGGGCTGGTAACCCGAAGGTCTCGAGTTCGAATCTTGGTCAAAGTCAGTAGAACGTCCCTGAGTCAATCCTGCTCTAGTGGGACCTAACTCACGTTAGGAAAAAGTAAAAGCAGGTAGGCAAAGTGCTAACCACACCTTCCCTTCAAATGCTGATTTCAAGAAACATGAATTCTACTTTATCTGCCCAATGGAATCATCTAGTCTAGAGAGGAATCTTTACTTTTACTTTAGAGGCCTAAGAGCCATAGTACAGATACAGTAGACTTGAGTAGAGTCCAACTTTCATTGAGTTCAACACCATGAATGGACTAAGTGGTCAACAGTATTCACAGTCGCCTTTCATTCCCACTTTAGTCAGAGCTAGTTGAACTCCACTGAATTTCTACTTATTAAAACCCAGGCACTGAACTTGAGACTTTTGGGTTGACAGTTGTGCACTCTAGCTCTCAGCCATGCTGTCCATTTCTTGATTTCAGTTGATGAAAGTTGGCCCAGAGAAATCAGTCTGGCAGCTGACTTTGTTTCTAGTTCCAGATCTACTTCACACTGACATGGTGTTATTTTATTTCAGCATTTGGTTCTCCTGGCACATTCAGCTTTGGGCAGGCTGCAACCTCTTCAGCCTCAAAGACTCTGTTTGGACAGCCAGACAATGCACAGGCATCGACATCCATTTTTGGGAAGCCTGTTAGTTCAGCAAGTAGTACCGGATCAACATTATTTGGACAACCTGCAAGTTCCACTTCAACATCAAGTTTGTTTGGACAACCTGCAAGTTCAACTGGATCATCAGTGTTTGGACAACCTACAAGTTCAACTGGATCATCGTTATTTGGACAACCAAGTTCAACTGGATCATCGTTATTTGGTCAACCAACAAGTTCAACTGGATCATCATTATTTGGACAACCAACAAGTTCAACTGGATCATCATTATTTGGACAACCATCAAGTTCAACTGGATCATCATTATTTGGACAACCAACAAGTTCAACAGGATCATCATTATTTGGACAACCAACAAGTTCAACTGGATCAACATTATTTGGACAACAAACAAGTTCAACTGGATCAACATTATTTGGACAACCTGCAACTGCTACAACAACCTCCTCGTTATTTGGGCAGCCCTCTGTATTTGGGCAACCATCTGGAAGGTTTGTATCTTACATCATTAAAATCACTTCAGATTTTTCGATCAGTTAGCATATAACCTGTTTTTCTCCTTTATCATAGTAAAATGTAAGACAAAATTCTTGCAGAATTGTTTAATTAAATCAATACGTTATTTTTAAAAAGAAATGTCAAGTATACCAACAGGCATGGCAGAATTATATATACCACCAGATAGATCTTCTTAGTACATTCACAAAGGGGTTAAGAAAACAATGCATGACCACTGCCTAAAATGGTTTTGAAATTTTACTGATGGAAATTTTGAAGATACAGATTGTAACTCACCATGAACACAAGCAATTGATTTGTGAAAAAATTTAAAAGGGGTTTTTGACTGATTTAAGGCCTTGTTCTATGGCTCCTTTGTATGTTTTGTTTTGGTAAGGTTATTACAATTACTAGGATTTTCATTTATTTTTTTATTTTGTTTGTTTAGGTTTAGTAAGGTTACCACTAGCATTTTCATTTATTTTTTTAAATTTTGTTTTTTTTAGGTTTGGTAAGGTTATCCCTAGCATTTTATTTGTATTTGTACACACTTTTCTGTCCCCAGCTCATCTACCTTTGGATTTGGAGGCCTGGGTGGAAAACCATCAGAAGAAAAGGCTAAACAGAATGTCTTTGGGACCCCTCAAGTATTCGGCAATGCATCAACACAGAGTAATAGTAAAACTGCCACTTTCTTATGAGCTTTTCTTTTAATCTATAGCTTTTCAACTTCATCAGTGAATTGAGATAGAGTAATAGAAAAACTGATGAGATTTATTTAATTTATAATTTATTTTACATCATTAACACAGAGTATTAGTAAAATAGTCCATTTTTCAATATGCTATAGTTAATTGGCATTACCCATCATAAATATTATTATAATGCATTTTAGTTTTTCCCATTATTGTTTACAGCTATAAATATATAATTTTTATAATTAATATATAGGCCCTACATTTATGTATTTATTTGCTAGTTCATGTCTAGAAAATTTTTCTGCTAGTATTTTCCAATGCGTTGCCCATTTATGGAATGTTTTTAAATATGAATTATGTCATCCCATTTTACTAAAGAGGAGTGTTTTGTATTATTAGGTCTCTTTGGAGGTGGCGGCAGCATATCATTTGGTTCTCCTTTCTCTTCTGGCGCTAATTCCGGGGGTTTTTCTGCCAGCAATGCTAGTACAGGAGGATTTTCTGCTGGCGGTGTGGGGGTAGCTGCCACAGGTTTTAACGTCTCCTCTCAGCAAACTACAGGTAAAACTTATTGCTATTAACAGCTGTTTTTCCACTTAGTTAATATTTTAATTTTTACCCATGAGTTCAATTAACAGCCATTTTCTTAACCTTGTTAATTATTTTTTGCATATTTCCCATGAGTTTAATTAAGCACCATTTTTTAGCTTTGTTAATTTTTATTGCATATTTCACATGAGTTCAAATAACCACCATTTTTTTTTCTAAATTTTTGTTGCATATTTCACATGAGTTCCTGTATTGGCCATTTTTTAATTTTTACCCATGACTTCATTTAACCACCATTTTTCAGCTTTATTAAATTTAAGTTGCATATTTCCCCATGAGTTCTGTTCAATGAATACATTTTTATAGTTTGAAATGAAACAACTTCCCACCCTATGATTGCAGGCACACCATCTGCCTTTGGGTCAGCACCAAGTTTTGGGAGCTCTCCTGTGTTTGGCTCCAAGCCAAGTTTTGGTGCCAGTCCATCATTCGGTGCCCCTCCTGCCTTTGGTGCAGCTCCAAGCTTCTCAGGTCTCAACACCGGCTCATTTGGCAGCTCGGGCTCAATGAATACAGGCTTCAGCGGGTGAGCTCTTTGTGGTTGTCAATGGGCTACTGCATGTATTATACTAGTAGCAAGTGATGGCATAAGATAGATATAATAGTATTATGAGTCTAGCAAAAAAAAAAAAAACTGGTTTCACTTTGTTTTGCTCCAGTCCTTGGTTATGACTTTCACACTGATATTGCCAAAAAAAAGCAAGCTAAATCTGGTACTGTTTTGCACTACTTAGTTTTATAAAAACACTTTGTTTATAGTAACACTAAGTACATAACAACTACATCTTATTTGTGATATATTAGAAATCTGACAGTTCTATACTCTAAAAAATTTTTGCCATATTTCCACCTGAGAATTGTAGAAACATGGTGCAGTACATTAAGTGATTTCCAATTCTTTTTATTTGTCAGTAACATCTCTAAATTACCCACCTAGCTTAAATTGACAATGAGCTTTAAAAAAGTTACTTCATATTAAACGTAGATGCTTAAAATTGCTCATGGCCAATAAAACATTAAATGTCAAGAGTTGTATTTCAGGTTTGCCAGCTCAGCTGCCCCTACATTTGACCAACTGGCCCAGGCCTCACCCTCCAGTACAAGCTTTGGTGGGGGTGGATTTGGTTCCCCAGCCAGCCAGCCATTTGGGGGCAGTGCTCCACTGTTTGGACAGTCTAATCCCAGTTCTGGATTTGGTTCTCAGCCACAAGGTAATTTTTTGTTTGTTTTAATCTTTTAAATGCTGATAGTAATTTAAAAAAAAACAAATCTTTAAAATGTTGAAGTGGAATGAACTTAGAGCTTTGGAGAAGGTATTTTATTTTTACTTGAGCTATTCATCTGTAACTTCTCTACAGAGCTCAGAAGTAAATAAACTGAAACTACTCTGAACTGCTAAACATTAATAGATTGTGCAATTCCTAAAATGTATAGTTTGGAGCTGGAGCTAATGAAAATTTGGTTAACACTTAGCTCAACTCAAGCAATGCCTGCTCAATTTCTTTAACTCTCTCAAATGTTAGAGGTCCTTCAATGTTTAATCTTTTATTCATTTTAATACATTACGTTTAATGCAATTCCTTGAAATATATTATCTTGGAAATAAAGATACCATTGAATTTAATTCCAGTTTTAAAATTGAATAAAACAGGATGTCTTTTTGTCCAGTGTCTATAATTTTGTAGAAGTCTCTATTTTAATGTAGCATATTGACATACACAATTTTTAAAAATTCTCATCTTCCCTATTTTTTCAACACAGGCTTCAGTACACCATCATTTGGGTAAGTAAATGTTTTTTATTTTCAGGTTTATAAATGTTCTGTTCAAATGACAAGTAGGAACAAGTATTAACAATCTAAACATTGTTTAGTTTACCCCTTTTTTCTCTCCTCCCTTCTCAATCCTGTTTGTAAAAGGATAGTTTTACATTTAGTTTTTGGTGTATTGTATTATGTTGTAAGAAGATAGGTTGATATTGTTGTGAGGCTTCTATGGTGGCATTAGGGCAGGAAGTCTAGTCTCACAAGGTGGTATGAGCATGAGGGTCAAAGGTGAGGTATTGTTTTCCTGCCTGTGACTTATTTCAAGAGAGCAGTGCTCCTAAGGCATGATTGCATCTAGTGCAATGATGAAGAAAAACCAGTCTGGGTTTATGTCCTGAAATAAAACCTACACACCTGAACCAAATATATTACGTTTGGTTACATTCTAAGAACAGCCTACCAAGTTTCATTCAAAATTTAGTTCTCTAAATTTTCTGCCATAAAATTAAAAAAAATGGGTGACACAATTTTTTATTGAGGCTTAAAGAATATTTTAAATTTTAAGTATATTTTAAAAACAAAAAACATCATTTTTTTTTACCTGCATTCAAAGTTCTAACAGCTGTAAACTGTATTTTTAAAAAAATGCTGTCTTGCTTGTTTTCAAAGGATTATAAGTACCTTTTTCTCTTTACAGAAACAATCCAGCATTCAATTCATACAGAGGATAGACCAAACATTTTCCTACTTCTAGCTTTGATGTTTAAGTAATAAAAGTATTCAGTACCTATGGGAGTTTAGTTTTTTTAATGTTTGGCAATGGTGTTGTTTTTTTTTATGTTTGGCAATGGTGTTGCTGAATGGTATAGCAGTTGCTTGACAGCAATTCTGTTAAGTTATCAGATTCAAAGGTCCACCTAGTGTGGTGAGACTGGCCATTTCCTGGGCATAGTGCTGACCACACAATCCTGTTATAATCAGAAAAAACCTTACTTTTTAGGGTTTTTTTTTTAATTCACTGGAATTAAACTTATTACATAGATTAGAAGAAAATTTGTTTTTAAATGTTGAAGTGTGTTAGTGAGGGATGCTACATGCATTATAATTTGAATATTAATATTCTGTAATGCAGCTACAAACCTTTCAGATACTCCAGTTGTGTACACTATTAAAAGCCTTCATACCCACAAGTGTAAAAATAAATAAAGTGGTAAATGAATCATCCATCTAGAATCAATGCAACCCTTGCTTGTATAATGGAGAAAGCCTAATATTATATCATAAAATGATGTTTTGAAAGACTTCAGTCCTCTACTGGTGGGAATCTTGTATTGATAAAATACTGGCAAAGCCAACAAGGAAGTCTCATTTTCCTAGAGGAATTTGCTATCAAGCATTCCGGACCAACTCTCTACATAGGCTAGCACAATTCCCCCAATTATAACATATAGATTCATGACATTCAACAGTTTGCAGTTTACCTTTAAAAATGAAACAGACACAGTTTACTGACTGCTGAAATAAAGTATTTATTTAGTGTTATGGTGTATATAGCCATACATAAATAGCACATCAATAACTCTTAAAACAGATAGATGTGGTGAGAGTAAATATAAAATATCTGTGGAAAATAATATCACATAAGGCTGATTGCAAAATCTTATCAAAGTAACTTAACATACTGTATGTGTAATAAATAGGTAATATATCTTTACATACACAGCAGTAAAGCTCCTTTATACAATTTCAAAGCAGTAGTCAGCAGTTTTTTTTTCAATTTTTTGTTTTTTTTATATTTTAAATTATCTTTGCTTAAAAAAAAAGTTGGGGAAGGGGGGATGAGGCTAAATGATAATTTAAATTCCTGCAACATATAAATTGTGTAAGGCTTTTATGACCATGTATACTAATTGCCCTGCTGTTAAAATACTCATGAGATACATGGTTTTGGAATATCACAAGCCCTTGTTCCCCTCCCTAATCGGCTTTAAAAACACAGAACTAATATGTTGCTTGAACAATGAAACCTGAAAAACTTCTTTGCCCAGATAACTGATTGTAAACAGTGAAATGAGAATTGTTTTGATGAATTTATCATAACTTAAGCTGAAAAAAAAATGATGGCAAATCAATTAATTACAAGAAAAAGTTTAATCAATTATTTACTTTTAAATTCTTATCCCAATATATTAACAGCATCACCACCTTCATCCAAAAACTATCCTAATTAAAAATTTTTATCAAGCACTGATGGAATATGCTTAATGCTATCTTTAAACCTAAACAGAAAAGGTATTATCTGATCACCAGAGATGGGATATTTTTTTTTTATATGCTTCAAAAATCCAATACGAGAAAAATATCAAATTATAAATCTTTACCAAACAGTAGTACAAGAAAGCCATCCAAATTATGTATACAAAATAATCAAATGACTGAGCTTATAAAATGATGCTGTGACAAACTAAACTAACCCTTCTCATCTTGATTAAAGCGGAACTGTAACTTGACTTCAGCTGTTTTAACATACCCTGCATGATAAGCTTTCACAGTTCTATCTTTTTACTTAAGGGCTGCCACAGCACCAAGAAGAAAAAAAAAGCCAAACTGTTGTAAAATAAATCATTTATCAAAATTAAACTCTCACTAAACGGTGCAATAGCTTAAAATAAAACCGGCCTTTAGTTCTATCACTGTCTCAGCTTCCCAATAACAACAATTTTTTATAACAATGTTGGTTTCAAATGATAAATATATAAATGCTAGATAAAAATAAACCTTGTTCTTTAACAATTATCCATTATCTGAAGCCTTTGATGTGCATCACAACTTAACTTTAACCACATACATTGTTTTTTTTTATATTAAAAACTCCACCCAGCACTCTTGCATATGATGGACTTTTGGCACATTTAATGGCACAATGTTTGAAGGGTAGATATGATGCTAGAAAAATAATTAAATCCAAAGGAATCATATAAAGCTGGTTCAAGGTTGCTAGTTTGATATCGCACACCACAATGAGCCAACATAAATGCCCAAATAATGTTTTTACTGATTGTTTTTCTCATAATAAAATGTTAGTTTTAAAAAAAAATGCAATGGTATTTTCTTAACTTTGGCACCAGGAGCAACTTAAACAGGATTTACAATTTGCTGTCTCTCTTTGGACTTCTGCTTTGACTTTTCCAAACTGGAGGGATAACACACACAGGTTTTCCGCGTCTTGGGTGCCACACCAGCATCTGGGCGGAGTTGGCGCAGGGTGGGGTCAGAGCACATCGCGGGATGGGGACATTGTAATCCAGGATGATGGGCTGGCGGGGAACAGGATTGCTTATAAGAGTTGCTCTCTCACCGAGTGGGCGCCTTGGATCTATGGCTATTTCCAACTGCATGCACCAGGACACTGTCTGAACATGTGAGAAAAAAAAATACTTTAATATTCACTGGTTAGAGAAAATAAAGATGTCTGAACATGTTAGAAAAAAAAACCAACAAAATATACTTTAATATTCACTGGTTAGAGAAAATAAAGATGTCTGGACATGTGAGAAGAAAAACCCAACAAAATATACTTTAATATTCACTGGTTAGAGAAAATAAAGATGTCTGGACATGTGAGAAAAAAAACCCAACAAAATATACTTTAATATTCACTGGTTAGAGAAAATAAAGATGTCTGGACATGTGAGAAGAAAAACCCAACAAAATATACTTTAATATTCACTGGTTAGAGAAAATAAAGATGTCTGGACATGTGAGAAAAAAAACCCAACAAAATATACTTTAATATTCACTGGTTAGAGAAAATAAAGATGTCTGGACATGTGAGAAGAAAAACCCAACAAAATATACTTTAATATTCACTGGTTAGAGAAAATAAAGATGTCTGGACATGTGAGAAAAAAAACCCAACAAAATATACTTTAATATTCACTGGTTAGAGAAAATAAAGATGTCTGGACATGTGAGAAAAAAACCCCAACAAAATATACTTTAATATTCATTGGTTAGAGAAAATAAAGATGTCTGAACATGTGAGAAAAAAAAAACCCCAACAAAATATACATTAATATTCTCTGGTTATAGAAACTAAAGATGTCTGAACATGTGAGAAAAAAAAAACCCAACAAAATATACTTTAATATTCACTGGTTAGAGAAAATAAAGATGTCTGATCATGTGAGAAAAAAAAAAACCCAACAAAATATACTTTAATATTCTCTGGTTATAGAAAATAAAGATGTCTGAACATGTTAGAAAAAAAAAACCCAACAAAATATACTTTAATATTCTCTGGTTATAGAAAATAAAGATGTCTGAACATGTTAGAAAAAAAAACCCAACAAAATATACTTTAATATTCACTGGTTATAGAAAATAAAGATGTCTGGACATGTGAGAAAAAAAACCCAACAAAATATACTTTAATATTCACTGGTTATAGAAAATAAAGATGTCTGGACATGTGAGAAAAAAAACCCAACAAAATATACTTTAATATTCACTGGTTAGAAAAAATAAAGATGTCTGAACATGTGAGAAAAAAAACCCAACAAAATATACTTTAATATTCACTGGTTATAGAAACTAAAGATGTCTGAACATGTGAGAAAAAAAAAACCCAACAAAATATACTTTAATATTCACTGGTTAGAGAAAATAAAGATGTCTGAACATGTGAGAAAAAAAAAACCCAACAAAATATACTTTAATATTCACTGGTTATAGAAAATAAAGACGTCTGAACATGTTAGAAAAAAAAACCAACAAAATATACTTTAATATTCACTGGTTATAGAAAATAAAGATGTCTGAACATGTGAGAAAAAAAAACAACAACATATACTTTAATATTCTCTGGTTATAGAAAATAAAGATGTCTAAACATGTGAAAAAAAAATACAACAAAATATACTTTAATATTCTCTGGTTATAGAAAATAAAGATGTCTGAACATGTGAGAAAAAAAAAACCAACAAAATATACTTTAATATTCACTGGTTATAGAAAATAATGAAGAAAAATACTTTTTACTTCACTGGTGAGAGAAAGCAAAGAAGAAAAATGTACTTTATTTTTCACCAGTTAGGGAAAGTAAAGAAGAAAATATATACTTTATTATTCACTGGCGAGAGAAGGTAAAGAAAACAAAAGGTATATTTTCACTGGAAAGGATCATATTAATCTTTATACTTACTGGTTTTGCTGAAAGAGTTAGGGTAATAATGAGTAAAGCAAAAGACAAATATAGATCTCAATACAAAAACAAAAAGTAAGACAGCAGTTTAATCAAGCAGCACATACATAGCGCAGACTAACAAAATTAGACACACATACCTGCATGACAAAGCTTTTCATTGTAACCATATTCCAGGCCACTAGCCACACGTAGAAACTCTGGTCACGTATGATGTGCGTCAGGTTAGGCTCCAGCTGATGGCGATTGGCTGGGTTCCTCCATGTGACATGCGGGTGGAAGTTATCATTCATGTAGACTGTAGCTGTTTGATAGCGGTCACAGGGGCCTTTGAAGATCACAGTTTCATTCCGGGAACCGTACCAGGGGTAGTGTCGGCCATCACAATCAGATATCATGGTCTGCTTGCCTGAAGTGAGTTCAGGAAACTCCCAGCTGGTGCTATTAAAATAATAAACAGAAACAGTATTAAGCAAAAGCTACAGAGATTCTTTTAAATGGCTGTAGATATGTGACTAAAATACCATTAATATTATTTACATTTGCGAGGGTGACAAAGTTATTGCAACTGTTATTTTTTTAAAAAAAAACTAACTTTCAAAATATCTGTGGAAAGAACCTAAGATCATTAGGTTTTTATGTAATACATATAGTTAAAATATCCTCAAGACTAAATGAAACACAAATTTGAAATTGAAATAAAGTTAAAAAAATGGTGAAAGTATAAAGGAACATTTCAATCAAACACCAAAATTTGAATTCGCAATGCAGGCCAACTCACTATCCCTCTTTCCCATAAGTGTTGTGAAATGTCATATCGGTGCATGCCTGAATCCAACCAACCTTCCAAGCTTCATTGTCAGAGAATGGAGATATTTCTACAGTTGCACTAGCCCTGTTACAGCAATGGCAGTAGTTAATGTTATATGTACAGAGTAGGCTGCTTGTACTTTAAAGTACACTTGTACAGAGTAGGCCAACAGTAGCCTACACCTGAGCACAAAAATACAGAGTAGACCAAAAGTAGCCTATACCTGAGTACAAAAATACAGAGTAGGCAAACAGTAGCCTACATCTGAGTACACAAATACAGAGTAGGCCAACAGTAGCCTACACCTGAGTACACAAATACAGAGTAGGCCAACAGTAGCCTACATCTGAGTACACAAATACAGAGTAGGCCAACAGTAGCCTACACCTGGGTACACAAATACAGAGTAGGCCAACAGTACACCTGAGCACAAATGTAAAGAGTAGACCAACAATGCATCAAGGGTGTACTAGTACTAGCAAAGTTGATCTAATCCAGTCTGGTATAAATTTTGTATCTTTTAATTGAATTATGTTAGCCAACAGGGCAGCAGTGAATGCAGGTTTTGCCCTGATCTCTGATCTACTAACACCAGGCTTGTTAGCTAGTCTGGATTAAGGTAGTTCTACCTGCTAAAAAATAACTTCAATATAAACCTGTTGGCAATTACTGACAATATTTATCAAAAGTAAAACAACTGAAAAAAATAGGATGATTTTGCCAACTGACCAAGGAATAGTTTCTATAGTAATTAAATATATACTATAACTACATACAACATTGGCACTAAGCTTATTATTATTTGTGTACAGTCACAGTTTTGTGGCAAGTTCGGTCAAAATTATGGTGCCAAAAGTAAAGATCTAGCCTATGTTAGATGTAAACATTTAGCCTATCTAGTATCTACTCTCTTTACTTAAAATTATGATGATTCAAAGATTAATTAAAGGGATAAGAATTCAAAACATTGTGTTTTTTTTCTTCTTACCACTACAATTCACTACATATAACTGATAGTGATGCTATGATGAAGTATAAGGTTCCTTGGTTTGTTGAAACTAACTCCATGAAATTAACCAAATCCAAGTCCATACAGAAGGCTTTAGCCTAGCCATATATCTTAATAAAATATTATTTACTAAAGGCCTATTAAATTAATTATATCATCATCAGGCCTACTAACATTGCAATCCCCTATTTATTTTTAGGTGAGTCCATTGGAGTTGACTTGGTACATCTATCTTCCAAACTGATAACAAAACTATTAGATCTAGTAATCTAGTTCAAGTTGTGTTATCAATATTTGTCAATACTCATTGTTTTGTCATAGTTGAGTTTATTATTGTTAGCTTTAAGCCTACAGTACTACAGTTAGCTACAGTAACATTAACTTTTATAACAAGGCTGAGCATAATGATAATAAGACAATGTTGGTCTTTTTTATAATATTAAACTGGTTAAATTAGTTATTAGCTTTACTAGTCACTGAACGAATCAACATTCATGATTAACTTTAACTTAATTTAAATTTAGGATAAGTTACTAACTTTACTACTTAAAGTACTATAATGCGGTCACAATGAACAGATATATTTCTCAATCCAGATAAGTCTAGTGATACAGATCTAGGTCTAGATCTAGCTAGATTTAGAGGAGTATAAGTCTAGATTGGATCCTAGGCCAAAGAGGGGCCTGTAGTACAGGAACAGTTACAGTGTAGTAGATCTAGATCTAGTAGAGATCTGCAGTATAATATTCTAATACAAGGGAGAGAATTGTCTAAGGTTTATAATGACAATACAATGAGACAAACCTGAAATTAGGCGTTCTGTACTTTAAAACTGCGGAGGAGCTTTCATCAATTTGTGTGGGTTCTTTGTCAATCTTTGCTTCTATTTCGAGAATTCGGATGACCGGCCCGACGTTGTCGTTACTGGTCGATATATTTTCATTGCTATTGTTATTTTCTTTATTTAAGGCCCCGTTCCAAACCACTAAGGATCCGTGTCCCATTCCATCCGTAGAGTGAACGGAACGATCCATCTGAAACCAGTGAAGGCCTCCGTGATTATTATTTTAAGCTATTGCGGCATTTGGTACTTCCAGAATCTTTACACGAAGGCCTTAGAGATTCTGTTACCATGTGCTTTTGTTTACGTCAGAATACTCTCAGTAGCAAATCTACCCAAGAAATGCTATTTCCGTTATATAAAACAGTATTGTAAATTTTTATCATATAAAAATATTCTGTAAATTTAACTTCATAAATTGGCAATTTAAAATATGCTGAAAGAAATAGTCGAAAACCAAAATATCACAAATAATTTTTATTTTCGAGTTAAAGAGTATGCATTCCATGTTAGCCGGAAACAGCTGAGATTTTAAGATGGCCCGTGTAAACTTCCTGAATTAATTCTGAAAACTACGATCTATAAAACAACCATTCCTCTGTTCTCTTTATAGAATCTTCTATAAGCATCATATAATTGAAGTATGTTTCTTATTTCGGATTGTAGATCTAGATTCTATCTAGATCTAGCAAAAGATAGATTCTACATGGCTTTTTTAACCGAATAAAAAAATAGTTAAAAATCTCGACTAGCCAGATCAGATTGGGTAATCTATCGTTTTGGGTACGTAAAATCGCCCGCGGCTATTTATGTACGAAAACGTTACCTCATTGTCAAGGCTTTAATAGAAGTATATTGTCATATGTTTGTGTTAAATATTATAGATACATGAATAATAAACCTAAATCAATGGCTAAATATATCGATATAGGCCAGAAATTAACTTTAAACAGCAGTGTCTGAGAGCACGATTTGCTATATAAACAGCAGCCATTTGTAAAATAGAGTAGCTTCCCCCTGAATCTGGCGCTAAAAGCTTATAAAAATAAAACTTAGACAAGATGGCTGCTATAGTAAATGAGCATGGTTGCATCTGTTGGAAACATCGCTAGTCTTCATTTATTACGGAAAAGTTTAAATTCAATTGTTTAAAAACAGGTACATAAATGAATCAAGGAAACATTTTTGAATTTTTTAATACATAAATCCTCCTCAAAATGTGAAATAATTATTAAAATTTAAGGAGTCACCTGTTTTTCACATTACAAATCGCGGGCGATTTTACGTACCCAAAACGATAGATTACCTCAGATTGTTACCAGAATATCTTTTTATTTTTAGACATTGAGATTATCAATGATTTCTAGTATAATACTGATTATCATTTAGATTCTAGATCTAATCTAGATTCAGGTAAAATCACGATATAGCGTCGGAAATTATTGGGTAATGTTCGTTGAGTTTCGGTAACATTCGTTACTGTAATACTGTAAACCATACTTTATTTGACCGGTGAAAGAAAAATAAAGTCAAGTACATTAAATTAATGTTTTAACTTAATTTAATGTTTAACTGACAAAAAATTAGCAAAAATTAGTAAATCTAAATATTTTTAAGAAAGTCGAGTGTAGTAATTAATGTTTTTTTTTAAGAAACAGAAAAAACCTGCAGAAGATTTGCGACAACCAGCTCTAGTTCTGTTAGTAAATAAGACGATTAGGCTAGATTAACTAAAGTTAAAAGTAGTAAGAATAACTAGAATAATGTTTAGTAGCAGCACTTAAAATAGTTAGAAATACAAAATAATTAGCAAAACAGCATTTAAAATGCAACTAAAATCAATCCTTGCACATTTTTAAACATTATGTACTAAAAATAATATGGCGGCAAATAAATGATGGTTTACAGTATTTCCGGTGGTTTCCGGAACGGCTCGACAGACTACGCCATGGTTTTACTGGTTTTTACTGCTGTACAGTTCCGGAATAATAACCGACGCTATATCGTGATTTTACCTAGATTCAGATCTAGATCTAGTAATACTACAATAGTTACTAGATTTCTAACTGTTAGTCTAGTTAGTAGATCTAGTCTAGCTCTAGTAAAAATCTAGTTGATTTTCAAAAAAGTGATTAACTGACTGACTAGCAGCTGATTCAGTGATTAGCTTGATGACTGATTACATCTTTGTTTGGACCTCTACACTACACTCAACTACACTGAGTTAACTCTACACTACACACATTGTTGTACTAGGTATTCTAAATGAGCCGAAAAAAACGTACTGCGCGTAAAAAAATTTGGTCGGGTTGCGCCAACGCTCGGAGATCCGATACCATAATACATACGATTACACTAAAAACTAATATAGAAAGTAGAATGGACGCCCTTTAATATGATATGACTTTGCCCGCTGTAAAATATAATTTAATGCTAAAAATAATAGATTTAAAAGTTTCAAATGATTTTTTTACACGAAAAAAATATTTTACAGCCGGCAAAATTATATATTCAGATCGGGCGTCCAATTTACTATAAAAATGTTATAATTTAATTAACACTTAATGTATGGTATCGGATCGCAGAAATAAAAACGAACGCATACGTATCGTGATGACCCGCGCTAACTTTTGCCGGCTTAAATCTAGTTTTGCGTAATGTCACGGAACACCCGGCTCAAGTTCAAAGCAGGATTTTGTGTTTATTCGCGGATTACCATGGATTTTAAACAATGTCTAGGTAAGTTAAGTGCTTTATAAATTATTAGCTATATTCATTTTATTTATAATAAACTGCTGCTTTAAACCATTTGCATTTTAGTGTCCACTTATCGGTAATTGCTACACGCTTAAAAAAACATTTACCAAAAAATTATCTAGACCTTTTTAAAAGTTCTTTGTATTTAATTTACGATTACCAAAATAAAAAAGGAATGCACAGTTAAATCAAAAAGATGTTTAAAAGAGTGATAGAATTTAATTTGTATTCGTGAATTTTATTAATTACTAACATCGACCGATTAAACTATCAATATATTGTCGATATTTCAAGCCGCTTGTCGGCCATTTTTTTTTTTTTGCCTTCTCGTAATGTTGGATTCAACTATTATATTACGCAGGGTTAACAGCATACTTTCAATTTATTGTAGCATTGTTTATTTTGTTTTTCCTAGTTTAATAGTTAACTATTCTATATAATTGCAGTAATTACATTAAATTTTAGAATACTACGATCGTTAATGTTTCTTATCTCTATGTTTATTGAACTGACGACATTAAAATAAAATGTAGCCCCCCTTCCATAATAGTTTAACCCAAAATTGTTTCTAGATCTACTTAGATTAGTTAGATTCACTATTGCTTTCATGTTAATATTTAGTAGTAGAACTATCTAAAGTGTTTACATTTAATATCTAAAAAAGCATTGAGCAGCCTTACTTTTAATATTATTCTATTTACAGAGCAAGATATTAGCAAAAGAAAGGGGAAACTGAAAGGCCTGTCAAAAATGTGTATTGTTTGTGTAAGCACCAACAGGACTACGGAATACTTTTGAAGGAAACCATATGTCAGATGTTAGTATTTTCTTCACTTTGCTTATTAGTTATAATGATGTAATGTTACATGATTGATATCTAAGTAGGTATAAAGATATACAGACCTACTATATAAGTCAGTATATTGGAAATGCTAATTTATTGTTTTTATTCACAGACATTTTCTCTACTCTGGACCAATGGAAGGATCCCTTACTAGTTTCCAAAATTTGATGTGTGCTGCCAGTTCACAATAATTTATTACAATGCTACTCCAAACCTTGAAGAAGAAGACAAACTCAACCAAGATATTGACTATTAATTACAATGCTACCCAACCTCATAGAGAACTTTCCCAATCAGGATATTGACCTGTCTTTTTTAACCTGCTCTAAGATTTCTGATAATTGTATAAGTTAGGACCTAGGCATTTCCAGAAGTTGACATTGATCAATAACTAACTAGAAGAAATAAATTTACTGATAACAAGTAAATTTAGGCTAAGCATGTCATGGTTAGGGAGCAGAGTAACAAAACTAGATGAACATCACAAAGCTAACAGTTAGGATCATTTATAAAGAATTTTAGTTTAATTAGTTATCTTACTTCATCAGTGTTTAAAAGGCATGAAATTTCTTCTTAGTAAGTATATAAGTAAAGTAATAGTATAGTTATTTAATTTTTTATAACAAAGTAATGCTAACATGTTTCCTACACAATTTATATTACTTTCTTAAAAGTAAGAACACTTTTTGCAAGATGTTAGGTAATGAAAATTCTTGATTTTGGGCGTTAAGGAAGGATGCCTTATATTGTTTTGCAGAATGATTATTTTATGTTTCTGTGTTTATTATATATTAAGAACATCATGTGCTTTAAGATGGTGTAAAATTTATTAAGATACCTTACTTTAATATTTTTTAATCATTTTTTGAAAAAGGGTGAAATTTCTAATTTTTATAAACTGACCTCGCAGAATCTGGTCTCGCTAATTACTTTCTTTATTAATTCTTTACCTGCTTATTTCATATTAACATGCTTTGAATTTCCTTTCTTAGAACATTTATATTATCAATGTGGCTTAATTAGTTTATTTTATATGATTTTTTAAAAATGACTGTAAATTGACTTTTTGTCTCCCTTTTCGTACTTTGGTAAAATTGTGCTTTGGCTCATTTTTAAGTGAATAAATTTTCCATTTATATCTGTCTGACAACCTTGAAAAAAATTGAGTTTGCTATTTGTATTACTGGCTGTGTGTGCAAGAAATTTGTGAGTTCTAACTTAGTTATTTTAGAAGTTAGTAGGGGTCTCAAATAGACCCTTTACTGCTCGAAAAGCGAACACATTTTTCGAGTTTTAAAAAATTCATAACTTTTTTAAAAATGGACATACATCAATAAATTTGGTGTTTCTGTTCTGATGAAAGCAATCCCTATCAGGTGGAAGTGTTAAATTTTATTTAATTTCATTATGAAAATTTCATTTAGAATACCTAGTTGTACTAAGCAAAAGTAAAACATTTTAATTAAAATATGAGTAATTAGGCCTAATACTAATAGGCCTGTTTACTTAGATTAGGCCTACTTTATTTTAAATCTAATATATAAAGCTCAGTTCTGTATGTAATGCATTTGTATGTCGTTGGAATTGTACGATTTTAAGTGTTAGAAAAATTATCGTGCGCATTTGTCTAAATTTATGAGCTAAAAAATTACTATTGAAAGTGTTGGGAAATAATTTTCATTTTTCAAATTATAGTAATAATTGTCGGCATGTTCATTAAACACAAGTTTTAAAAAAAATATTATCTTTTACAAAAATTCTAATTATGTCTTTATTTAGTCCTATAGCACTTACTTCCCTTTGATAAATTAGGAAAAACACAATTACTTCCCTTTATAAACCCATTGTATTCCGTGAAAATAATTTACTTTTTAATTACTTTGTTTTGGTGTTGGGAAAAAAAATAATTACATAATTAGCGGGGATTGATCAAGTGCAAATGTTGTAGGTATTTTACGGATAAGCTTGGAGTATTAAAATTGTTTATTAAATTGAAACAGGCGCGTTCGTTTAAGAGTGCAAAAGACTGTGAATAAGTTGGGGTACTATAGTCGTTCATTAAGCTAAAACAGGTGATTCCGCCCCGGGCGTTTATGTTCGCGTTAGTGTTTTCTTTGTGGTTAGGTGGGTTTGCGTTAGTGGTTGCGTTTTAATTTGGTTCGTTTTTGTTCTTTCTTTTTTCGTTTTTGTTTGTGTTTTTTTTGTTTGGGTTTGTATTTGTGTTTTTGGTTGGTTTTGCGTTTGGATTTGGTTTGTTTTCGTTTGCTTTTTTCGTTGATTTTTTTTTGTTGGTATTGGTGTTTGTGGTTGGGTTTGTTGTTAGGTTTTTGTTTTCGTTTGCTTTTTTGTTTGTTTTTTCTTTGTGTTTGTATTGGTGTTTGTGGGTGTGGTTGTGTTTGTTGTTAAGTTTTTGTTTTCGTTTGTATTTGTAATTGTGTTAGCGTTATGTTTGCGTTTTGTTGTTTTGGTTGGTTGTGGTTTGGGTGGGCAATGCCGGGTTTATGATGATTACTAAACACACAGGTAATGGTCTTTAACAGAAAGGTTTTTCACAGAAGCCAGAGCAGGGCCTGGCCGGGACGGCTAGTATAAACTAAAAAAAAAAAAAAGAAAATTAATTTGCTGGAGGTGACACTCCATTACTAACAATTGAGAATTGAGTAGTTTTTCTTATAGTTCAGTACATATCATAATACAGTTGCTCCGATTTACAGCACCATGTATTACCCAGATTTAGTCTTACCACTGGTAGTAGGCAGTGTTCAGTGATTTTTTTTTTGCATTAAATTAGCAATAGGTGTTTATAAAGTTTATTGTCACTGACTATGTACAATTGCCTTAGTAACATCTTGGGAAATTTGGGTTCATATTTAATTTGTACATTTCACTCACCTTTCTATATTATGGGCGGGACAAATGCCTGAATCATAAGCTAATTAGGAATATTTTTAGAAATCAATTTCCATTCTGACTTTACAGAACAAAATTAATGTTTACAAAACATGAACAATCTTAACTTATAAAATTTCTGATTACCATGAGAATATTTACTCTTTAGGAAAACAAGTAGCAATCAGGGTCTGTTACTTAGAATGTATTTCATTGCTTATTTCCTTTCTGACATTACCAATAAATATAATTCAAATTTGATTTTGTATTTCTATGTTTACTCAATATAAAATGTCTGATGACCATGAAAAATACTCTAGTCTCTAACTTAAAATACATTTATGTGTTGCCTTTTAAGTTATTTAACCTATAATTAAAACTATGGCTATATCTAGTAATATTATTTTCTCAACAGAAGCACCATAGTTATTTACAACGCAATATTTTCCTACAAAAATGCGAAAGCGACCTATTGGCCAAAAGGTGGATGACAACAACCCTCAAGAAGAAGAGACAGCCACCCAAGTCTGCACATCAGCATGTTTGTCACTGTGGGATTCCTTCCTGATGCTGGACCACCAGTTCACTACTCATCTAGCTGTTTGTGCCACCAAGGAGTCTCCTCTAGGCAACCTGAGGCCAGTGATGAAGATTCTAGAAATCAGCTGCCATGGTGTCCCCTGGCTTCTTGGCACTCTTATTTTATTTTTCTTCTCCCACAAGCCCCAGGATGTGGAGGTGTCAGTGAATATGTTTGCTGGTTAGTGCCATCAGAATTTTTGTTTATTATTCAAGTACTAACAGCATGTTAAAGATATAACTTCTAAATTTAATCCAACCCTAAATAAGATCCCAAATTTGACCCAAGTAGCATTATAGAACCTTCATTTAATGAGAGAAAAATCTCAAACCTCTACCTACCCCATATAATTTTCCCAGATCAGTTTCTCATTCCCCCCCCCCCCCCCCCCCAAAACTACTGCAGTAGGACATTATCCTGCCTGTGAAGGAAAGATAGGAATAGGGGTATTTTAGTGATAGGGTCAGATATATGGATAGGTATAAAGTGCTGAATATTTTAATGAGGGGTGGGATGAAATATACTCGAATCTGATTTAATTGTCTATTTATTGTTCTCCCATGGTTTATATAACAACCTCTAATTTTTACTTTGAATAATAATTTATTTTTGTTGTACTTTTTATACTGGTCAATTTATATATCTTTGAACTTTGTTTCGTTCACAGCACTTGTATTTGATATCATCATAGTTGGGCTGCTAAAAATGACGTTTAGAAGAGGACGTCCCAGCCTTAATGTGATGGACATGTTTGCAGCGCCCTCTGTTGATAAATTCTCCTTCCCCTCTGGTCACGCGACCAGGGCGACAATGATGGGGATCTTTCTGTGCCTTCACCTTTTCACCAACAGGTTCTACATGCTGGTGACCTTTCTCTGGTCTATAAGTGTGTGTGTTTCAAGAATTCTACTGGGCAGGCACCACATTTTTGATGTGGTCTGTGGCTGCTTGGTTGGGATGGTGTCCTACTGGATCTTCTTGAAACTGTGGATTTCGCAAGAGACTTGTCTTGTTTATTTGGACACGTACTTTGGCCATGTTCATCTTTAACCAGAGTCTTTTTATTTTTCACTGCCTTATAAAAAATTAAAATTTGGTTATCTCCTTTGTTGTACAACAAATAAAGCTGCTCCATTTATCTCCCTTTGTCTGCATTGAATTACTAATCAAAATAGTTATTGATAAGACTTGTAGTATTGTACCAGAAAAATTGCATTAACAAGTGTTTATTTCATTTTCTATAAAAAAAAAAATAACATTAGTATTTATTTGTACTGTTTGTATTTATTCTTTTTTTTGTGTTAAAAATATTTGATTTAAACTCTTTGTATTATGAAAAAAATGTTTAAGTTATTTTGCAGTAAATAGATAGTTACCACAGACTCTGTATAAAGTAAATATTAGCCTGTAAACTCTATTGGGGATAAACATCGTTTTTGTTTATTGATTTGTTTAAATAATAGTTATTTCTTTTCGATTATAAGAAAATTAACTTTACAGAAAATGAATTTTTTATGTTTATTTGAATAACTTAGGCTTTGGTAGTTTATATAATATAAATTTAAGAATATATTACTTGTATAAATAACATACAGATTGTTAGCTTGTCACAATGACAAAATTTTGTCAACTTTTATGTGGACAAATGAGAAAAATTTCAATGATTTTATTTTTACCTGTTAAAAAAATCTTTAAATAAAAATATAAGTTACTTGTAGGGATTTCTCTTACAATTAGCATTATTTACAGTGGAAGTACCAATCAATAACATCTTTTTTTAAGTAACTAGTATCAGCATAATTAATTTTATCACTTGGTTGTGGATTACCCCTGATGTGGGATGTAGATAAGTTGTATGTCGCTGTAAAAATATACTGCATAGCTGAGTTAGATTTTTTTAATAACTACTAACAAGTTGAACATGAAAATTAATGGTTGATGATGAAACTGTGATACTATACCAGTGAACAGTCTGATGATATGTGAAATGTTATGTATATATCCGTATCAATGAACAATCCGGTACATGTGGTTGGTTTATATGATACAAGTTTAAAATAAGACTAAATTAATAATTCTTCCAGTTAACCTTGTTTACTTAAACAATTATGAATAAAACATTTTTGACTTTGAAAAAAATTTTTGTTTAAAATTTAAGTGGACCATATATTAATTTTTATTTTACTTGTCAGGACCAAATTTTTAAACCATTACTCTCTCTTATGGTTAGTTGCATACTAAAGTAAATAATCTGAAATTAAATCCTGCCTGCAATCGATGTTCAATAGCTTGACGACTAGTAACAGTTTTTCTAACCACATAATTTATTGATTGATGGATTTATACTTCTGCAAATACTCTATTGCTTTGTGCGTCTTACACATTGTGTCTTCAGCTATGTATATAGATATATATATAGTAAATACATAAATGTAATTGTAACATTGCTTCAGTTTTTATTTTGCTTTGAAATTTTATTTATTTCTAAAAAATCTTTTTCTAGTGTAAAAATTTTAAACAGTTGATTTGATTGACTTGAAAATTTTCAGAGAAAACTTCATATTGTCTAAATTTTTCCTCGTGCTCAATGGTGTCGATGTGTGCTTTAGATCATGTGGCTTGTGAATAGCAAACTTTGCAGGCAGCATTGGTAAAAATGTGTCCAAAATAGATCACTCCTCAGGTGCCTTTGACATGAATTATTTCATTTTTAATTTTCCAGTCATAGTTTTTTTATTTTGCTAGATTGAATATTTTGAGGTTTACTGTGTGTTCAGAGTGATCTAACTTGTGTGCAGCTGTAGTGTTTTTAATCTGCCTCAACTGTTGCTGATTTGAGCAAAAATTAACTGAAATCCCCAGCCACATCATTGATTGATAATGCTGTTCATATAATTTGTCATAAATATTTGATTAAAAATACAAGTTTGGTTGTTATGAGAAGCAATATATAGAACTGTGTAAACAATTTTTTTTTGGTGTTGTACACACTTAAAATTTATGTCATTATATTTAGTTGTTTTTTTTCTAGTTTGTAAATTTATTAAAATGAAATAAATAATTTAACACTAACTTATTTACCACTTTAAACAAAAGTTTTAACTTCCTAAGTTCATTACTAGGTAATTGTTTTGCCACCCACCTTATTGCATTTTATATTAAATAACCCAAGAAAAGGTTAAATACTGGCATTTGTCTGTTTAAACATTGACTCCTTTTTTTAAAAAAAACTTTTTTTTGGTTATGTTAACCCATTATTAGAATATAGCTTTGATTCTATTTCTTTATAAGGTGGTTATTTTTTGTGTATTACTGTGTTTAATATAGTTTTTATTATTAAGATGATGTGAAGTACTGGCCGATTAAATGACGTTTTAGCCTTAGGCTTTAACTGATCATTGGCGTTTACATATTTTTATTCATCTGTTGGTTTACTTTTAATTTTATTTTTAAGATTTTATTTGTTATATGAACATCCCAAATGACGTTTGCTTAAGGCAGACTGAAAAGGGACTTCAATTAATTTGTGCCCCCTGTGCAGCTGACTACGCACACTCTCTTGCCACTCTATACGCACGTAACAACATTTCTGATTTAACTTTAAGTTTGGCTAGCATACATAACTTTAATCGTCTTGTGTGGATATAAATAATATAGGTGGATTTAAGCCAGATAATTTTTCTCAGAAATTATAAACATGATCACTGTTTTTGATGTAGAAATGCTATGAAAACAGGTCTAGACAGTCAAAGAATGTAAAAATATTCCATGTCTTTTAGCAATTTTTATTCATTTTTTAAAAATGTCGTTGCTTAAACTTATCAACAGGTTAAATGTTATGAATGATCATTCTGTTTTACATATTTTAAAAATATGTTCGACAAATTTTTTATTTCTGAAGAATCTTGTGATCTACTTTGATTTAGTCTTAAATTCTGTAAGATAATCGCTCGGTTTAAAAAAAAAAGAGCAACAAATTGAAGTTGCTGGCTAAGTGTCATTTAAAGCATTAATTTGTTCCTGAGGGAAATGAAATGAAACAGCAGAAGAAGATGCACATTTAAAAGTGGATTTGACAAGTGATATTTATTTGTAAGGTATCTTGTGATCTGCGTAGAGTTAGTCTTTGATTCTGTGAGGTTTTTGTTGACCATGACATGATCACGCATTACAATTCTGCCATTTTTCTCGATATTAAAAGACCCGGTTTTTAATTTGTTTTTTGTCACATTTTTCCTTTGTCGTTAGTGTTACTGTTCTTTACTTGTGCCATCTAACACATCCATGTTTTTGTTTGTAAACTATAGCACATAAAATTAGCTGACTTCAAAATTATTACATGATATAATATGAAAGTCAATTAAAGATAGAACAGCATCAGTTAAAGTCAGTGATAGATTTATAAGCAACTGACTAAAAATACGAAAAAGTTTTTCAGGTTGTTTAGAAACTTAAATAAATGCAAATCACCGCTCATTTGTAATGTTCTTTATTTGTATATTTGTTTTGTCAACATACAATTTACACAAACCATAGTAACAGTGACAAGTTGAATTATAAAAAAGTTTTTTTTTTTTTGGAAAATATTGTGATGATGTACACACTTAGATGTCAATATAAAGCTGTTCATCATAACTGGAAGATGTTACAATCACTCATGGCAATCTTGCACAATAGTACAGATAAGATAGGATGGATTTTGACCTTGTCAGTGGTAAATCTGCTTTTTTAAATCGATGTTGTGTGTAAAGCTTTCTTGCACTACTATCTGGCATGAGCAATGTCTCTAAGCCAGGCTGATCCATCAAAGAGCAGATCATGCACCAAAATATTGAATGATATTGCCAGCTACTAGATCTGTTGTTTCAATAAGGCTTGTACTCCCTGGTGTCTTACTCTGATTGGTTAGATTGGGGGAGGGGGTAGTCTGTTCTGAGAACAAGCTAATTACAGCTTGGAAGCCGAACTCATGACTTCATGATTATTAGGCATAGGCTCTACTGCTTGACCACACCCCCCCCCCCGAATTATACCTGACAGCTGAAGATATTATTAGATCTCTATTTTTATCTCACAATTTGCTAGTTTTTCTGGTTAAGATACAAAGAGATAAGGGGATGAATGAACTAGCCCCTACAGTCTAGTATATCATTATGAAGCAGAGACCGCTGCATTATTAAAGCCTACATTTAGTCCCAATCCCTTTAAAACATTTGCATACCCCTGATTTATTCTTCATCAATATTTTAAGTTCATGCTAGATGTAAAGAAAGGTCTTTGAAAAAAAAACAAAGGGTTGAATAATTAATTAAAAAACTTGCATTTTACAAAAACAAATAATTATTGTGAATTAGAAATCAACATTTTTTACATTTATTGACCAAAAGGCACTTCAATAAAGTTTAAAGAAGTTGAGAGAGTTGTAAGTCAGATTCCTAAAGTGATTGAACTATACATTAAGTACTTTTAGCTTTTGCCGAAAATAATAATAAACATTTAAAATTATATTTCACTTCAAGGCATAATTTATATCACAGTTTGATTTAAAATGGCTACAAATTCAGCTGTATCACCAGTACAGTTTTTTTCTGTAAAGCCATATCACATAGTAAGATTATAAAAAAACAGTGAACAAGCAATAAATGGGTAACACAGGGATGAGTGCTAACATGAACATCACCAGAGCCTGTTGGGATTATATCTGGAAGCTGCCGGCGCTGCTAGTCTCTGATCTCTCAAAGCACCCATCACTGTCCACGAGGTGTTTCTGTTTGATGGGAGCGCAGGTGCTGCGTAGCTGGGTGCTGATGGTGTTGTCACATGTGGATAAGTGTCTGTCTGACTGTTAAATATTATTTTAAAAAAATAATTAGATTAAATCATTATCTATTAAATTAGCTTTGTGTGTTGAAAAGAATTTTGAAATATTTTTTAAGAAAATAAAGTAATTATTATTTTTCGAGTTAAATAACAAAAAAAAAAACAACAACAAAGCAATGCATAATAATTAGATGCTTAGTATATACATTTTATTAACATAGTTAATGTAATGGTACTAAGCATGCTTTGAACTGAATAACGTAATCAATATTATGTAGCAATTCTGATAAATGAACAAATATGACAACCTTGGAGGCAATGAAAGATGGCCATTTCTTCCTTGATATTGTTGATGCAAATTTAATAACTCCTTATAGCTTGCTGGTGGCTCATTGCGCCTTAGTTCAGGGGGTTCAAAGTTTTCTAAAAAAAAATCAACAAATTTGACACTGGATATAGATGCTATTGGCACATTCAAATAATAAATATATTCATGAATTAATTCCCTTAGTATTAATATAATATTATTATGTTTTAAAAATAATTGTTATATTTAGAAGAGGTAGCATTGGTTTGTATATTTGTTATTCCATAATTATAATCAAGTATTATTCAGAAAGAATTCAGCTGAACTAGAAAAAGCTGTTTTGAAATTTATCACATTTAAACAAAATATGAGTGTAATCAAAACAGCTTAAGATGTAAATTTATTGCAAATTAGTTATACATGTAAGATAGCAACACAAATTTTGACTTTGAGGATGTTAGCATTACTACAAATTTTTACACATGTAATTTATTCACAAAACAACTTGCCGTTTTTAAAAGGGCGTTTTCCACTGGGAGGTAGACCTGTGACTGTTATAACTGGCAACATTGATGCAGTGGAGGAAATGTTATCTGGCATTTGTTTAGGGAACCTTGGGTCAATCACAGTTGGAGGAGTGGTAACTCTTTGCTGGTTTAATGTTGCAGATGGTATAGAGTTAGTGTTCTTGCCAGAGGAGGGTCTGTAGTTTTGATTGCTTTGATATTCAGAAGGCGATGGTGCTTCATTGTTTCTGTTTTGCATATTTTCTTCATGAACCCATTGTGGAGAAACTGTGGCACGGTTTAAATTAGATTCACTCTGAGAATATTGCTGGTTGTTGAAAGCATTATACTGTTGAGCACTGTTTCGACTGCTGGTTTTGATTCCATGTCGGCTGTACATCATATCACCAGCTCCCATGTGACTGGCAAAAAAGTTAAACATAAAAGTCAATTGCTATTGATAACTAGTTTTACATAATAGATATTCAATCTATAAAAAAAATCAAGTAAAAAATTTTACCAATTTAATAAAACAAAAATTTTAATGTAAAAATAATGATATGCACATTTTATACAAGCAGCAGCTTCGCTATAACTCGTTAAGTATGTACTGTAATACAGCCTCTATGAATATATTTATACTACATCTTTCTTTAAACTGTACTAGATTATGTAGTGTGTTTAAGAAATAAATAAGTTTTTAGAAATTTAAAATGTGAAAATAATATTGTACATGTTTATTAGGGACTATAACTTAATAATAACACGTTAACTATTAAGTGTGTTGAATCCTTATAAGCAAAGAAAAAGTCAAATTATAAACAAAGTGTTATTTTATGGGTGGAAATTAGCCAAGGCTTACCTATGAGATTGTGTATAAACACCAGGTACATTAAAGCCTGATTCAGCTTTCTGCAATGTAAACAAAAATATAATTATACCTTATATTCTACCTAATACTGAAAAGTACATTGATAATATTATAAAAGTAGTTTATCACCTAGAACCTACCTTTACAGATAACTCACTGAGTGGACTATTTCTGTAAGCTTGTGCAGGATTTGATTCATAATAATTAGATCGCTGATTTCTTTGGTTACCTAGTATCAAATAAAGATTGCTTATTACAATGTATGCATTTTACAAGCAATATAATGTTAGTCTGAAAAATATTTGTCATAATTTTTATTTTATTTTGAGAGATGAAACAATGTATCCTACCTGAGTATGGTCTATTGTACCCATCATTCCTTCTGTTTCTGTTATTTCCTCTGTCTGTATTAGAATAATTTTATTCAATAAAATATATACATATAAGCTATATATATATATATATATATATATATATATATATATATATATATATATATATATATATATATATATATATATATATATATATATATATATATAGGCCTCTATACAAAAGTAAGATTTCAAAAGTGACAAGAAAGGTTATTTTATCTTCATTAAAAGATGTATTTTTACAATAAAGTTCATGCCAGACCCTATCGTTTTAATGTAATACAAAATATGTAATAGTTTTGGAGCTTTCACTTTTACTTTCAGTAACAGACTTTTCAATTAGTGTCAAGTGTGTATACACATTTAGTTTGTTTCATTAGGCTTTAATGTAAGAGTTATAAGCATACAGGCTTCTAACCAGCAAAAGTGTGTGTACAACATCATTCTGTGTGCAATGATGCAACCTAGAGGAAACATGTGTGCAGTACTTTCTTTACTTTAATCAATTCTATCCATGGATCTAGTCGACCAAAAGTAACTAGTTGATGGGGTCGGCGTGGTCGAGTCGGTTAAGCTCATGGTTGCAAAACCGAAAAGTTTCGAGTTCGAACCCTCGGGCAGATGAGGCTCGTTAGCTGGGGACAGCCACTCTTCTAGGAGAGACAACTCCAAAATTAAACAACTGCTGCCTTGTAGTTTGTTCTTGGTTGGACAAAGGCTATGGAAGCAAATCCAAAAAGAAAAGCAGGCTGAAATCGGAGTCAATGGCCTCAATGGCGCATAACCAGTTGACATGTAACGCTTAATTGTGTTGGAGGCGTGGTAGAGTCGGCAAAAAGCTCATGGTTGATAAATTCGAACAAAGTCTCGAGTTCAAAACTCACTGGCAGATAAATCTCGATCACCTTCAACACTAATAATTAAGAACAAAGAAGAAGAAGAAAAAGAAGAACTAGTTGATGTGTCATTGGCTAGCTAAATAATTTACCTAATAAATTTAGCTTCAACAGATTAAAAAAAAATTATAATTTATGAAAAAAGCTTACAACAAATTTTACAAACCTCAATAAAAATTAAATGCTTCAGTTTTAGATCATCATCAATATCAATAACATGAAACTATTTTTAAAAAAACTGGTTGCTTAACACAAATTAATACAGATATAATTTTTATTAAGAAAACAAAAATGTTATAAATTATTTACACTACCAACCTGCTCTGTTTGCAAAAAAGCCCTCAAATACAACAAAATTGTTCACTTGTGGAATGCTTGCTTCTAGTTTGTAATGTCGTTTTAAAAATGAGAGAAACTTTGGTGAAGGCCTGTCTATGGCTAGATGTTCAACACGAATTCCTTCATTCTTAAACGAAAATAAAGTAGTGAGAAAAAAAGACAACAACAACAGCCAACTCAAACTATTAGTATTATGGATATTTGCAAATCATTGACCATGGGAGACAGATTAACACAAATTTTAACATGGAAAGATATATATGTGAGTATTCTTTCATATCTCAGATCTTCAAAAAATATGTTACGTGCCCACCTCAAACTGCTGATATTTTAAAGTACTTTAGAAAAAAGAACACTCACCTGAGTATAAAATACAAAATATTTTTACCAAGAGTCTATTCTCAAAACAAATGTAACTAAGAGAGAAAAGAACTCTTACCATAAGCATAAAGTCAAAAAGTTTTCTCCCGCAGCCCATTCTTTGCCGAGACTCATGAACATAAAAGTCTAGAACACACAGTGGCTCCATCTCATGCTGTTTCTTGCTGTTGTCGTACACAAAAAGTTTTTTGCTTCCAACTTTCAAAATGCCAATCACACACCCCATCCCACTGAGGAAATAAAAAAACAAAATAATTGTAAGAGTTGATTAAATACTAGAAATACAATTGTGATTTAAATAAAATTTAGATTTGATTGTTTCCATTACCGATTACTATTGTTGTCTTTCATAATGTAGACCCTGTGTCCAGATGTTTCAAGTCTTTTGCCAGTAGTAATGGGCCCATGTAAACTTTGTGCCTATAGAAGAAACAAAGAGCAGTTTAAAAAGTTTTTACATTTGTAGGACTTAAAGAAACAATATAAAAAAAAATTCTACCTTAGCTGATGCTTCACCCATCTTATCCACAATGTCATACAGCATACTTTGTAATTGACGGAAATTTTGCCTGTTCCATTAAAAATAGGTTTTATTATTTTGTTATGCATGAAAACATGTATTAAGTTGTAGATAAATAAAATATCCCCCCCCCCCTCCTCCCAAGAGATGTAGACACAATATGCCTTTAACATGTCTTATTGACAATATTAATAGTTCTCAAAGTAATACATGATGTGTCCCTAGTAGAAAACCATTAGTCTGAACCATCAAATGACATGTTCTGATAAAACATGACTGTCTATATAGTCTTTATAACAGATGCCACTATGTTTTTTAATTATGCAGCAAAGTAATAACTTATTTTAAAATGTAGAACAAAAAGCTAAATTTGTAAACCAATTCATTTTGTTAAAAGATTGACAAGAATACTATGCTTTTCTTAACACACCAGATACTAAGGACTTAGAAGGCAGTTTTATTTAGTCATTTTTACATAAAATGTGAAAATATGCATTAAAACAAAAATGTTAGGCCTGTTTTATAAATAAACTAACCTGTCAGTTCCATTGGCTCTACATAACTGAAGTGTACTGTCAACAACTGATATTTCATCATGCAGCAATTTGTTTACACTAAATGAGAAATCCATGTCCTATATTTATTTAGACAACAGAGCAGAAAGACTGGCGATGATCTTACGTCAGTTTAAAAGGATATACACTGCAGACAATGTAGGTGGAAGTTGTTAGCAGTTTTTTTTTAAGTCTCTGCTTTAGTTAATAAATTCTTAAGGCAATCTCATGGTTGAGCTGGAAAGAGAAAAAAAAACATTTCTATGAGTCATTCTGTAACCTACTGATAACACAAAGGATCGCTCCTTACCACCTCCTTTGGGTTGATCAAGGTTTTCGACCTACAAAAGTTATGCAAAACTGTGGTTTTCTAGTAGAAGTATGTAGCAGAATATGTTGAAATATTAAATGAATAACTACATTAATTGTAGCTTTCATTTGTATTTCTTTATTTCAACTTATACAAAGTGGAGTAATCTCAGTAATAGTAGACTAATGGTACTAGGTAAAGAGATATTGCTAAAAGTAACAAAGAAACAAATGACAAATAAAGTTAATAAAGAAGTTGAAGCCAAACAACACAAGACCTACAAGCTACACAGAGAATATCTTGTCTAGTCTAGTATCTACATCGAAAGTTCTGAACTTCATTCAATTCAGAATAGTTAATGATAATTCAACTTATTAGCCATGCTAATTTAATAGGCCTAATATTATAAAGTAATAATAAAATGGCTAATATTCTAATAATATAGGCGCTAAATTTAAATAAACATCAATAGTTAAATTTTTAAATACTACTAATATTCTAGTACTAAATAATACTGACTACTACTACTATTACTTCTTACTAAAAGCAGTGGCAGTAACATATATTAACATTTTTGATAATCTGTCGTTTTAGGTACATAAAATTGTCTGAGGCTAGTAACGTGAAAAAAAGTTGCCTGATTGTTAAAGCTTTCTTAGAAGTATATGTATATTGTGATATATTTGTGTCAAATATTATAGATAACTGAATAATAAACCAAAATAAATGGCTAATAATATATCAATATATATAGGCCAGAAATTAACTTTAAACGGCAGTGTTTGCTAGCAAGATTTGCTATAAACAGCGGCCAACTTAAAAATTAGAGTGGTTTCCCCTGAATCTCCCATTATAATTTTACCATAAAAAACGGCTGCTAAAGGAAATGAGCTTGGTTGCATCTGATGAAAACATCGCTAGTGTGTATTTATTTGACAAGTTTTAATATTATGATACAATTGTTTAAAAACAGGTACATGAATAAAACTTTGAAACATTTTTCAAAACATATGATTATGATAAATCCTCCTAAAAAGCCTTATAAAAAGGTGAAATAGTTACTAAAATTTAATGAGTCACCTCTTTTCACATTACGAGATCTAGATCTAGTCTCGGCCGATTTTACGTAGATCTAGATTCTAGATCTAGAGACTTAAAACGATGATTTACCACATTTTTTTTCTATTTTTTAGAACGCAGCATTCTGAATTTCAGAATCTAGAGTAGAGTAGAGAGATCTAGAGAATCTAGTTCTAGATCTAATTAATTATCATAGATCTAGATAAAATAGTAATAAGAAGAGCATATGTTTTATATGGATGATATTTTTAAAATGTATTACAACGATAATTGAGATCTATAATGTTTTAAAATGTTAGGCCTAATAATTTTATTTTCCAATATTGAAATTGTACCGAAGTCGCCATGTTTACTCACTAAGGAAAACATTGTAATAACGCACTGAGGTTTCCTAAGTGTTTGATTGGTCCGTAAACCGTGATATTTGTCGATAGGCCTAGTTTGAACATCATGAAAAATTCATGTTTATAATTTATGAATTTGAAAACCACCTCGTCAAAAGATAGTTGATCTATGACAAAAGCGATAATTTAAACAGTAGTAATAGATATAATTATCTTGACGTTTTAGACTAAGTCAGGCCAGGAATTATATATTTGTTTATAATTTGATTTTTTAAAAAAGGAGTTAGGCCTACCAAAATGGCAAATCTTTGGTTATAGTTATCTGGTATTTCCGATCGATGTGGTTTCGCTTTTACTATTGTCTGTTTACTATTTTAAAAGATTACATTTCTGAGTCTTTCTAGAACTTGTGAAACACTCAAGAAGACGTTTCAGAGATATCTGTTTGATATAGATCTAGATCTAGATCTATACTTGATCTATTTCTCATTATTCTCTAGGCCTATCCTATTTTTTATAATTACTCTAGACAATTGTAAAGAAAGATCATGCCTAGAAAAAAGCCTTTCAGTGGCAAACAGAAAAAGCTCCAACTCAAAGACAAAAAAACAAAAAAACAAGGTAGACTAGGTCTAACTTAAGTCATTTAGCCTTGAGCCTTTTTGCTTTAGAATTTAGTGACATTTTGGACGATATTTCGAGTCGACCCTTTGTATACTTGGCAGAATGAAGCCTGTGCCTGGCCTCAACCGACTGGTGGGGCTTTCATTGATTTAAAAATTATAACAGTCAAGGGATGCTGAATCAGAATTATCCACATATTTCACAAACTGTTTAATACCCATTACACTCTTGTTTTGAGGACCTTAAAAATTAATCAACATATTTTTCTCCCTTAATCTAGATGGACCAGCTTATCTTATGGACGACAGTGACTCTGATGGTCATTCCAAGTTTAAAAAACATTCTTCCGGGAAACAACAAAGGAGTAACCACGATGCATTTTCTTTAGATGAATTAGACATTCAAAAGTTAAATGAGCAGCCAACTAAACCAGGCAATAAAAGTGACAAATTTGACATCAACAGGTACTTTTGTTATATTTAGCAAGGCACAACCGTATTTTCTATTTTTTTCAGTAAAAAGGTTAAATCTTTATTATCATCCTCTTTTTCCCGTTACTGCCCAGGACACGGGACAAGCAAAGTAGAGTTCATATGTTTCAGGTACCTTGGCACACAAGGGGATAGTGTGGTCAGCAATATGCCCAGCTGAGCTGGGTGTACTTAGTGATGTCCTACAGACTTGAGCCTGGATCTGAACTTGAGACTTTAAGGTTGGCAGACATGAGCCCTACCATTAGTCCACATCGTCCCATAAGTTTAACCTTAGTGAATCTATTTCTCAAAATATTAACACAAAAAAATAACATAATTGTTTTTCTACTTGATTATCATGTTCACATCCCCTATGTATTTTGTAAACTTAATAATCATACCCCACATTACTGTTTCTCATCTGCAGTTTCAAACTCCACTTTTTTAAAGAAAAGGAGGAAGAAATAATTAAAAGAAAGAAAGAGTCACGACTTCCAATTGTAATAGGTGATGAGGTCAGCAATTTTATTTTCTCAGGTCATTATTTCTAAAGCTAAATATTTTTTTTATAAAAAAGAATGTACCCTTTCTTGTTCTGTAAACTGTAATTACCAGATGTTTGACTCCATTACCATACAATTTCCCATTGGCCTACTTTTGCGCAGAAGCCAATAGCCTACAAACTTGAAGATGTTTACCCCCCAACAGCCAAACTGGATTTTCCTAAGAGACAGCCATGGAACTACAGCCTAACCAAAGAACAGCTGGAACAGCAGGAAAAACAATACTTTAAGGTCAGATTCTTCAAACTGTTTTAAAATACATTTTTTTCTTAATACTTATTTAAAATTGTATAACCAAGTTCAACCACAGTTTTATTTTTTCCCTAAAAATACCTCAGTAAAGCAGGTATTTTTTGCTTGCTATAGACATGTTGAGTTATTTTGGTGCGAGCGAGATTGGATGTTTATTTACTAAAACATTAACATTTGTATTCACAACCTTACTGGCTGAGTTGTTCACACAAGGCCCACCAAATGAGAGTTGGAATTTAAATAGTGCCATCCACACAGGTTGCAGTTCACATGGTTGGGAATGAACCATAGTGACACCACGCCATTGAAGTCTAAGGAAATTGTTAGTTTTTAGCAATGGCTTGAATCTCCTCCTTGACTGAGGATTGGCACCATCCTGCTTTGTCTTTTATGAATGGCAAGATTTCTATAGACATTAGCAAGATTTCTATATATATTTACTCCATAGGGTTGTATGTTGTTGGGAAGTGGTTAAAGTGAATTCCTTCCCAACATAATGTCTAAAACTGACTACTCCTAGCTTGGGCCTTGCACCAATCCGCTCATTGGTTCCAACACATTCAGAAACTGTGTGGGTATAAAATTATCAACAGAATTAAGTCCTAACACAAATAATACCTCATTCTCAACAAAAATGTCTAAAAATGTTTGCTTGAAACAAACCTAAACAGAAAAAAAAGTTTATAAAAAAAATATTATATTTTAGTGTTCACAAAATTGTCTATTTGAATAATTATTTTTTTCTTACTTCCTTTTCAGTCCTATGTATTAGATATTCTGGACCAACCAAGGGCTAAAGATCTCAGTTACTTTGAGCTAAACCTAGAAACATGGCGTCAGTTGTGGCGAGTCCTGGAGATTTCAGATATTCTACTGATCATTGCTGACATTAGATATCCAGTAGGTAGCTCTTAAATATTTTCCTGCCCTCTGTTATAAATTGAGTAATTATTTTTAAAAAATTAAACAAATATATTATCATAACAATGTTAATGTAGTCACTGAGTAAATTGTGTTAACAGTAAAGAGTTACATCAGAACCAAATTGCTCTTCTTCTTTCAAATCAGGATTTTTTTACTGTCTTGTTATATTTATCTTTAAATTAATTATTTCTAAAATTACTTAAATTATTTTTTCATCTTTTTATACTAAAATTTGTTACTGATTTGTTTTGAATCCTGAAAACAGCTATACAATGTATTGGCCATGTGGGCTATACTTCTGTGGGTTGTTTTCTAAGATTACACAATATAATGAATTTACTATTTTCTGAAGTGTCAAAATACTAGAGATAGCTGCTTTGTAAACTATCAGCCTATTTGAGTTACTTTCTTATTAAATGAGAATAATATGGCCTGAACATATTTTAATTTTAGGTGCTGCACATTCCACCTAGCCTCATCAACCATGTTTTAAAAGAGCTTCATAAAGAAGTCATCATCATATTAAACAAAGTAGACTTCGCACCAGTAGTTTTGGCCTTAGCATGGAAGCGTTACTTGCATAAACTGTTTCCTGGCATCCATGTCATCTTTTTCTCCTCGTTCCCCAGGCAAGCACCAGAAGGGGAAATTCAGCTGGACTTTGACCCTTCAGCTGGTGAGTTGTTCTGTCACTTGTAAACACAGCAACAGATCATTTTGGAACCATAATTTTTTTAACATCACTGCCTTGACTCTGATCCAAACTTTAATCCTGATGCTTACATTAAAATCAGAAGATGAAAAAATAAAAAATAAAATACCATTTTGTTTTACCGTTATTTTTAAGGTGTATTGTTCATGGACCTTTATTTAACCTATAGGCCTATAACAATTTTTTAAATTTATTAGTTATACAGCTATATGGAATATAAAGAATTTTAGTTGCTTTAACCAACTCTAACTTAATCTAATGCACATAGAATATATGCAAAGAAACTAATAGAACCCTTTTGGTCCTGACATCTTTTTGGGAAAGTTGAAGTAGAGTTTATCTGTTTTCTGTGAGCTTTGCATATGAACTTACACTATCACAGACAACAGAGAACTGACATTTGGGTGCAATTCATGCTTATGTGTAAATATGTGAGACAGTTATAGCCAATTTAAAGAATAAAAGCACACTAGACACTTCTAGGAGAATATTTTATTGTACCTCTGCAGTCTTTGTATTCTATACTTTTGTAATAATTATTGTCTAATTATACCAGCTTTGTATAGAAGACAGTATAAAAAGAAAGCCATACCTGTTGGTCCCAGTGAGCTGCTAAATGTCTGTAAAGAAATCGTCGCCAGTAAAGGTAAGATTTATTTATTTATCTCATCCTCTTTTCCTGTTTGTGCCCAAGACACATTGGGCTGAAGTAGTGTTTATCTGTTTCACTGACCTCAGCATACAAGAAGTTAGTGTGGTTAGCACTATGCCCAGTTGCCTTAGTTTCCCTAAATTTTGTCAGATATCCATCAGAGTTGGGCGGACTCAGGGACATCTTACACGAGCCTGGAATTTGAGACTTTTGGGTTAGCAGTCATATGCGCTATCATTTGACGACACCATCCCAAATTATTTTTATGAAGTACAGTAATTAGATATCTCTAATGCCCTAAACAATTAGTCTTTATGTTGTGTGAAGTATATTAAAAAATTTGATCTTGAAGAGCAATATTTTTTATTTTAATTTATTGTGTACTTTGTTTTAAATTGTAATATTCCAGATTATTTCTAGTTAACTAAAATAAATTGTGCAAGGCTTGTATTGTATTTCCCCAGATTTTTTTCATGATTCAAGCTTAATTCTTGTAATATGTCAAATTTTTATTGTTAATTTTAGTTGATTTGTCCTTGTGGGAGCAGAAGATTTCAGAAAATGCTGCCTATGTGTTGGAGGATGATGAGGAAAATGAAAGTGAAGATGAGAAGTGTGATGAAGCTACAAACACAAATGAAGATGAACTTTTAGAGCATGAGGCTTATGAACAAGCTGCCCATCCTAAGTATAAAAATGGAATCATGACCATTGGGTGTATTGGTAATGTGAACAATTTAAAATCTAAATTTTAGTAGATAATTCAATTTGATAGTACTAAAATAACTACTGATCAGATAATCTAGCTTTAATGAAGATCCAAATAGATAATTGTAAATAACACACAATAAAATAGTCTCTTAACAGGTAAACTAATCTTATTTAGAAAATTTCTTTTATTGCTTTCATTACACATTTTTAAATACATGCTTATTTCACAGGTTACCCTAATGTAGGCAAATCTTCTGTGTTAAATGCACTTGTTGGTAAAAAGGTACACCAAATTTTACATTATTGAAGTGTTTCATGTTAAGGAAAATAATAATTTTGAACTGCCAATAGCACTGTTGTTGTTTTTTTCTACTAAAACCTTGCTAGACAGAGAGCTAATAAAATAAAAATGTATTACCAATTATTGTAATCTTTTAATTTATGATCCAAAGTATGGATATTTCACCTGCGAGAACATAAAATTTGATTTTTAAATTTTCAAGTTGTTTCATATCTAACATTTAAAATCAGCATTTTTTAATTAAAATGAAATATATTATATTTGTTACTTTACACATCATTCCTGGCTTGTTTCACTGCCCTATGTTTGGCCATATTTTCAGGTTGTTTCTGTTTCCAAAACACCTGGCCACACCAAACACCTGCAGACAATTTTCCTGTCCCCAACAGTAAGACTGTGTGATTGTCCCGGCCTTGTGTTTCCATCTATGGTGCCAAAGTCACTTCAGGTTTGTTTGTGTATCAGTTTATGAGATTTATCTCAAGCTCTGTCTTTTAGATTCTTTTAAAATTAAGGCACTCATTGTAGAAGTAAACTATTTGTACCACCCAGCTTTTAAGAAAGAAACCTGCCTTATCTTGTGCTACATATTACAATCCATGTATGTTGTTTATATTTTGCATATCATTCTTTATAAAGTGCACTTGAAAATCACCCTGATTTCTTAAACAAATAACCATGTACAGACTCTAATTAAATCCTGATCATTTATGTTCTACATTGTGTAACCATGGTTATTCATATTGTACATATTATTGACCTTATTACTTATGCCAAGCATATTTATTTTCTTCTTCTTCTTCGTTCTTAATTATTAGTGTTGAAGGGGATCGAGATTTATCTGCCAGTGGGTTTGAACTCGAGACTTTTGTTCGAATTTATCAACCATGAGCTTTTTGCCGACTCGACCACGCCTCCAACACAATTAAGCGTTACGTGTCAACTGGTTATGCGCCATTGAGGCCATTGACTCCGATTTCAGCCTGCTTTTCTTTTTGGATTTGCTTCCATAGCCTTTGTCCAACCAAGAACAAACTACAAGGCAGCAGTTGTTTAATTTTGGAGTTGTCTCTCCTAGAAGAGTGGCTGTCCCCAGCTAACGAGCCTCATCTGCCCGAGGGTTCGAACTCGAGACTTTTCGGTTTAGCAACCATGAGCTTTACCGACTCGACCACGCCGACCCAGCATATTTATAATATAATACATATTATTTGCTCTACAAATTATGGCACTGATTGTTTTATTTAGATTTTTCTATTATTTATGCTCTATATATTCAGATCATAACTTGGATTCGATTGTTGTACAGATTATAAGCCAGATTATTTGTTGTACAAATTACAACCCTGATTATTTATGTTACGCAGATTATAGCTGGCATATTTCCTGTTGCCCAAGTGAGGGAGCCATACTCTGTAGTGGGGTACCTGGCCAAAAGACTGGACATACCAAAGTTGTTGAAGCTGACCCCACCAGACCTTTCCTACCTGGAGGTTGAAGCAAGATCTCAGTACCAGTGGACAGCTCATGATATTTGTGAAGGTGCTAACATGTGTATTGTACTGTGAAGGTTTTTACACAACCCCACACATTTCTAGAATTGTATACTGAACCAGTGGGTTTGCGTGGCAAGAAATGTGGTTGCTAATAATAGAAAGTCTAGTTAACACCCAGATATCAGAGTTCATCCATCTGTGATAAGTAACTGACAAGCAGAGGGGAGGGGGGGGGGGCATCACAATCCATTATTTAACCCTAAGCACAATTAATAGCCTAAACATCTGAAGTGGTTCTGTGTATTCTATATACCATACTATTGGGTTGTTTCCAGCTTGGGCTATCAAAAATGGGTTCACAACATCCAAGGCAGGGCGTCCAGATGTCTACAGGGCAGCCAACAAACTCCTCCGCCTAGCCGTGGAGGGTCAGCTGTGTTTATGCTTTAAGCCACCAGACTTTGAAGAGACGTCAGGTCAGTTAACTCTCATACCATACATTTATATGAAGTAGAAAAGTCATAACCAGATGTTTCTACACTTCCAATGATATTTAAACTTTTAGATTAATAAAGAAATAATTAAAGAAAAAGAAAGATATACTGGGGCTATAGGCAGTTCTTTGAACATCCCATATAAATTACTATTTCAATCAGGCAGCATGATTTTGTTTTAATAATTTCAATTAGCTGAGAAGGGTCATTGGTATATCTGCTGTGCAATAATTAATATAAATTTTGTAGACATTTTTTATAACCACAATCCTCTTTCTTATAGAGCAATTAGTGAGTGACCCAGAGACCAGCAAACTATCCACTGTACTCAACTCCCAACCTATTCAGCCAACCAACACCGAAGAATCAGATGCCAGTAATGAAAGTGATGACGAAGAAGAGGAGGAACCTCAGTTCACCAAAACCACTGGCATGTTTGATAAGCTGCAGGAGTTAGAGGATGATGATGGTGAAGATTCAGATCCTACCTAGGTACCAGCAAAACTGCACAACATATAAAGTCTCAGGCGATACCTGACCTTGTATGTTAACTTGTGGTTTTGGGAATTATTCTTCAACAATTGCTGTTAAAAACAAAGTTTTTGTGCATTTGTTTATATTTACTTTAAACAGTCTTCCTATAAAAAATAAGACATTCATTGTGCACTGTGAAGATGTTGAATAATTCATAATTGTAAGCAGTAATTTGAAATTAACCAACAGTATTTTATTGTATGTATTGGACAACTTCCACACACCACCTGGCATGTAACAGTATACTAACACAGATTAGACTTAGTTTTAATACTTTATTTACATTACTTTAATTAAATAAGATCAGCCCTAATTTCTATAAATAGCTACAGACAATTACAAACCATGACACAATGAATGTAACAAAATAAATTTACCATTTATTCAAATGTATGTGTAAAAAAAAATGCATATGCTGAAATGTTCTTGAGTAATGATGACCATAGTTAGCTTGTTTATCTGCCTAACTGTGAGGGTGGTGTGAAGAAACCTGTCCCTTGTTTACTGGCAGCACGGGATGGTGCCAGTCCCAACAGCTTTTGGATGTTCTGTCAAATAGAGGCAATAACACTCTATACATTAAAGTAATTGTATTGTTAATTTATCTATTATCTAGTAAATGTACAAGTATGAGGATAATTTTAGCAGAATTCATGAGAACCAATGTGCCTTTTCAGATTGTAAGTATTAAATTTAATTATTAAACAGAATTTTAATACACCTTAATTGTCTTGAGAATCTATTCAAACATTAATTCTATATTATGGATGTATGATTTAAAGCTGTTCACATAAGTTTATCAGTGGTCAATCTTACCTGTCTAATGGACATGGTGCAGAGAATGTAGAGAAATATAAATGAACATTGCGAATAATCCTCCCCTGGAAGATTTCTATGAGAGATGCCTTGGATAAAAGATATGGGAGTGAAAGGTAGGTTGGCAACCACTCGACCATCAAATCTGAGAAAACAGAAAATATTAGCCAGTAGTCCAAAATATTTTGCTGTCTAGTCAATTATGACTGTCGTATGTCCCTTAGCTTTGAAAATTTGACAACATTTGTAAAATCAATGAGTTAAAATTAATGCTATAACAATAAAAAGCTGCCTTATTTTTCATATTTTGGTGATTTCAATACAGATTTTCAATAGCCTGAGCTACTTACATAGAATTAAACATGCTGAGAAGTGCTGTAAATGCAAAACCAATGGCAAACATGGACTTCATTTTCACCTATTGAAAAAAAAAAGAGAAAACCTATTTAGTAACAAAGGGAAATAAGGGAAATGTTTGGTGTGGCCAGGTGTTTTGGAAACAGAAACAACCTGAAAATTCTATTTAATTTTAAACATAGAAAAAATGTAATCAATGAAAATATTTTAAAACTATAGATAACTATCAAGGTTGTGCTTACCAAAGATAAATCCCTACTGTTATTTTTTAACTTTTCCTCTTGTCTCTCTGGAAAAAAAAGGTTTAATTGTATGGGTTAGAAACATTGGTTACTTGTAAATAATCCATAAGACTAGAATGTACTGTAACCCAGTAACATGAATTAATCTAAGTATTTTTGACACAAGCATAAAATTGCAACTTGAGTGTGAAAATCATAAAAATTATGCAAAGAGTTGGAAACTGAAGAGTTTTCTAAAACTTACCTAATTTTTTCTTTTGAACCCTGTCATTTGTTTCAGTTTCCCTTTGCTTTTCCACTAAGAAATAAGTTTTAAAAAAAATGAAACATTTTGGTATGGATTTTTTAAAGCAATATTAAAAGTACAACTGTTTAATTCTAAATCAAGTATCACTGGAATGTATAAGAATAACCTACACTTCTTGCTCTGTTTTTCCACTTCAGCCTTCAATTTTTTGTATTTTTCAGTCCTATATACCATAATCCATGTCAAACCTTTATTTTAAAAAAGAAAGTATCTGATTAATTAGTGGTGACTGGCATAGAAGACATTACATTGATTTGTCAATAAAGGTGTTCTTAATAAAAACTACTTGAATTGTGTAGCTAAATTGGAGTTGAATGAAAGTAGGTAACAACATTAGAGTTTAAAAAAAACAACTAATTAATCAGGGTTAAAAGACAATTACAACTGAATATCAGATGGATATTGTTTATGGCCAGACTGAATCCCTAGAAAAACAATACCCCCAGCCAAACCTTAATAGGTGAAATTGTTGCAACAAGTTTAAAAATATAATACAAAAGAATAATTAATAACACTCTCCTTCAAATAAACCAGACAATATAGCATCATTCATGGGTTGTCAAAGGAAAGCTTATAAATTGTACATAAAAAGAAATTGAAATATACACTATAATATTAACATACATGATAATAATTAATTACTTTATACTGAGACTTGCAAACTAATACTTTGAACTAGCTATCTTTTCAAGAAGCATTAATGACAAATTAGCCTCTACAATAGTACAATAGGCCAAATGTGGCATTATGTGATTATGAGACATGGTATGAAAAAAACTCATTTTGATCTAGCAGAATCTACATTTTGGGACATTCCTCTACAACACACTACAACATGTGGTGGTATGTGGCCTGACCTAGACTATATAAATGAGCTTAGACCTATATTTAATTATTAACAAGTCAGCTGGTTTGAGGCCAGTCCAGGGTTCTTTCTCTTTCAGTGCTTTCAGCTAGCCTAGGGATTGAAAGGGTTAATTTGAAATATAAAAATATTATGGCCCCTATTTGCTTTATTTTAATTGTTAATTAATATGCAAAGATCTATGGGGCAGTCTCAGGACCAGGATTGCTCCAGGTTGTGAGGTAGGCGGTCCAGTATAATATAAGTAATTCATTGGTCCAGTTGTTGAGAGACCCAGGCCCAGCTTTGAGCTTTCTTACTTTTTTGCTTTACTGCTTACTTAGATAAAAATAGATATAGATCTAGACTACATCTATTTATTTATTGAATACAGTACATGAAAATTCGCTTAACTAAACCACAATGCCCCATAAAAAAGCAAATTACCCTCTCCAAGAAAGGCGGTGCATACTGAAATAAAAACAATTAATATGCAATCTGACAACATTTTGCAAAACGGCGAGAGCCAATAGGTTTGCCAGATCATTATGTTCAGATTTTTGCGATTTAGTTTTACCGTATTCCTAGGCCTAATTAAAATAGCTTCAAAATAAACAGCATAATTATTAATAACTTTGAAGATAAATTGGCATTTTCTGCACTTTAAAAATTTAATGTGTAATTGTACGCTTTCGTAACATTTTATTGGTATAGGATACTTTCAGTTTCTTAATTAGTTCAGTTTTAATTTACGAGGACCTATAGATCTATAATCAGTGTTTCTTCCAGACGTTTTTCTCCTGGGGGGGGGGGGGGGCACTTGAAATTTTCGGGGGGGGGGGGCGGTAGACTTTCTTCGGGGCGGCGGACACTGTTAAAAGTATATATTTTCTATATAAATTATATAAATTTCATTTCGTTCGGGGGGGAGGTAAAAAAATTTCGGGGGGGGGGGCAACCCCCCCCCCCCCCCGAAGAGATGCCTGGAAGAAACTCTGTCTATAATTTTCAATAACGTAGGAATAAAACAGCATACTAAAGGCTTAAATCTATTTGAATTAAAAATGCAATCACAATTTATCTAATTTAATCGTCACCCTTTGACATTATTTTTGAAGATTAATACCTATTACAAGATGCAATTTCTGAATATCTTTTTTTTTTAAATATTTTTTCTCTGTGTGGGTTTAACATACATGTATAATGTCAGGGATTTCATATCCTTTGCAGACATATAATTATTTGGTCCATCCAGAGGCGTAGCGACCCTTCCCGGCGCCCGGGGACAAACTTTTCGATTTGCACCCCCCCCCCTCGAGATTTCCATTTGCACCCCCCCCCCCTCAAACTTTCGATTTGCACCCCCATCAACCTTTCAATTTATTTTTCCATCCCATTTTGGCGCCCCCTAAGGTCGGCGCCCGGGGACATATGTCCCCCCCCCCCCTCGCTACGCTACTGGGTCCATCCATATTGTTATCAAGCTTTGTGAACATTTTTTGTGCGCCGGCAACAAATTAAAAAAAAAGAGCCCCCCCCCCCCCCCCAGAAACACACCAATACACAAAATAGGCTGCAAAAAACTATAATAATATGTTGGGGGATTTGGGGTTTTCCGAAACAACGTGAAGCTTTTCAGATTTTTACCTCCCCTCGTTTGACGCATTTCGTCGCAAATATACATTTTTTAAATATAATTATGTTCTTTATGAGATTGTTACTGAGCTCAGCCAGCATTGCGTATGCTTATCAGCTTTTCTTACACAATTTACAAAAAAAAGTTTTTTTTTATTCATTTTGCTTCTTAAAATGCGAAAGCGTCGTGTTCACACTTGTTCTCGTCACACATAGTCACGAAATTTTGACTTCCTCGCCCAACGACTAGTATGACGTCCTTTATAGATGACCCATGGTCCATTATTGTAATTTTGATACATGACAGAATGACAAGTCGGTATAATTAACCTTAGCCTAAATGACACACCTGTCACAGTGAAATCAATTCACTAACACATTTAACCTCCATGCATATTTTCAAATTAGATAGAATCTTTATAACTTGGATTACTAGGCGCACTAATTTCAATTTGTTGACATGTGGAAAATGGCTTCGCAGCCAAAACATGCTCTGACTTTAGAAATTTTAGCAAAATGCTCGAAATCGAAAGCCCGAGCTTGTGCGATGTCGTTACCACATGCAGTTGTGGACACACCCGTCTTTATGCCTGTAGGAACTCAAGGCACATTAAAAGGATTAGTACCAGATCAGCTGAGAGAACTGAACTGTAAAATCATGCTGGGCAACACCTACCATCTTGGACACAGACCGGTTAGATTTATTTTTTAATATTACTAGATCTAATCTAGATCTAGAATCTAGATCTAGATCTAGATATAGACTCCAAAAAAAAAAATTAAAAAATCTAGATTACGTATTCTATTCAAATGTTGTAATGTAGTACTATGTAGGCCCTACTATTTTAAAATATTTAAATTAGTTAGGCCTAAATTTATAAATTACCTCTGGCAGGGTGGGGTGCTGCAGCAGCAGTAGGGCTATAGATTCTAGATTCTCTAGTATTATGTAGGCCTATTATTATTAACGAGCCGGCCCGCGGCATAGCATACGCCGCTATTTAGTTGTTGTTGTTTTGGTAAAATCACGATATAGCGTCGGAAATTATTGGGTAATGTTCGTTGAGTTTCGGTAACATTCGTTACTGTAAACCATAGTTTATCTGACCGGTGAAATAAAAATAGAGTCAAGTGCATTAAATTATTGTTTTAACTTAATTTTTAACTGACAAAAAATTAGCAACAATTACGTCAATTAGTAAATCTAAATATTATTAATAAAGTCGAGTGTAGTAATTAATGTTTTTTTTAAGAAACAGAAAAAACCTGCAGTAGATTTGCGACAACCAGCTCTAGTTCTGTTAGTAAATAAGACGATTAGATTAACTAAAGTTAAAAGTAGTAAGAATAACTAGAATAATGTTTAGTAGCAGCAATAATTAGCACATACACTTAAAATAATTAGAAATACAAAATAATTAGTAAAACAGTATTTAAAATGCAACTAAAATCAATCCTTGCATATTTTTAAACATTATGTATTAAAAATAATATGGCAGCAAATAAATGATGGTTTACAGTATTTCCGGTGGTTTCCGGAACGGCTCGACAGACTACGCCATGGTTTTACTGTTTTTTACTGCTGTACAGTTCCGGAATAATAACCGATGCTATATCGTGATTTTACCGTTGTTTTTTCTACTTTTCAGTAATTCATAATTTGAATTAATTTGTGAATTTGACAGTACCAACGCTGCCACTGAAAATATTTCTTTAAAACACTATAAGAGTATAAGTAAGTAGCTCGTTGAGGACCATAACCCTCCCCCCCTACCCCTCCCCCCTATGTTTAAAATCGTTTCAAACTAAATTATCTGCCCCTAATAGTCGTCACTAAACCCGGCTCTGCTTGTAAACATTTAGAGTGAACACAGCTCACTAAGACCATGTAGTATGTAGGGGTGGGGTGGTAGGGAGCGCGTTTACAGCTTGTTTTCTAGCGTCTCCCAGAAGAGAATTATATATATATAGATTATATATATTATTGTAACTATTGTTGACTATCGATTGAGTCACTAATGACTATGTAATAATATTTTCATTATTTTGTCCTACCTTAATTACTAATTAATCACGCCTAAAATCTAAATTGGCCTAATCACTCAGCAATCACCAAATGATTGAGCTAAGTTACAAATGATTAATTTGGGGCCTACTAGAATCTAATCTAATCATTTACTAAAGAATAGCCTACAGCTAATGGTTAAAATTTTAGCCCTAAATCAATAGACCCTTAAAAATTCATGAATAAAACTCAGAATAAAACGACCAACTACAAGTTATGAGTACTACTACTACTACTACTAAGTAGATTTAAATTCTAGAAGTAGGTTCAAATTTGCGTACTAATCCCATCATTTAGATGATCAAGTTCTTTTTTTTGTAGTCACAGATACATTATCATGTAGATCTAATAGACCTTTTAATAATACTTTTCTATGACTAAATTACTAAATTAGGCCTACTAATTATTTGCAGAAATTATTTATCTGGGGAATTATGTTTCAAGCTTTATCCCTTAGCAACAACTTCAGATAACCACACCAGAATTTTACTATTTTATAGATCTATACTACTAGTTCTCTAACAAAACTAAGATGACCTATGTATATCCATAATCATCCCAAATAAGTTAACAATTTACAGCTATTTGATAACTTTAATGGTCTACACATTTTCATTTCAGGGCCCTGAGCTTTTGGAGAAGGCAGGTGGACTTCATAATTTCATGAAATGGGACAGAGCCTTATTAACGGTAATTAAGTTAAAAATTTTCTTTTAGGATGATAAAAAACATTTACAATTTTTTTTCTTTCATTTTTATAAATTAGGCCATTTAGTTTAAAGGGAACAAAAGTTTAAATAGAAATCCATTTAAAACTAAATAATTAATTAGATATAAAATCTACACTGAAGTAAATGAGTTGATGCTATTTCAATTTGTTTTTGAATATCAACAGTAAATGACACAATTTTTTAAACAGGATAGTGGAGGCTTCCAAATGGTTTCACTGCTGGAGTTAGCTGAAATCACAGAAGAGGGCGTCAGATTTAAGTCTCCACATGATGGCTCTATGATGCTTCTTACCCCAGAAAAATCAATTGAAATTCAAAATTCTATTGGTAAATTTAATTTAATTTAGGTTCTTACTAGTTGAGCACAGCAGAATAATTATGTAAATGGACAAGTCTAATATTTAGAGTTTAATTTAGGGTTGATATATTATTTAAGCTTTTGAATTAGCTGACACACTGTTTTGTTGTTGTAGGTGCAGATATAATCATGCAACTTGATGATGTTGTCCATTCCTCTGTCAGTGGCCCGCGTTTAACTGAAGCCATGCACAGGTAAATTTTTGACCCATTCTGTGGTTGTGGAGACAGGTAAAAAAGTTTCCCTTTCAAACCTGACGGTCTACTGGGCAAGTGAAGTAGAGTTCACTTGTTTCTGTGACCTCGGCATATAAAGAGATAGTGTGGTCAACACTATGCCCAGCAGCCTTTACTTTCCGTAACGTGAGTTAGGTACCCATCAGAGTTGGGTGGACTCAGGGACGGTCTACTGACCTGAACCCGGATTCGAACTCGAGACTTACGGGTTAGCGGTCCAGCTCTCTACCGCTAGACCTCTCTGTTCCATTGTGGAGACAGGTGGTAATAGGATAAATGTGGTGGTTGGTGATTATGAGGGATGGTAGTGGTGATCAGTGTGACAATGAGCCAATGCAAGTTATGACTGCACGTTAAATCAGTCTATTTTAAACAGTTTTAAAAGAGCATTTTTTAAAAATTTTGTAGAACCATCCGTTGGCTGGACAGATGTATCAAAGCCCACAAGAGGCCCAGTGAACAGTGCCTGTTTCCCATTGTTCAGGGTGGCCTTGACGCAGAGCTGAGAACAAAATGTGCTGCAGGTAAATAATGTTTTGTTGCGTAACGCTAATCCTTACAGGCTGTTACTAAGAAGAGCATTAATTTAAGATAAATTACGGGAAATAAGGGGAACTAAAAATAATGCTATTGAATTAATTTGAAATGTAATTTGCTATGACATGGCTACGAGAAAAATTGTGTTTAACTCTCTAGGCATCAAAATCTGCTAAAAATTAAAGGGTACAAATTCAAGCCCAGTTAAAAATGTATTAAATTGATTTTTACCAATATTAAATGCACATTTTAAACAAAAAAAAAGTCATATTCGAATTAAATGAAAATTATTTTAACTATGGTAGAGGCTAATATTTCTGAAACTCTTATTTTCAGATAAATACACTGTTTGGAGAAAGTAGCTTTATTTTAATTTAAATAACATGTCTCTTCTTAACTGTATCAGACATTTTTAATAAAAAAATGATTTTAACAAAACGTTCCCTATCTTCAGAATAAGGCAAAAGTTTCTTTGTATAATTTTTATTTTCCATTGATGTGTGACATTTTGCTATCAACAGAGTTGATCAAGCGTGACGTCGGAGGTTATGCCATTGGTGGACTGAGCGGTGGAGAAGAAAAGGCTGAGTTTTGGCGGATGGTGAAAATATCTACAGATCTCTTGCCAGACAACAAGCCTCGTTACCTCATGGGTGTAGGGTGTGTTGGTACCACTTTATCTATGTTAATCTTATCTCTTTTCTCTTTTGTTTATTTTATCTTAACTTCTGGTTTTTGCTGTATCTTTATCTCTTTTAAATCTTAAATTAGCATTTTCTTTATCTTATTTTTTTTCCCTATTTTTTAAGCTTTATCTCTTAATTTCTTCTATTAACCTTTACTTTATCTCTACTATCAGTATTTTAAGTTCTTTATTTCCTTTGCTGTTTATCCTTTTTTTTTTTTTTTTTTTGCTTTTTAAAGAATTTTTGTCATTTGTTTTTATATTATTTTTAGAAAAAATTTGTCAGACAAACCAACAATTTTTGTTTCAGATTTGCTGTTGACCTGGTTGTGTGTGTGGCTTTGGGATGTGACATGTTTGATTGTGTGTTCCCCACACGCACTGCGGTACAGCCACATAAATTTTTTAAATTTTTTGTGATCCTTAAGTTTGATAAAAAATGACCTATTTATCTAAAAAACAAACAACAATCTAGTTATTTTACAAATGTTACTTTCTGAATTAATGAGTATTGTTTTACAATGTCCTTGATTAAGTATCAGCATAAAGTCCTACAGTCACTCATATGTATACATTTCAAGTTTCCCTTCTAGAATTCTTTTTAAGACTATATTTTCAATAAGACATGGGAAACAGAATATATGTTTCAGCTGTAGAAGCATATAGATACCTTTTGGACCTTGCTATCAATAGGTCAGATGAAGTAGAGTTCATCTGTTTCTATGACCTAGGCATATAAGGGTATGATGTAATCAGTTCTATGCCCAGCAGCATGAATTTACCCTAATGTCAGTCAGGTATCGATCTCAGCTGGGTGGACTCAAAGACATCCTGCAGATTCTAGTTTGAGATTCGAACTTAAGACTTTTTGTTTAGAAGTCATGCACTCTACCATCTGACCACACTGTCCGATTGAAGCTTATACTTTTAACAAATTTTTTTTCTAATAATTTAAATCATGCACTCTAATACTTTATCACTCACAGTCCTAATGTTTTACGTCTTTAAAGCTAGATTATTTTACTTTAATTTAAAGATTTTTTTTTAATCATGATTATTTTATTTCAGCGATTTGGCTGTGCTTTGGTGAAAACTGGACAGCTGAACTTAAAACACAAAATGTTTGCGAAAGATTTTGAGCCCATCGACAGAGAGTGTTCCTGCTCTACTTGCAGGACGTACACACGTGCATTTTTACACACGCTGGCAAACACGGAGCCTGCGGCGTGTAACATTTTAACTGTCCATAATGTGGCATATCAGGTACGTCAGACTTGCAATGTATATTTATTGTAGTGTTGACTAAGTAGAGTGAGATGGTCAGTGTTGGGTTAGTTTATGTTGTCCTGTATCGTGATGGCATTATGGTATTGATAATTTTTTATTATTATTATTTATTTTTTGGGGTAGTTTATGTTGTGATGTATCATGATGGCGTTAAGCTATTGACAATTTTTTATTATTTATTTTTTGGGGCAGTTTTAGTCAGAATGTTTTGTGTAATTCATCCGTTGATGTCCTTTGGCTTTTTGATCTTGTAAGAGTTCGGAGCTGTGAACATGAGTGAGAGGGGAGGGTCTGGCCAATGAGAATGGCCGTATGGCTATTGTATGAAAGTTTAGGCTCTTTTTTGGGGATGACCAAGTTTTAGCTGTAAGTTAGTACACGAGTTTGTTACTGATGACTATGGTGTTTTTTTACCTTGTCCATCTCTATTACTGCCAGGTACCCAATAAAACTGGTTGAGCTCAGACATGTTTTTTTTGTAAATCCATTTTCAGTTTTGTACAATATCATTAACAAAGTCCAGAAATCTTAGGTTAATGATACTGTACCTATGCCCCTCGCAGATATCTTTTATTCTTTTTGTTAACTCACAAAACCGAAGAGTTCTTTTCACTTTTTTCTCCCCAGCTTCATCTAATGAGCTCCATGCGACAGAGCATCATAGAGGACAGATTTCCAGAGTTTGTGAAACAGTTTTTTGAAGACATGTTCCCCAATAAAGATTATCCACCATGGGCCATGGATGCTTTATCCAGTGTCAACATCCATCTGAGATAACACTGTTGAACTTAGCCCTCCAATGGTCTGATTTTAAGTGTAAATAGTTTTACTCTACTATATAATGTAAGATTCTTAAGAAATTTTGTTGTAATCAAATAAATATTATGCTGTAATAAGTGTATGAATCCTGTATTTATTTAATGTGGTGTATTGTATCTCATTTAAATGACATTTTTAATAAGAAAAAGAAAATATTCTGGAGTTGTAAGGCCCAGTGGGGTGGCATGGTGGAATGGTAGAGCATTCGGCTTCTAACTCAAAGATCTCGAGTTCAGATCTCAGTCAGGACTAGAGACAGTAAGACGTCCCTGAGTCCACCCAGCTGTTACGTTCCTGACTCACATTGGGGAAGGTTAAGGCGGCTGGGCATAGGGCTTACCACACCATCCCTTCATATGCAGATGTCAAGAAACATGAACTATAATTTATCTGCCCAATTGATCTTTAGATCTATAGGGGAGCGTTACTTTACTGTAAGATCCAGTGATGTGGTTGCTACTTTTTCCAATCACCACTGTGTGAAACAACACTATCAACCATGATGTTCAACCATTTTGTGTTACAAGACGATAAATATCATCAAACAATAAAACACCATCAGCAAGATCATAAAAAACAACACTTTAATTATTTATAAAAACCTGTTTCTAGGAAGGCTGTTCTGGGATTTTTTTTTTGTTTGGTCACTTTCGTGATTTAGTATACACTCTTGGTTAAAGACGAGTGTTGCTTTGGCAGGGGTCAATACGGTGCTATGGTTCGATGGCATTTGTGGATAGGGGTCATGTTGAAGGTATGGTATTTAGGGAAGTAGTCAAGTTGGTTTCCCATGGGCGTGTCACTTGATGCTTTTGGACAAAAGTCATGTTGGTACCATGGTAAACTTGAAAATAGGGTCATATCTGTGTTCTGAGACTGGGCTTATGTTGGTATTCATGGGCATGGGTAATACTGGTGCGTTTAGTACTTTTGGATAGGGCTATACTCGTGCTATGATGATATTATTGGTCAGTGGTCTTACAGAGGAATACTACGGAGATCAACTAGTCAAAGTGAATGAGGGTTAGGTTGTTGATATAGTCATTACAGAAACTCCTATTACAGCAGTAGTGGCAGGTCGTGTCTTGACCGTTGGGCCCCGCCCCTGACTGGACAACGTCCATGCAATGTTTGTTGTGGAAGGTCTGGCCCCACCATAGGTCACGACACTGTTGTTCAGTGGCGCATCTGGTGGTTATAAAGTAAATAAAGTAGCGCATTTGGTGGTTATAAAGTAGCGCATCTGGTGGTTATAAAGTAAATAAAGTAGCGCATCTGGTGGTTATAAAGTAGCGCATCTGGTGGTTATAAAGTAAATAAAGTAGCGCATCTGGTGGTTATAAAGTAAATAAAGTAGTGCCTCTGGTTGTTATAAAGTAGCGCATCTGGTTGCTATAAAGTAAAGTAGCGCATCTGGTTGCTATAAAGTAAAGTAGCGCATCTGGTTGCTATAAAGTAAAGTAGCGCATCTGGTTGCTATAAAGTAAAGTAGCTCATTTGGTGGTTATAAAGTAGCACATCTGGTGGTAATAGAGTAAGTAGTATTTGTTAAGGAGTTATACATGAAAAACGTCTTTTTTTAAACGATTTTACCCCTCTCCCACTTCGTACCGTCACATATCGTCAAAAAAATCAGACCACCCCAACCGATGTAGCAGAGGGGCTACCAAATACTTACAACTTTGAAATTTGGCGACTTCCATCGGCGCTTTCATACAAAGACGTCATGCAATAACCATCGTGACAGAAAGATTGGGTCGGCTGAAGGAGGCAGCTTAGACCCGAACATGTGAAGCAGATTAGTAAGTGATCTGAAATAGAACATAATAGATTGGTGTGTTATCTGAAATATAACATAATAGATTGGTGTGTTATCTGAAAAACAATAGATTGGTGTGTGATCTGCAATATAATAGATTGGTGTTATCTGAAATATAACATAATAGATTGGTGTGTGATCTGAAATATAACATAAAAGATTGGCGTGAGGTCTGAAATATAACAATAGATTGGTGTGTTCTTTTTGAATTAGCACAGAGCAGCTTGGTGTATCTAGTCTGAAATAACATAACAGATTGATGTAAGATTCAGTAAGGGGAGACAACAGGATAATTATAAAGATAGATCCATCAGCTGGGTGACGGAGTTGTGTTCACGGTGCTTTAATTTTAATGTTACACCTTTTATCCGACCTCATAATGGTATGTTACATTGGTGGATGCACGTTACATTATTGTGTATTTAGAACATTCAAAAACTGTTATCGTGTGTTTGTTTATGTATACATAAAGTTTATGGAGGAGGCTTTTAGTTTGATACTCACCCAACAGTCCGGTAGTTGAGGTCGCTGATGTAGAAGATGATGTGGTAGGAGTTGATGTAGTGGATGTGGGGGTGGATGGTGTGGTGGTTAACGGTGTGGATGTGGTAGTTGATGGTGTGGATGTGGTAGTGGATGGTGTGGATGTGGTAGTGGATAGTGTGGATGTGGTAGTTGATGGTGTGGATGTGGTAGTTGATGGTGTGGACGTGGTGGTGGATGGTGTGGACGTTGTGGTGGATGGTGTGGTTGGTGTGGATGTGGTAGTTGATGGTGTGGAAGTGGTGGTAGATGGTGTGGTAGTGGTAGTGGTAGTAGATGGTGTGGACGTGGTCGTGGATGATGTGGACGTGGTGGTGGATGGTGTGGTTGTGGTAGTGGATGGTGTGGATGTGGTGGTGGATGGTGTGGATGTGGTGGTGGATGATGTGGATGTTGTAGTAGATGGCGTGGTTGTGGTAGTGGATGGCGTGGATGTGGTAGTTGATGGTGTGGATGTGGTGGTGGATGGTGTGGATGTGGTGGTGGATGGTGTGGATGTGGTGGTGGATGGTGTGGATGTGGTAGTTGATGGTGTGGTGGTGGATGGTGTGGTTGTGGTAGTGGATGGCGTGGATGTGGTAGTGGATGGCGTGGATGTGGTAGTTGATGGTGTGGTGGTGGATGGTGTGGATGTAGTTGTGGATGGTGTGGACGTGGACGTTGTAGTGGATGGTGTGGACGTGGTAGTTGATGTTGTGGACGTGGTAGTTGATGGTGTGGACGTGGTAGTGGATGGTGTGGACGTGGTGGTGGATGGTGTGGACGTGGTAGTTGATGGTGTGGATGTGGTGGTGGATGCTGTTGACGTAGTGGTGGATGGTGTGGATGTGGTGGTGGATGGTGTTGTGGTAGAAGTAGTGGATGATGTGCTAAACTGTGTAGAACGTGTGGGTGACATCACTTGTTCTGTGGATATGAAATAATCTCTGAGTACCATCTAGCTTCTATAATCTATAGCGCCCAAAAACCTTTGTTTCAAATGACTTAGTTAAGCCTTTTTATAAAATATCAAGAACTCATTTTAACAAAGCCTCACGCAGATTTATACTTCAGTTTTGTGTTGTAAAAACTATGTCAGATCTACGTTTTTTTTACCCCTCTTAGTCCTCTCTCGGCAACAAATGTTTAGACATCATTGGAAAGAGCAAAACTGATCTATGAGAAGGCCAAATGCGGCTAGGAAAACTAGCGTAAAACGTATTTTAAAATTTCGACGTAATTACCAAAGCTATAAAAACTAGGATAACCATATCTTCCCCCCCCCCCTCACCAATACTCCATTAGGGCTGTATAGTCACTAGCTACTGAGGTGTAAAATATCAACGTGTCAGTTAAATTCTGGTATTTTCACTGATTAGTGTGATATTGAAAATTCGAAACTGGTCCAAATAATTATGGTGCAGTCAATAATTACAGAAATGAGGAAAATACCCATGTAGTTCATTAAACTGTGGTACCTTCACGGACTAGTAAGATATTGAAAATACCAATGTGGTCCAAACAATTATGGTACAATCGCTAACTACTGAGATGTTGAAAATAATAATGTAGTCCATTAAACTATGGTACATTCAAGTAGTAGTAAGATATTGAAAATATCAAAGTGGTCCACACAATTAACTAACGACTAACTGCTGCGATGTAGAAAATATCAAAGAGGTCCAAAAAATTATGGTACAGTCACTAAATTACTGATATTTAGAAATACCAAAGTGGTCCACACAATTATGGTACAGTCACTAAATTACTGATAATTTAGTAATCCCAAAGTGGTCCACAAAATTATGGTACTAACTACTGAGATGTAGAAAATATCAAAGATGTCCAAAAAATTATGGTACAGTCACTAAATTACTGATATTTAGAAATACTAAAAAGGTCCAAAAAATTATGGTACAGTAACAAATTACTGTTAATTTAGAAATACCAAAGTGGTCCACACAATTATGGTACAGTCACTAAATTACTGACAATTAAGAAATACCAAAGTGGTCCAAACAATTATGGTACAGTCACTACATTACTGACAATTTAGAAATACCGAAGTGCTCGCCAAAGTGGAGGTACAGGCATTCGTTGGTGGTACAGCAGTCCCAGACACACGCGGAGTTCTGGTGCCCGTGGGTCACGGGGTGGTCGCAGGGGTGTTGAGCCTTGGTGTGTATGCAGTGCTAGAGAGGAGAGGTTTTATTTATGTTTTTAATTTAATACTTTTATTTGCTATTTAAAACAAGTACATCAGCATCACATTCTTTACATAATTTCGAATATGAAATGAAATCGAAAGGTTTTACAAATGTACATAATGAATATTCACACGATGTCATATATGGGATTATATAAAATTGAAAGTGCTAACAGTAAACGGGGTAAGGGTCAAATGAAAGTGTCGGAGTCCGGGTGGGGAGTGGAAAGGAAATTGTTCAAAGAGCGGGTGGGGTGTGGGGGTGGGGAGAGTCATTGGGACAGTGAAGCATTTCCTATGTAGAGAAAACAAATTATGTTGACTAGTTGAAAGAGTGTTTATTTATATACTGGTCGCGTTGAGTTTTCAAAAGGTTGCTGTGTGAACGATGACGGGAAAGTAGCAAGATTTAGAACTTTATGTAAATGAATAGATATTCGAAATTGATGTTGGGGTGGGTGGTGAGGTCGTTGGAACAGTTAAAAGGGATGTGGGGTTATCATATCTTGGAGAGAGTGGTTGTGTGTGTTTAAGGCAAGCCAAACGTCAAAATCTGTGCTGTGTGATCTAACTGCTGATGTGTTACTATTTATAGTGTGTGTTTGGGGTGGGAGGGGGGGGGGGGATTGACGAACATATTGCTGTGTGAGCGATTTAGCGGGAGGGTGAAAGTTTGGTATGTTTAAGTCGGTGTTTATCTTTATTTAGATGTTTAGTGCCGACAGGTAAGGGGTGGGTAGGCGTGTAGCTATCACGGGGTGTGGGATACAGTGGAGTTATAAAGGTAAAAAAAATTGGTTAACAGTGCTCTCATAAAAAAGTTCAAATAAGACCGTACATGTTATTAAAGTTAACAAAACAATTGTAAGTATTAATTTAGGGATAATAAAAATGAATTCAAGAGGAGGAGGGGTCAATGGGGTAATTTTGTACTGTGTGGACCAAAGTACCGTACGTATATGATAATAGTAAAATAGTGTCAAATAATGTCTTTTTTTTTATGGTGTTACTAGACTTTATCCACTATACAGCAACACGCTATACATTTTTTTTCCACGGGGACGTATCCCATAATCTTCTCATATATAAGAAAGCGATCTGATTAGAATTCGACTTAATCTTCCCATTCCTTTGAATGAAAACAACGAAACCATCATAAATATTAGTTAACTTGAACAAAATACTGCTTATAATCAATCTTGTTTTATATGTCCCCTATAGTATAGGGCCTTTACAACATCTAATACCGTCACAACGATGGACACACTGCGGGATTTGATCACTTAAAAAAAATGTACCCTTGTGTGGTTTATATATATGGACATGCGAGGCTTAGAGGGCAGCCTCGAACTTACTTAAGGGGGCAGTATCACCCAGACATTTGAAAATTGACAAAAAAATTTGCCAAAAAAAAAACTATTATACACACACACACATTTTTTACCATAATAGTAATTATCAAGGAGCTATAAAACAGCACATAAAAGAAAGTTAACGTACGATGCAAACATTTTTTAATAAATAATTTTAACAAACATTTTTTACTAAGTTTTTTTTGGTGCGGTTTTCAAACATTTATGCCCTTCCTGCTGAAAATACTCCAGGAGAAGCATAACAGGCTATCGTTGGAACTAGAACAGGGGTCGGCAATCTTTTGAGACGAAAGAGCCAAAAGTTACAAGTTACAAAATTTCCCATTTTTTAAAGAGCCAATAACATTATTTTTTTCCAATATTTTGGTATTTGATTAGAATTACGTAAATAAATTTAATTGTTTATTTGAAATAAATACCGTTAAATATGAACTAATATTGATTCATAGAAAAACATGTTTCGCACAAAAAGTGTTTTAGATATCAAGTAATATAACTATAGGACAATCCTAAACTTAGTTTTTTCTTTCTTTACGGACACCACTGGCTCAGTAGGTGTCTCCCATAGCCAAGCAGCCCTCAACTCTGACTAATGGCTTAGATATAGGTTTGATTACTGAATCGGTCGCTTCTGTCCTTCGGTTCTCACAGTGCTTATCTTCCACCCTACACTGACCCACAGTCCAATACCTGGCTCCACCGTAGGATACTAATAACTAAAATACTACGGTAGAGGGATGCATTCTGAATAAAATAAAAATCCTGTTTAAAGTTAGTTTTTTTTTACAGTATAATATTTTTATGAGTTTTGAAAATGAAATAATGTAATTATTAATATTTGTGCACGGAAATCGAGAGCCGCACCGTGACATCAAAAGAGCCGCATGCGGCTCGCGAGCCGCAGGTTGCCGACCCCTGAACTGGAAGATATCCATTGTAACAAATTTTGAATTTTTAAGAATTTTTCAAATTTTTTTAATTTTTTTTATTACTTTTATTTGCAATTAAAACAAGTACATCAACATCACATTTTTTACATAGTTTCAAATGAAAAAGAAGGGTTTTGAACATGTACATAATGAATATTTGCGTGATGTCATGTATATGATTATAACAAAAATTACAAAAGATGGCAGTAAAAGGGGTGAAGGTCAAATAAACGTGTCAGAAGTCTGGGTGGGGAGTGGAAAGGATATTTTTTTGAGAATGACAAAGGGCCAGTGGAGCATTTTCAATGTAGGGAAACAAATTAAGTTGACTAGTTAAAAGAGTGTTTATTTATGTACTGGTCGCATTGAATTTTCAAAAGGTTGCTGTGTAAAAAATGAGGGGAAAGAAACAAGATTTAGAACTTTAAAAAGTAAATGAATAGAGGGTGTGATGAAAGGGGGATGTGTCAGTTCGATTAGGCGTTCCAGGTGGCAAAAGCAGTGTAATATGTTCTTTACGTTTTGGTGTTGTTAATTATGGTATATGTGTTTGAGTGCTGTCATTGTCGAGTCGTCTACGATAAATCAAGTCTAGTACGTGTCCCGTAAACTGTACCTTGTCGTGTTTTGCTTTTATTCTGCTGTTCCAAATAGTCTGTCTATATATAGCTACCGTCCTTGCTTTTTGCTCTAGGTCCGTCCTATCTCTTTGTATTGGGATTTTGTTTAGAGTTATGACTATATCGATATTGTAGGTCTCGTTTTTTATTATTTTGTTTTCTAGCGTCTTTTTCATGTTTTGTATGGTGGGGCATTCTAAATAGATGTGCGTTTCGGTTTCGGGTGTGTTTTGTCTGCATAGTGGGCAAAATGGTTTCTGTTGTTTTGCTAGGGGTGTTGAATTGTAGATGAGTCTGTAAGTTATTTCCCTGGCTTTGGGTGTGATGGTTTTGAGGTGTAGGTTTCTGAAGGTGTCCATTGTGTCTGTTAGAGCGTATTTCCTACACCATTGGATTCTGTTGTATAGTGGAGTTGAGAGCTTTTGCACTAACTTTTTGTAAATGTTTTGTGACTTTTTGTGGACAAGTTTTTCCTTGTTTTTTAATATTTGTAAACATTCTGTGTAAAAGGGACTGAGTTTTCCTCCTATGTAATGTGGAGTTGTATTATTGATTTTTGTAAGTTTGTTTAGCTGAATGCCTATATAGTAGTGAGCTAGAGGGTGAAAGTTTGGTTGGCTAATTATTCTGCTAATGTGTGTTAGTCTGAATGTATTGATTTTGGTCTGTATATCGTGCAGGTTTATTCCTCCATGAAGTTTGTCTTATACTAAAGTGTTGTGGCTAATGTTTGAAATTGTGGTCTGAAATATGTACTCTCTAATGATTTTATTCAGATGTTTAATTGTTGGCTTTGGGATTGTTTTAGCTGTGGCTATATAGGTGATTTTTGGGATGACATACCTATTAATTATAGATGACCTAGCAAAAATTGTTGTTGAGCTAAATTTATAAAGTGCTATGGTGTTTTGGATTTTGCTTAAGACTTGTTTCCATTCATCATCGTTGTTGGTGTGTGGGTTACTATAGTGGGTTATGCCGTAAAGTTTTAGTTTGTTGGTACCTAGCATGTTTAGTGGGTAATTGGGTTTGTTGATCCACCGTCCAAGTCCCATAATTTTGGTTTTCATTAGGTTAATTTTTGACCCGCTACCCAGCCCAAAGTCAAGGAACATGTCTGTTATTAGTATGATAGATTTTTCGGTTTGGAGCGTAAAAGCTGTATCATCAGCGTACGCTAGAATTTTTTTGTTTAATTGATTTGGGATGTCGATTCCTCTAATGTCTCTAGTGTTTCTAATGCATTCTAAAAGGGGTTCGAGTGTTAGTATATAAAGGATTGGAGATAGGGGACAGCCTTGTCTGACTGATTTATTTATACTAAAGGGTTGGGAAATATTATGGTTTATCAGTAAGTGACTATGTGCATTAAAATAGATTATTTTTATCCATGTCGTAAAGTATTGTCCTAAATTGTTTGCTTCTAAGATTTTGTGAAGGTATTTGTGAGCTACCCGGTCGAAGGCTTTTTCTTGATCTAAACTGAGTATGCATGCTTGTGTATTTTTCTCGTGTGTGTAGTGGATGATGTCTCTAATTAAGTGATTGTGATTTTGTATGTTCCTACCTATGATGTTGCATTGTTGGTCTACATTTATAATTTTATGCAAGTGCGGTTCAATTTTGGAGACTAGAGCTTTGGATAGGATTTTGTAATCAGTGTTTAGGAGAGAAATAGGTCTATAGTTTTGGGTTAGTTTAGGATCGGTTTTGGGTTTGCGTATTAATGTTATGTATGATCTGTTGAAATTTTCGTGGCATTGTTCTAGCAGAAACATTTCTCTAAAGGTAGCTAAAAGGAGAGAAATTAGGTCGGTTGAAAAGGCTTTAAAAAATTCGCTTGTCAGGCCGTCCGGCCCTGGCGATTTATTTGAATTTAATTTCAGTATGGCTTTGGTTATGTCGACTGGCTGAAAGGGGGTGTCAATATTAATTTTGTCGCTGTCATGTAATGGTTTAATAAACTTAAGGTATTTGTCTTGTATGTCTGTGTTTGTCTCTTCGAACTTATACAGTTGCGTATAATAGTCTCTAAATATTGATTGAATTTTTTCAGGGTCAGTCGTCTCTTGGTTATTGTTATCTATGAGATGTGTGATTTGTTTTGCCCTCTGAAAGCTTTGTTCTAAAATTAAGGTGTGGTGTGTGGGATTTTCCGAGCCTATTTGTTCGATTCTACTTCTAATTTGCGCGCCTCGATATTTGTGCTCTTGTATTTTGGAAAGTTCTGTTTCTGTTGCGTCTATTTGTTCTTTGTTATTATTGATTCCTTTCAGTATACTTAGTTGTTTTTCTAATTTAGTTTCTATGTGGGCCCTTACGCTATTAATGCTACATGCATATTGGATAGATACCCGCTTAATGTCTTGTTTTAAATCTTCCCAATGTTGGATTTTGTTAAATTTTGGTGATGACTGCGTGTAAAATTTTATTAAGTCTTTTATAGTGTTAATGTAGCGCTCGTCTAGTAAGAGTGTATTATTGAATTTCCAATATGTGTTGTGTTTTGGTTTGTTTTGTGTTTGTTCGTTTTTTAAAGTTGTCAGAACTGCTGTATGGTCGCTAAACTGTAGTGTTGAGAATAGGTGTTCTACTTTGTTGATTTTCATGTTCGATGGGGCGTAAATTCTGTCTAGACGGAATCTATTCCCAGATGTGTTACTTCCGTGGGTGGTTTGTATGGTGTGTGGATATTGCGCTCTGTATGTGTCGACTAAATTGAAATATGTTTTAATGTTGTTGATTGAGTTGGCGTGTGGTTTGTCTGCGGTTAAACGGTTTCGAATTATGTCTTTTGGTCCTAAAATGTCTAATCTGTCTTCCACGAAATTAAAGTCCCCGGCCAAAATGATGTCATGTTGGTTGTATCTGTTAGTTAATAAATGTTCCAGGTTTTCATAAAATTTACGAAATTTAAGAATTTTTCAAAGTCAAATAATGTCGTTCACAGGAATAAATTGATGTACAGGGAAAACGAGTGAATTGTTAGTCTAGGTCTATTTTTATTTTGAAAAAGTTTGCAAAAAAACGCATATTATTATTTTCTAATGAGCTAAATATAATCTAAATTAAACATATACTTTGTCTTAGTTTATACCTATTTTACAATCAATTTTTATGCACATAACATTATATCGTATTCATATCTCGAGCCTAATCCCGCAGTAAAGTAATGTAACTTTTCTTAAAGAGTTATCTAACTTGTTGATGTATTAAAAATGTGGTTATCTAACCTGAAACTCATGATTGTTCCTGCACTCTCCCTTCACGACCATTCTGTTGTCTAGACTGACCTGACAAAACTAAACACACACAAAAAAATATAATCAGATGTCGTTGTCTTATTTATACACCTACAGGTGATCACAAGTATGGGATTTACACTGTTAGTAATACTATTACTATAGACACTGAGTTTGTACTTTCTTGTGTACAGAGTAGGGCCTATAGAGAGAGTATTGAAATCGTGCACAAAAATTAAATAACATTTTCAGTTTTTGCCGTTTTACACCTCTCACTTTATCGAAAAATGGATGTATTTTAATCGGGCAAAATGACAATCTTATCCGTCTGTGTACGTGTGTGTGTGTGTGTGTGTGTGTGTGTGTGAGACGAAGTTTGATAAATAATTATTATATCAAATACACGTATGGGAGATTTGTGGTAACAAAAAGTGGTACCTACTCCACTTCCGGTCACTCAAAAGCGTATAACTTGATTACCTTTTATTAGTTAGGTGGACGAAATTCCGAATATAGGTATTAGATTGTATGCGTAGGTTTTTATCAGATTATGAACCTCTTCTTGTTAGATATTATCGTAAACTATCGTAAACAAATATGCTATTGTATTTACTGAAGCAAACTCAACAAGTAAATTATGTTCTTATCTTAAGACTCAGAAGAAACGAAACCTGTTATCTGAAGACTCAGAAGAAACGAAATACCTTCTCACCTGTTATCTGAAGACTCAGAGGAAACGAAATACCTTCTCACCTGTTATCTGAGGTATCAGAGGAAACCAAATACCTTCTCATCTGTTATCTGAAGACTCAGAAGAAACAAATACCTTCTCACCTGTTATCTGAAGACTCAGAAGAAAAAAAATACCTTCTCACCTGTTATCTGAAGACTCAGAGGATACCAAATACCTTCTCACCTGTATCTGAAGACTCAGAAGAAACGAAATACCTTCTCACCTGATCAGCCAAGCAGTGAGTGGCCTTGAGCACACAGGTGAGAATGTCCAGCTTGCTGCACTCCCCTGGGCAGTAGAGTCCGGTCTCTGGGGAGAGTCATTGACGCATTTGACGCTGAATTCACTATTTCAAACTTTTTGCTCGAATTATTATATGTCAAATGTATGAAGTGTGTTTTTGAAATGTAATGTTTCCGTAACAGACTTTAATATTAGACTATTATTTAGGTTGTGAGCAATGTTTTTTTTTTAAATCATGTTTCTATAATTTAAAAAAAAATCTGGCATCGCACCTAAACTTAACCCTGACCCTGGTCCGATTGGTTTCATTACATGTATCCATTTATCGAAACTGTGAGCACAGGAAGTGATAAGTACTTGAATAAATTAATGTTGCGGCTACCATTATGGGGTGCACAATGGGCCAAGCAAGATGTGATATTGAGTAAGATGAAGCTGTGTTCGCACAAAAATGATTGTTGTGTAGGGGACATAATCGGTAAGTAATTTTATTCGATGAATACGTTATTTTATTACCTCCCCCCCCTCCCCCTCATAATCAGGCTATTGTCCTTGTTTGTTACAATCGTATATTTTATTCTTTTAACGTGTTACAATAGGGCTGGTAAGTAGGTCACCAACCAGTTCTACGGCTCATGTAGATTTTATTGAACCGTAGAACTGGTTGGTGACCTACTTACCAGCCCTACTAGCTCATGTTTTACTTTGAGGGAACATGTTTACTGCCTATTCTAAACAACATCATGTACAAAACAGCTGACAGAGTGGAATCTTCTATAGTTGAAGTCACGTGTTTAAATCAGGTTTTTACCTCCGAAAATAAAAGATAGACGCCGTAAGGCTTCACCACAACCCATTGCTTTAATGCTCTAGCGCAGGGGTCTCCAAACTTTTCAGTCCGAGGGCCGCATTAACTATTAAATTTCAGTTCGGGGGCCAGTTTCTTCCAGACATGTCTTTGATTTTTCTGGGCAAACGTTTTTTCCGTAGACAAAAATATCTCCGCGGGCCGGATAAGAGGACCTCGCGGGCCGCATCTAGCCCGCGGGCCGTAGTTTGGAGACCCCTGCTCTAGCCTATCATCTAGCACAACCCCATAGTCATAATCCTTCACCCCCACTCCAAATTTACATAGAAAATATATCCTTTTAACAGTGACCGAGCCCCCGGAAATTTTAGTTCTCCCCCTCCCCCCCCCCCCCCCCCGAAAATTTCAAGTGCCCCCCCTCCCCCCGGAGAGAAAAGTCTGGAAGAAACACTGCTCCAAAGCTGTAATGCCCCCCCCCACCTATTTTACAGACATAATGCTTTACCCCCTTTCCCCCCTTACCGAACGCTTCCAGCAGTAGATGCGTGACGTCATTCACACACTGTGTAGTGTCGCAGCAGACCTGACATCTGTTGGTGTGTGACAGAACCCCGCCCCCTGGGCACGTGCCGATGGAATGGAGGATTTCATGAGCACAATCCTGATGTTATAAACCAGAATAAAAAATTATTATTGTAGATAGATTCATCAGTTATTTTTTATTCAGGCATATTTCGAGTATCTCTACTTCCCATAACCGGACAAAATAGAAAAAATAAATGTATGCGCTGGAAAATATTTAACTGTGTAAAGGGAAGCAGCTACAGAAATACCGAATTAAGAACGAGCAAGGTAGAGTAGAAGGAGATAGAAAAAAACAATGATAGAGATAATTTTCAGATTTAAACATTTTTGCTTTATTTTCTCTTTTACGCCAGTCTTAAGACTAGCCTTACTGCTCATAAATTGAAGCTTTACTTTAAGGACAATTTGGTTTTGTTTGTGTAAAAATTGAAATGTAAGCCCTCCTACCCCGTAGAAAATACCTGAAAGAAACACTTGACGAATAGAAGACACATGTACCACAAGGCTCCACAAATGACAGACTCACCTGCTCTCGCTTGCACGTGAGGCTCGGCTCACCTTCGCCATACACGATTGAACACACCTGTTTGTAAGGTCATTAGGTGATACTATAATTTGATTAGCGGTACAAGCTATTGCATTAACATGAGAGTAATGCTAATCAATATTATCCTAAATAATTCTATAGTTGACTAGTGATATTTATATAGCTAGGTGCCCACCTGTACACACGGTGGAGCGACTAAATATTAAATGTACTGTATAGTGATTTAGTGACATAGTAAAGCGACTAAATATTAAATGTACTGTATAGTGATTTAGTGACATAGTAAAGCGACTAAATATTAAATGTACTGTATAGTGATTTAGTCACATAGTAAAGCGACTAAATATTAAATGTACTGTATAGTGATTTAGTGACATAGTAAAGCGACTAAATATTAAATGTACTGTATAGTGATTTAGTGACATAGTAAAGCGACTAAATATTAAATGTACTGTATAGTGATTTAGTTACATAGTAAAGCGACTAAATATTAAATGTACTGTATAGTAATTTAGTTACATAGTAAAGCAACTAAATATTAAATGTACTGTATAGTGATTTAGTGACATAGTAAAGCGACTAAATATTAAATGTACTGTATAGTGATTTAGTGACATAGTAAAGCGACTAAATATTAAATGTACTGTATAGTGATTTAGTCACATAGTAAAGCGAATAAATATTAAATGTACTGTATAGTGATTTAGTCACATAGTAAAGCGACTAAATATTAAATGTACTGTATAGTGATTTAGTGACATAGTAAAGCGACTCAATATTATATGTACTGTATAGTAATTTAGTGCCGCGGAGAAGGGATTAAATATTGAATATACTGCATATTAATTTAGTCATATTGACTAAATATTAAATGTTTTGTATAGTAAAACGACTAAATATTAAATGTACAGTATATTAATTTAACAGTGTGAAGTGACCAAATATTAAATGTAATGTACAATAATTTTGTCAGGTTTACTGTGCGCACAGGAGCAAACTACAAGGTAACAATTGTTTTATTTTGGAGTTATCTCTCCTATCTGTGTTGCTGTCCTTAGCTTCTGCCATAGGGTCCGCACTTGGGGCTGTTGGAGTTAACAACCATACGCTATTCCGTCCAACCACACCTACCCAATTATCACATTTATCTGCCTGAGTTTTCCTTTAATGTTTACCCCGTTCTAAAAAGTTACCTAATTCTCTTTAGGAAAAGTATAGGCGACGAAGCATAGAAATAACCTATCGCATCATATGCCAAGTTACCAGAAACAAATAAAACTCTACTTCATCTGCCCTATTGACGGCTAGTTCTAAAGGGTAACTACTTTACTTGAACTTTATATTTAGACATTAAAATTGTATTGTATAACGTCATTTCAACAAATTACTGCTTCGTATTAGAGAATTATATAACAGTATTGCTGTTGTTTTGAATAGGTTGAGTTATGGCCAGGGTCAAGGTTAGAGTGGGCTGCCAGTGTTTTGATTTTCCAAAACCAAAACACGAATACGTCCTTCTGTATTAACATTATATGTTAAGCGAGTTTTATTCAACCTTGTTAGGTCGTGAGTTCGTAAATCAAGGATTGAGCGAGGTAAAAAAAAAATGTATCACCACTCACCTCACCAGCCGCACAGGTGACGTGTGTGGTGAGACAGGTGGGGAAGTGGTGACCATGTCCGTCACAGTGGTGACACCCCACCGCTTGTTTCTCCAGTCCCAGGTGGTTTTGTCCCTGCACCAACTCTGTAAGGAAGTTGTTACAGTTTCTACATTACATTAGTAGGGCCTAGCTACAACATTATGGCTGAACTCTGTAAGGAAGTTGTTACAGTTTCTACATTACATTAGTAGGGCCTAACTACAGCATGATGGCTGAACTCTACTGTATCGTTTTTAAAACAATAAAACTGTAAGCGGTACGAATATTGTAAGCGGCACCAATAGTGTAAGCAGCAGTGTAAACAACAGTGTAAGCAGTACGAATTTACAAAGGTTTAAAAAAAATTGACTATAGGCTTAACCATGATTTCCGATTTGGCTACAATTAAAAAAACTCAAAAAGGTAAACAAAAAAAAATTGCAAACATTTTTTAGATAAAAAATTAGATTGACAGTAACATTTGGGTAGGTTAAAATTAAACTGACGGCACCTTTTGGCAATGTTAAAAATCAAAGGGACGACAACTTTTAATAAGTTAAAATCTAAACGACGGCAACTTTTGATAAAAATCTGGCAATATCGATATAACTACCTGCAGTCCAGACTATCCAAATCAGAAACAGAAAAAACATCTTCAACTCTTTCACTTCTACCTTCGACATTTGACTGTCTGCATTGTTTAGGCTTTCTATTTTTAACGCGAGATAACTCTTTGGTCACATGGGTTTCGAGACACGATTATTTGACCCTTTGTTATGTAGCGTTGATGTTCCATGTTGGGTACAAAGTGTTGATTTAGGCACACGTGTATTAGATAAGCTGGATCTGACATATAACAGGACAGCCAACGGAAGTGAATTATAATTACCTAGCTTTAGCAAAGTGTATGCCCCAACATATTTACATTTTCAGAAATATAACATGGTTTTAGATATATCTTAGATCTAGCGCCTTTGTATACTAGATAGTTACTGGGTATTAGTATACCGTCTAAAACGTTTTTTAATTAATCTATATAGTATAATGTATTTAAACATACCTACTTTAACTAAGTATTGTTCTAATGTATTTAAGTTGTAAAGAAAATGAATATGGCTATTTAGCTTTTTTTTTTTTGGTTTAGTATTAGGGTTTCATTTTAAAAAAGAAACTTTTATTTCTATCTGCTTTATTACATGAAAAATTGTACATGGAAGGGTTGTTTGGCCTTTGAACACGAAAGTCTCGAGTTCGGATTACGGGCTTTAGTCCGTTGGATCTCCATAGACCTAATAACGACTTACGGACGAGAACCGAACACCTATAATTGTGTTACCAGTCTATCTCCCGAACGCACTTTTCCATTTTTTATTAATCAATCTGTTATGGTTATATTTTTTCTAATACAAAAATTACCAGAACACAAAAAACAACAGCCAAATCTTGTCAAGATAAACATAGCGACACGATATTGTACTTGATAGGACATTCACGCATGCCTATAACGTACACACACACGCACGCACACACACACACATCTAAACACACATTTACCTTTAATCGGAACTGGCTTGTTATCAGTGATCGATTATCTAGACATGATACGATTGATTTATCTCTTTCACGCAAACATTGACGCCAAAAAAACTACCAGAAGGACCTTGGAATATTCATGAATTGTGTTGATCTGCTAAATGATTGTAGAGACGAGTTTTAGATTAGCGAAAACCAATTCATGATACACATGGACCTTCCTAACGTAAGGTTAACAAGTCTTCAACCCCCCCCCCCCCAAACAGAACCAGACGATACCTATGGTATGTTTATTATAGGTCTATGGTAGGTTTATGATAGCTCTATGGTAGGTCTATGGTAGGTTTATGATAGCTCTATGGTAGGTCTATGGTAGGTTTTTGATAGCTCTATGGTAGGTCTATGGTAGGATTATGATAGCTCTATGGTAGGTCTATGGTAGGTTTATGATAGCTCTATGGTAGGTCTATGGTAGGTTTATGATAGCTCTATGGTAGGTCTATGGTAGGTTTATGATAGCTCTATGGTAGGTCTATGGTAGGTTTATGATAGCTCTATGGTAGGTCTATGGTAGGTTTATAATAGCTCTATGGTAGGTCTATGGTAGGTTTATGATAGCTCTATGGTAGGTCAATGGTAGGTTTATGATAGCTCTATGGTAGATCTATGGTAGGTTTATGATAGCTCTATGGTAGGTCTATGGTAGGTTTATGATAGTTCTATGGTAGGTCTATGGTAGGTTTATGGTTGGTTTAGGGTAGATCTAGAGTACAAGTCTAATACAAGTCTACAGCAGACATAGCGCAGGTCAATGGTAGGTTTAGCGCAGGTCAATGGTAGGTTTAGGGTAGGTCAACGGTTGGTTTAGGGTAGGTCTATGGTAGTTTTAGGGTAAGTCTTAAACAGATCTACGACACGATTATCAGACAAAAAAATTACCTGGGATTAAAAAAGCAACGGTTTATGTGACCAAGTTTCAGGACATGAAATGTTTCTCATCAAGTATTGATCCGCCATCACTATGTGAGGTCAGTCACTCACCAACGCTGGGTTATCACGTGACACCTATTGGTGATCGATGGACAGGTATGTGTGTAACCTGCAATCTTATGTTTGTTACTAAACACCAGTGGGGGGGGGGGGGGTCTACATCGTCCACGAACACCGGTGTATAGCAGAAGGAGAAATGTGTAGGTGGGAGAGGGTGGGGTCACCGTTTAGATGGTAGAAGTTGCAGACAGGTTGAATTTTTAAAAAAAATGTTATTTAGTTTTTATGTTTTCAAGACATAATCTGTATTATATGTTATAATATATTACATTTGTGATTGGATACATGTTTGCTGTAGGGAGGGTACGCTCGTATAATAGATCGCATGACTGCTAAATAGTGCTAAACCAAAGGGCTGGGGTTCGTATCTTAGGCTCTGATAGGTACCTAAGTGCTGACCACTCTCCCACCCCCTTCATATTCCGAGATCACTAAAACAGGTGATCACTACTTAACTTGCCGTATAGACGCCTAAATACTCTCAACACAAAATAGTACTTTGGTTTGCCAACTAAGAAATCTGATCGACCTAAAACGTTAATCCTATGCTAAGTTTGTTTGGGACTTAAACAATCTCCTAGCTCTGTTAGGCCACGGTGACTTTCATGTCATAATGCAGGTTAAATATGCAAATATATGCAAACTTGAAGACACTCACAGTTAATAAATTATTGCTCCGTGATTGTCTTGAGACAATTGCCCGAATTACAAACCTCTTCTCGTGTAAATAAAGTTTCATTTTTGACCCGTCACGAGTTGAATACATTTACACTGGCAACAGTTTGACCTGTCGTAATTTGCATAAGTTAAAACTGACAATGTGACCCGAAATCGTGAGAACGTCGTGTGTTTCTAGAGACGAGAAAAGACTCGACTGTGTTACAGTGGTCTCATCGTCTTGTTGTTTCCATACTGCTGAATCTTGTCAGTGGCGTCGCCAGGTCGGGTGTCACCCGGTGTAGCACCTTAGGTGTCACCCCCCAACTAAAAAAAGTAGTTTATATATATATATATATATATATATATATATATATATATATATATATATATATATAGCTGTAGGTAAAATTTTCTCTATAATTGGCAGATTTCCGTCCAGGTGTCATCCCCTCCCCCAATCTTTGATTTGCGCTCAATAAGACTCGAATCAATAATTTTTTAAACTGTCAAAAAGCATTTTCCTACTGTACATTTTTTAATTATTTGTCTTGGTGTCATCCCCGTAAATGGTGCGGTGCGTACCCCTCGCCCCCGCCTCGCGACGCCTCTGGTTCTTGAATACATTCTGGAGCTATAGTTTCTATGGTACCGTGCCTAAATATGAAGTTAGCGGGTTGTCAATGTATGGAGTATGGGACGGCGTGGCCTAAGCGGTAGAGCGCTAGGCTGCTAACGCGTAACTCGTTAGTTCGAATCCGGGTCAATGTCAGTACAAAGTCTGAGCCCACACAACTCCGATCCCGGTTAGGGAAAGTAAAGCCGCACTGGGCATAGTGCTGACCACACCCTCCCTTCATATACCGAGATCATGAAACATATGAACTCTACTTCATCTGCCCAATGGATCACTCGGTCTAAAGAGGTTTCTTTACTTTTTTTATATAGTTATAGTAACCATATATCTATGTTCTCTGTAGAAATTTAACGGGCTGTCTAGATATATTAACCATTCCTCTGTGCTCTCAATAAGAATTTAACGGGTTTTCTAACGATATTAAACCCTGAATCTATGTTCTCAATAGGAATTTATCGGGCTGTCTAGCTATATTAACAACGAATATTTGTTTCCAATAGGAATTTAACGAGCCTTTTAACATCTCTGCTATTATTATTTCCTAAACATTGAATATGATTTCGTTAAAAAATCTAATTTTGGTTTTAAAAGTTCAAAATTTTTAGACTGCTAATTTGTATATTGAATTTCAATATCATATCATAAATTAGATAATGTTGCAGTTTAAAAATATAAGCATCAACTACACACGTAGGAAACAACAACACGAAAGGGGAAACAACTGCACAGAAAAGAAACAACTACTCAAATGAACTCAAATTAAATAAACAGACAACATACAAACACATATACATCATCTAAGCGAATGGATAAATATATAATAGAATAACAAAGGGGGAGGAACTAAGCTAAAAGGACGAAACAAAACAAACCAACAACAACCAGAACTATGAATGGGCCACACACCAACACGCCCCCGCCCCATTCAAGGTCGCCTAGGCCAAAAAGAGGTTGGCCTATAGTCTAAGGTTACGTTATGTGATTTGATTAACATAATTTAGTGTCAATTTCACTTAGTTGGATGTCATGACATAGAATTGCCAACAGACTTCCCAGGCTAATTGACAGTGAGGAATTTGGTCAGAGCATGTTGCAGCATATGTTCCCACGATGTCTATCATTGTTTAACAATGTGGGGGAAGGGGGGGGGAGGGGTAAGGAAAAACACGTGGCTTATCGCGTGGCTTATACTGTGCCGTGGACCAGGCTTTAAATAGTGCTGAGTGACTGCTCCAGGGCAGATAACTCTAGAGTCAACATGACGCTGAAGATGTGGAACTTATCTGGACTTCTGGTATTTGGCACCGTAATGCTGGCTGCAAATGTGACTGGGAGCCCCCTTCATGTACCGCTCAGGTTTTCTTTTACCTCAAGATGTTTAGTCAAAAGAAGTTTGAATTAGGATACATTTTAGAGCCATAGCATAATGTTTTTTTTTAACTTAAAATTAATATTTTATATGTAGGCAGTTAAATATTTTGATATGTGAGCTTTACTTGATGTAACAGTCTTTAACATGATAGCTTTACTTGATTTTAAAGCAATCAGCATTATTAATTACTTGATTTTAAAGCAATCAGCATAGCTTTACTTGATTTTGAAGCAATCAGAATTATTAATTTACTTGATTTTAAAACAATTAGCATGACAGCTTTACTTGATTTTAAAACAATCAGCATTATTAATTTACTTGATTTTAAAGCAATCAGCATAGCTTTACTTGATTTTGAAGCAATCAGCATTATTAATTTACTTGATTTTAAAGCAATCAGCATAGCTTTACTTGATTTTGAAGCAATCAGCATTATTAATTTACTTGATTTTAAAGCAATCAGCATGATA